GTGCTTATCATAACATGTTACCGAAAAATATAGTCATTTTTTAACTCAATCTAACAAATAACTTTTTTTAAAAAAGATAAAAGTTAATGGTGTTTATTCTGTCAGGACAGATATTTCTTAAAACTTTGTTAACTTTGAAAATTTTATATGTATCTTGATAATTAAGAGAAATATAATACAGCAATTTCCATCAGTGAATAAAAGCACATTTAAAAATGTCTAGAGCCTTTTATCCACACATAATGTATTCTTGATCTCTTATAACCATTTTTCACTTAAATTCTATTCTAACAAGAAGTCATCACTCCAGCTCTATTCAGTACTGTTTGCACTGAATGTTTTTACCCATCTTTTACTTTCAATGTCTTTGTATTTTTGCAGTAAAGTAAGTGAATCTCTTGTAGATAGCATGTAAATGGATCTTTTTTTGGTATCATTTTGCCAATTTCTGTCTTTTAATTGGAAAGTTTAATCCATATAAAGTAACTGATGACAAGGAAGGACTGCTCTTTACCTAAATGTTTTCTCTACATTTTATGCGCTTTGTATTCTTCAACTCTTCCATGTTTTCATATTTAGCTGATTTTTTGTAGTTTATAATTTTGTATTTAGGTGATTAAGTTGATTTTTATAGTAGATTATTTTGATTTTATTCTTTGTATATTCTCAGTTACTTTTTTTAAGGGTTGTCGTGTGGATTATAATACCTTAAAATCATAGTTTGAATAGTACCATCTTTTCTCAAAAGGATAACATCTGCTTCTGTATATTTTGTACCCCACACCACTCCACCTTGTTATTGTTACAGGCTACATCTTTACCCATTGTGCAATCCTTAACAGATTTTAATTATTTATGGTTTGCTTTTAAATCATACAGAAAAGAAAAAAAGAGAAAAAAAGAAGGGGAAAAAAGAGGAAAAAAAGAAAAAAAGAAGAAAAAAGAAAAAAAGGAAAAAAAATCATACATAAAAAAGAAGAGTTATATTTAACTATGTATTCATGGCTTTGAGTTACTAACTAGTGGACTTTTGCTTCAGCTTGGGCTGTTTCATATAAGGTAGGTGTTGAGAGTTTAGTTAAACAACTCCACAGTAAAGAACTCAGCATCCATTTTGTGTGGTCAAGGGGCCTTCAAGGGCCTTGAACGGACTAGCACTTTCCTCAGGGTATGGCCTAGATAACAGCCTACAGACTCACAAGGAAATGAAAGTTCCTGTTACAACCTTCTCAATCGCCCTTGTAATACACAGTCTCCACTGCCTCCCAGCCCCCTCACCCTGTACACCCTTTTGATAAGACCCCCTCAAAGCTTACCTAAGCCATGCTCTTTTAAGTTTGTATTGACCAACCTGGTCTCCCTCTGCAGACCATAATAAACCACTTACCCCTGGGCCTTCTGTGCTCTCTGCTAGAACACTATCTTGACATGCTCATGTTGCCCCTCAGGAATTCCATGACATGTAATAGTCTTTGCTACACCAATTTCCTTGTGGGCTTTTGTTGAGCAACAGTTCACCATGGACATTACTTAACAAATGTTAATTTAACAACCTTTAGTTGTTAAATGTTAGATCATCCATGAGTAACAGACTTCCTCATTTTGTTTATGTGGGAATAACTTAATTTCTCCTTCATTCAGAATAATAGTTTTACTAGCTATAAAACAATGCTCAGAAATTTTTTCCTTTTTCAGGATGTTGAAAGTATCATCCGTGACTTCTGTCCTCCATGACTTCTGATGTGGACTGTAAATATCACTGTTTTCAAGATTTTGTGTCTTTGATTTTCAATAGTTTGGAATACTTTGGTTTATCCTGCTGGCAGTTCATTGAGATTCATCAATATGGTTATTTCATGTCTTTATCAAGTTTGGGAAGATTTGGGAAGTAAAAATATTTTTTCTGTCACACAGATTCTCAGTTTCTCTTTATTTTTGTTCATTTTTTTTTCTGTTTTTCAGACTAAATCATTTCAGTTGCCTTTTGTTCAAGTTCATGAAGTTTTCTGCCTATTGGGATCTGCCATTGAACTCTTCAGGTACTGAGTTATTCACCTCCATCACTTCTTTTTGATTCCTTTATTATTTCGGTCTCTTGGTTGATATTTTTGTTCATGTAGTATTTTATTGATTTTCTTTAGATTCTTGTACACGGTTTTCTACAGCTCATGGAGCAAATTTAAGATACTTGGTTTAACATGTTTGACTGCTAATTCTAATGATTACCGATAGTTTCTGTGAAATTCTTTATATATACATATATTACAAATATATTGCCATATATATGTAATTTGTGTGTGTGTGAGTGAATGAGCCGATTTTCTATTTCTTTGTATGAGTTATAATTTTTATGAGATCTAGACATTTTGAGTAATAAAATATTTTAATTCTGGAAATCAGATTCTTTTCTTCTCAAGAAATGAAATAAAAAAACAACATACCAAAAGCAATGGGATGCATTGAAATAACTGCTAAGAGGGAAATTTATAGCTCTAAAGTTTACATTAAAAAAAAGAAAACTCAGTCCTCCCTGGTGGCATAGAGGTTTAAGTCCCAGTGCTATCAAGCTATCCAGTCACTGCAGCACAAGTTTGATCACACCAGCCATGCAGCTAACCCACATGGCACAGCAGACCTCTCCTGTCTCACCTGCTGCTCCCAGGAGTGTATTTCAGTAGATCCACCTGTTCTGCTCCCCACGCTGTCTCTAGTGAATCCTCTCACCACCCACACCTCTGGCCTGTACCCCAGTTCTTCTATACATAAATAAGTAAATCTTTGGGGGCCTCCCTGGTGGCACAAGGAGTTAAGCGTCAGCACTATGAAGCTGTCTGCTGCCACTGCAGCATGAGTTGGATACCCAGCCAGGGACATGACCCACACGGCACAGCAGACCTCTCCTGTCTCACCCACTGCTCCCCTCAGCAGTGTATTTCTGTCAATCTACCTGTTCTGCTCCCCACTCTGCCTCTCGTGAATCCTCTCACCCCCCGCACCTCAGGCTTGTACCCCAGTTCTTGTATGCATAAATAAATCTTTAAAAAAAAGATTAAAAAATAAAAAGATTTTAAAAAAAGATAAACAAATGGCCAATAAGCACATGAAAGGATGCTCAACATCATTAGCTACATCTCAATAAATAAGCTTCTGCTTAGCAAATGAATTAACAAAATGAAAAGGCAACCTACAGAATGGGAGAAAATATTTGCAAATGACTATCTGATAAGGGCGTTAATATCTAAAGAACATACAACACAATAATTTTTAAAAAACCCACCTAATACAATTTAAAAATAGGAAAACTAAATAGACATTTAAAAAAATAACACATGCAAGTGGTCAGCAGTTATGTGAAAAGATGGTCAACATCACTAATTACCAGGGAAATGCAAATTAAAACCACAAAGTGGTCAAAGTAGTATTAACTCTTATCTGTTAGGATGACTATTATCAAAACCGTCAAAAGATGAAATATGTTTACAAGGATGTGGAGAAAAGGAAGCTCCTGTACACAGCTTGTAGGGGTGTACACTAGTTCAGACATTATGAAAAATAGTAAAGAGTTTTATCAAAAATAAAAACAGACCTGCCGTATACCCAGAAATGGTATATCCAAAGGAAATAAAATTAGGATCTCTAAAGCCAATGTTCATCACAGGAGTATTCACAGTAGTGTAGGTACATGAAAATCACCTGTCTGTAGACAGATGGAATTTTTTTTTAATGTAGTATGTTTGTATGTGTGCTCACACACCCAAGAATATTATTCAGCCCTAAAAAAGGAAACCCTGCCTTTGTAATAACATGGATAAACTTGGAGGGCCTTACACTAGATGAAATAGGCCAGACATAGAGAGACAAATAATATATGATCTCACCTGTGGATTCTAAAAAAAAAAAAAACTGAAATCAGTAACAGAGAGTAGACTGGTGGTTACTAGAGGCTGGGGATTGGTGTAAAGGGGACACACTGATCAACATTTGCAAGATGAATAAGGCCCAAAGACCTCATGTATACAATGGTAACTACAGTTAATAATGTATACTGAAGGGCCTCTCCGGTGGCGCAGCGGTTGAGCGCTGGGTTGCGAAGCTGCCCACGGCCTCTGCAGCACCGGTTCAATCCCCGGCTGCTCCCTGGCAACCGGAGGAGGGTCCCACATGGCCCGCAGACCTCTCCTGCCGCCCGCTGCTCCCCTCAGCAGTGTACTTCGGTCCTTCTGCCTGCTCTGCTCCCCTCTCTGGCTCTGGTGAACTCTCTCACCCTCCCGCGCTTCTGACTGTGCCCAGTGCTTGTATAAATAAATAAATAAATCTTAAAAAAAAAATGTATACTGAAAATGTATAGACGAGCAGAGAACACTTCAAGTATTCTTACCACACATACATAAGTGGTACTATGATAGGAACTAATGTTAATTAGTTCAATTATAATCATCTCACAGTATATACATATATATAAACATCACCTGTACATCTTAATATCATTTTGTCAATCACATTTCAATAGATTTGGGGGAAGAGATGGAGGAAAAGTACAAGTAAGCTATAAAAACACTCAGTGTAAAAACACAATTCTCAAAACACTGAGATGTAGAAATAAAGTCAGCAAACTGTTGACAGTGATTGCCTTTGGCAGTCAATTACATTTATTATTTATTATTTTTTTAATTTGTGTAGAAGAACTGGGATGTCAGCCAGAGGTATAGGTGTGAGAGGATTCACGAGAGACAGAATGGGGAACAGAACAGGTAGATCAGCTGGAATACACTGCTGAGGGGTGCAGCGGGTGAGACAGGAGAGGTCTGCTGTGCCATATGTGGGTAGCTCCCTGGCCAGGGATCGAACTCAGGCCCTAGCGGTGACAGTGCTGAGACTTAACCCCTTGGGCACCAGGAAGGCCCCAATTGTTTCTTTCTGGAAAAAAAAAAAATTGCATATGGATGGGAAAACAGGTGACACACCTTAAGTACAGCAAGAAAATAACTCACAAAGGCAAGCATCATTTAAATTTTTATTTTAATTTGAAATAGAATACACAGAAAGATAAGAGAATAGAGCTTACTTACAAACCCACCAGCTTTATCAAATTATAAGAATTGGCCTTATTTGCTCAATTTTCAAAGAAATATGTTAAAACTGATCTCCCTTTGTGTCTTTTCCTGGGTGTCATTTTTCTCCCTCCTCAATGGTCACCACTGTTCTGAATTTGAACATTATTTCCATGAATATAAATACACTATTTCTATATAATATGTAGCCATGGGAGATATACACAGCATTGATTTGCCTATTTTCAAACTTATATAAACAAGTGGTACCACCTCATATAAAATACTCACTAGTACAATTTAAATAACAGTTTTCAATATTCATCCATGCTGGTAGAAATTTTCTAGTTCATTCATTTTAACTTGGGGCTTAACACTCTAGTGGTTATTTTGAGCACTTTAAACTTTCCATTCTCAAAAACAATGCTGAAGGGGAACTTCAGCTCTTTTATCACCCTGAACACATAAAACTGTATGGATTTAAGTGTGGAACTGCTGGGTTAAAGTGCGCCTACACCTTCAACTTTGCTAGATATTGCCAAATTATTCTAAAAACAACTACTTCTGCTGGCACTGTATGAACATCTCTATTGCTTCCCATCTTTTTAATAACTGGCACTGCGATGCTCTTGCCAATATGATGGTTTTGAAATAGCTGATTACAGTTTTATCTGTACTCCCTTACTGTTAGTGATGTATATAGATAATTATTCTAATACCCCCAAGCCCATCCATTCTCTACTGGTCTGGACCATCTTAATAATGTGCAAAATTTCTACAAATAGATCACATTCATTAATTTAGTTGCTGTTCATGGGAAGTCACATCTCATAGCTGAATTTCAGAACAAAGTTGTGAAATTAGTGGGCAAAAGGTCCACTGACGAATTTTGGTTGACACACCAATAAATTTGTGAATTAGGAGAAATAATTTTTTCATCTTGAGTCTCTTCAGCCTAGACTATATAATACTCAATTCTATTATTCTTCAGTTTTCTGGGTCTAGAAAATATACTGTCCTTTATTAACTGTTGCAGCCTTTAAAATGTAACTCCATGAGAACATGGTCTTTACATTGATCAGTATAGTCTCCTCATGCGTAAAATAGTGTCTGGCAAAGTGGCTATTCAACAGTCACTGAATGAAAGCTTATATATTTTTCTTTCTTCCTCAATTTCCTTTTAATTTCACATATACAACACTGGATAAAAAGTTTATAGACTTTACACTTTGTCTATGGTATAGAAAAGTCTAAATGCTTTTGAAATTATCCAGATTCACCTACACCTGGACTTGCTGTCTTTTTATCAGACAGTATAAATTTCTATTTTTTTTTTTTTTTGGAGTTAATTGTGGTCCTCTCTATTCTTGATCTTAATGCAAAATTAAGGAACTTCTCAGTTAAGCCTCATTTTCTTTTATTTAATTGGTTTATCCAATTCATTTTCTTTAGACATGTCTTTAGAAACTTATTTAAGTGTTATGGCTTTACTGCTTGCATGAATACTGACTACTCACCTAGAGTACAAAGATTCCACTTACGTTTGCTAAAATTTCTAGGATTTCCCAATCCTGACCTGCTGCTTCCCAGGGATGGTCTACTTTGTCCTTTAAGGAATCTTGTTTTAGTTGTGAGAAGTAAATGAGTTAGTGTATATATATATATATATATATATATATATATTAAATGTGAAGAATAGTGCCTGGTGCATAGTAATACTCAATACATGTTAATTATTGAATAGCTGCTCTATTTGATGCACTATGTGAAGTACTTTACATGCAAATTTATTTTTAAAATGCATCAAACTACAACAGACACTATTTCATTTAATACTCACGTCTACAATATCCTTTATTATCCCCTATTTCAAGAATTAAAGAAAATTCCAAGATTTAAATGAGTCAAACAAATTACTCGAAGTCACACAATGCCACAGTAGTGTCACAGCAATGATTTTCAAGACTCTAAGCCGAGTCCTACAACTGTTTAATGACCAGAGAGGGAGACTGGAATAAAATAAAGCTGAAAAGTATATTAGAACCAAATAATGAAGTGCCTCATAGAGAAATTTAAAGATTGAATATTAGCTTAACCACAAGAAGTCAAAAAGAATTTTAACTGGAGACAGTGATGTGTATTCTTACATTTCAAAAAGATCAGTGTGGGTACATAGTGGAAAATGCATTTAAGACCAAAAGTTGAAATAGGAGGACCTGTTAGAAAGTGACAGCAGTGATCCAGGTGAATCTTAAGACCGGGGTGGAGAAAAGTATAAATTTCAAAACTATTTATGAGAGCATCTGTCTATAGGACTTGGTGATTGACTGGATTGAGGGGTGAGAGTGACTCCCCAATATGGATTCTCTGGTGATGAGCAAGGTGGGCATGCTGCCTGAAGGTTTTCTTGCACTCCTTACATTCATAAGGTCTCTCCCCAGTATGAATTCTCTGATGCTGAGCAAGGGACCCACAGTAACTAAAAGCCTTTCCACAAACATTACATTCATAAGGCTTCTCTCCAGTATGAACTCTCTGATGTTGAGTAAGGGATGAGTCATTGCTAAAAGCCTTCCCACACTTAATACATTCATAGGGTTTCTCTCCAGTATGAACTCTTTGATGTTGAGCAAGGTAGGCAATCTGACTGAAGGCTTTCCTACATTCCTGGCATTTATAAGGTTTTTCTCCAGTATGAATTCTTTGATGCTGAGCAAGGTGTGAATTCTGGCTGAAGGCCTTCCCACAGTCCTTACACTCATAAGGTCTCTCTCCAGTATGTATCCTTTGATGTACAGTAAGGTATGCACGAAGGCTAAATGCCTTCCCACAGACGTTACATTCATAAGGTTTCTCTCCAGTATGAACTCTCTGGTGTTGAGCGATGGATGATCTATTACTAAAAGCCTTCCCACACTCAATGCATTCATAGGGTTTCTCTCCTGTGTGTACTCGCTGATGTTGAGCAAGGTAGGCAAACTGACTGAAGGCTTTCCTACACACCTTGCATTCGTAAGGTTTTTCCCCAGTATGAACTCGCAGATGTTGAACCAGGTGTGCATTTTGACTGAAGGCTTTTCCACATTCCTTACATTCATAAGGTTTCTCTCCAGTATGAATCCTCTGATGTTGAACAAGATTTGATCTCTGGCTGAAGGCTTTCCCACATTCTACACACTTATAAGGCTTCTCGCCAGTATGAATTCTTTGATGAAGAGTAAGAGAGGAACTCTGGCCGAAGACCTTCTCACAGTCATTACATTTCAAAAGCTTCTTCTCTGTATATATACTCTTGGGTCTAATGGACATCAATTTTTTTTTTAAGTTCTTCTTATGTGTGTCATGTTTATGTATTTTCTCCTCTTTGGGGACTATCTGTTGTGTATGAAGTAGTGTGTTTGGATGGAAACTTCCCCAAGATCTGTTATATTCTCGTATTCTTTCATCAACAAGAGCTTCTCCATGAGTGATTGTCTCTTCCTTAAAACAGGGCTTCTGACTCCCTAGGTGGCTATCAAAATGGACTTCACATTTCCATTCTTCTCCTAAACTGGAGTACTCAAGGCCATAGTTTGTAAGTTTTTCTATCATCTTCTCAGATGACTGTTCTTCATAACTGTCCTCCTTTGGGGTTAATTCTTCAGTCTCATACATAGATTCCCAGTCTGAAAAATAGTAAGAAAAAAACTCCTCTATTATGTACCAGATGGTACATTTATAGATGCACATGCATAATATAAAGTATGTGAATAGGAAATATAATCTTCATCAACACTGGCTTTCATAGTTCTGAAGATCGCAGCAACAGAAACTGAAAAGGGATGATGTGCAAACTTGTGTAGGTATAACTAGAATGGTAAGAAAATTAGTAAGGTAAATCTCAGGTCAAGAAGGAGTTATGGAGCTGATTGGACCTGGTTACAATTTTATGCATGTGTGAGTAATGCACCGAAGTAATGTCCATTTTTATAGTTGCTTCATTCACTGGGGAAAACTAAGTAATAGATCAATTTTATATTATGTTAGAACATTCTAAGTGCTAGGGAATAGCAAAAGAAAGTTAAGAGGTAGGGACTAATGGTGAAGTTAAAGTTAAGGATCATTAGTAAAATAACATTATGCAAATATTTAAAAGAAGGAAAGCAGTTAGTCACTTAGATTTCTGGAGAAAGAACACTCTTGACAAAAGAAACAGCCTGAAAAAAGAAGCGTTCTGTATGTTTGAGAAAAAGAAAGAAGATCAGTGTGGCTGGAGAGGAATAAAAACTGGGAGATGAAGTCAGGAGTTGAGGATATTATTTAAGCCTCATAGGCTTCCCTCAGTATTTGATGTTTGCTCTGAGTGGGATGGAGAGCCACTGAAGCTTTCAGGAGTAAAATTAAGTTCCTGTTTAATGAAAACACCTGGAAGGTGGCAGCGAGGGGACATCTTATTGTAGTAATCTAGGTTTGCAATGAAGAATCAAACGAGATTTGATATCAATGGAGGTACAGTGAGGTAATCTGATTCTGGGTGAAATTCATGAGAATATCCTGACATACCGGATGTGGAATCGAGTAGGAAGAGATGAGACAAGCACTCCTTCAACGTTTATGGTCTGAGCAATAGAAAGATGGAATAGGGGCCTCCCTGGTGACACAAGGGGTTAAGACACAGCACTATGAAAAAAAGAAAGAAAGATGGAGGGCCTCCCCTGGTAGCGCAGCAGTTGAATGCTGGGCTGCGAAGCTGCCCGCAGCCTCTGCGGCGACGGTTTGATTCCCGGCTGCCAGCGAGGGTCCCATATGGCACGACAGACCTCTCCTGCCCAAGCCCATAGGTGGTATTTAAAGAGAAGATGTTACCATGAAAATGAGAAGAGAAAGGAGCAAGGAATGAACCCTAGAGCACTCCAACATTAAGGTATTTGAAAAACAGGGAAGAAAACAAGAGATTAACAAACAAACAAACAAAATCAGGACTGAGAATACCACCACATGATATTAAGTTGAGGATTATAATAAAAGTAATCTTGTTCAGTATTTTATATTGAAAATAAATAAAATACACTATCATAATAACACACAACACTGGAATATATTAGTCCAGAAATGTCACAAAAATAACAACAGTTAATACTGGTTGTCTTAAAAAAGAATTATGGAGATGTAGGGACTTAGAAAACTCCCCAAGTGAATCATTCAATAAGGCCTACAGTAGAATAAGACTATGGGGGAGATTACTGTACTCAACAAACTAAAAATAGAAGGCAACCATTTAATACAGTAATAGCCCTATATAAGAAGCTCATAGCTGGGCTGACTATGGACTCATCATAAGTCCATGGTGAAAGACTGGAAACTCGGGCCTCCCCGGTGGTGCAGTGGGTTGAGCACAGTGCTGTGAAGCTGTCTAAAGTCTCTGCACCGCGGGTTCAATTCCTGGCCGACCAGGGAGATACCCACGTGGCATGGTAGACCTCTCCTGCCTTGCCAGCTGCTACCCTCAGCAGTGTTTTTGGTCCGCCTGCCTGTTCTGCTTCCCACTCTGTCTCTGGTGAATCTTTTCACTTTCCCGTGCCTCTGGCCTGTACCTCAGTTCTTGCACAAATAAACAAATCTTAAAAAAAAAAAAAGACTAGAGGGGCCTCCCTGGTGGCGCAAGGGGTTAAGCATTGCACTACGAAGCAATCCATAGCCTCTGCAGCATGAGTTTGATCCCCGTCTGGCCAGGAAGCAAACCCACATGGTGAGACAGACCTCTTCTGTCTTGCCTGCTACTCCCCTAAGCAGTGTATTTCAATCTGCCTGTTCTGTGTCCCACTCTGTCTCTGGTGCATCCTCTCACCCCCTGCATCTGTCGCCTGTATTCCAGCTCTTGTATGCATAAATAAATAAATCTTTAAAAAAAAAAAAAAGACTAGAATCTTCCCGCTACAATCAGGAATAAGACAAGGATGATACCATTAGTCAATATCCACTAGTAATGGAAATTACAGCCAGATCAATTAGGAAAGAAAAATAAATAAAAAACACCCACATTAGAAATGAAAAAGTAAAATTATCTTTGCTTGTAAACTACATGATTGTACTTAGAAATCCTGAAGGCCACACACGTGCACACACACACACATACACACACACAAGCACACATAAAATCAGAACAAATAAAATCAGAAAATAGCAGGATGCAAAGTTAACATATGCAAACCAGCTATATTTCCTATATACTAACAGCGACCAATCCAAAAAGGAAATTAGGGGTCTCCCCTGGTGGCACAGTGATTGAGCGCTGGACTGGGAAGCTGCCCACAGCCTCTGCAGTGCCAGTTCGATCCCCGGCCACCAGCGAGGGTCCCACATGGCACGACAGACCTCTCCTGCTGCTCCCACTGCTCCCCTCAGCAGTGTATTTAGTCAGTCTGCCTGTTCTGTTCCTGGCTCTGACTCTGGTGAATTCTCTCACCCTCCCACACTTCTGACTATACCCAGTGCTTGTATAAATAAATAATCTTTTTTAAAAATTAAAATAAAAAATAAAAAGGAAATTAAACAAGCAACTCCAGGCCTCCCCAGTGGCGCAGCGGGTTGAAAGCCACACTGTGAAGCTGTCTGCAGCCTCTGCAGCGCGGGTTTGATTGCCAGCTGGCCAGGGAGATAACCACATGGCAGGGGCAGACCTCTCCTGTCTCATCCTCTTCTCCCCTCAGCAGTGTATTTCAGTAGATCTGCCTTTTCTGCTCCACACTCTTTCTCTGGTGAATTCTCTCACCCTTCTGTGTTTCTGGCCTGAACCCCAGTTCTTGCATAAATAAATAAATTTCTAAAAAAAAAACCAAATCCATTTACAATAACTTCAAAAACAATAACTTACCTAGGAATTAACTGAGAAGGTAAGAGACTTATAAACTAAAAGCAACAATACATTGAAAGAAATTAAAGATGATAAATGATACATCCTGTGCTCATGGGTTAATACATGAATTAATATTAAGATGTCAAAACTACCTAAAACTATAGAGTCAATGCAATCCCTATCAAAATTCCAATGTTTTGTATTCTAGATGTAGAAAAATGTAACCTAAAATTCCTAAGGAACCTCAATAGATCCTGAATAGGCGAAACAATCTTGAGAAGGAAGAACAAAGGTGGGAGTCTCACACTTTCTGATTTCAACACTTACTACTAAGCTACCAATAATCAAAACAGTGTGGTAGTGGCATAAATAAAGCCATATAGACCAATGGGAGAAAAAAATAGAGAGCCCCAAAATAAACCTTTCCTTGTCAAATAATTTTTGACAAGGGTGTAAATTAAAGACCATTCAAAGGGGAAAGGACAGGTTTTTCAACAAATGATACTGGAAAAATTGGAAATCCACATGCAAAACATTCGTGGGACCTTTACATTATGCTATATGGAAAAATTAATCCACAATGAGTCAAAGGCCTAAATGTAAGACCGAAAACTAAAATATTCTCAGACACAGGGCCTCACCGGTGGCGCAGCGGTTGAGCGCTGGGTTGCGAAGCTGCCCGCAGCCTCTGCAGCGCCGGTTCCATCCCCGGCTGCTCCCCGGCCACCGGAGGAGGGTCCCACATGGCGCGCAGACCTCTCCTGCCGCCCGCTGCTCCCCTCAGCAGTGTACTTTGGTCCTTCTGCCTGCTCTGCTCCCCGCTCTGGCTCTGGTGAATTCTCTCACCCTCCCACACTTCTGACTGTACCCAGTGCTTGTATAAATAAATAAATAAATCTTTAAAAAAAAAAAATTCTCAGACACAAACATAGGAAAAAATCATCATGACATTGGCTTTGAGTACGATTCCTTGGTTATGATACCAAAAGTATAAGCAACAAAATAAAAAAGTAGACAACCTCATGAGTATTAAAAACCTCTATGCATTAAATGATAGTATCAACACATAAACACACAGAAACACAATCCAAAGGAGTTCAAGAACCTTGTAGAAACAGTAACAAGAACTGGAAAGCAGATTAGCAAACACACCTGATGAGCTCAAAAACAAGAATCTCCAGAAGAGCAGATTAACCAAGAAGGAAAAAATAGGCAACCCACAGAAAGAGAGAAAATATTTGTAAACAATGTATCAGAAAAGGTATTATCCAATATATAAAATTCCTAAAATACAATTGAAACATAGATAAATAATCAATTTGCTATTTCTCCAAAGAAATACTTATGGGTAACAAGCACATGAATAGATGCAGAACATCACAGATCACTAGGGAAATGAAAATAAGAGCATGGGATACCATTTCATGTCCATTTGGAAGGAAAAGAATAACAAGTATTGGTGAAAATGTGACACTGGAGACCTTGTGTACTTTAGGAAGGAATGTAAAATGGTATAGCTGCTGTGGAAAACTATATGGCAATTCCTCAAAAGGTTAAAAACACTTCATGATTCAAATATTCTACTTGACTACATACCCAAAAGAAATGAAAAAACAAGATCTCAAAGAAATTTTTGTTCACCCATTTTCGTAGATTGGTCACAAAGATGAAAGCAACCAAAATGTCCACTGTTAGCAAATAAACAAAATGTAACATACACTACAATGTCATAGTATTCTACTAAAAAAAGATGAAATTTTGACACAATTTACAATATGGACAAACTTTGACGACATTACTGTAAGTGAAGTAAGTCATGAAAAGACAAATGCTTTGGGCCAATATGAATCAATGTGATTGAGGGCCTCCTTGGTGGCACAAGGGGTTAAGTTGCAAACTATGAAGCTATCCGCAGCCATTGCAGCATAAGTTTGATCCCCGGCCAGGAAGCTACCCACATGGTGCAGCAGACCTCTCCTGACTTGCCCGCTGCTCCCCTCAGCTGTGTATTTCAGTCAAGCTGCCTGTTCTGTTCCAGACTCTGTCTCTGGTGAATCCTTTCGCCCCCAACACCTCTGGCCTGTATCCCAGTTCTTCTATACATAGATAAGCGAATCTTAAAAAAAAAAAAAAAAAAAAAAGAAAATGACAAATGGGCCTCCCCTGGTGGCGCAGGTGGTTGAGCACAGTGCTGTGAAGCTGTCCGCAGACTCTACAGCGTGGGTTCAATCCCAGCCGGCCCACAAGAATCCCACGTGGTGCAACAGACCTACCCAGTCTCGCCTGCTGCTCCCCTCAGCAGTGTATTTCACTCAGCCTTCCTGTTCTGTTCCCTACTGTCTCCGGTGAATCCTCTCAGCCCTCACACCTCTGGCCTGCACCCCAGTTCTTGCATGCAGAAATAAATAAATCTTTAACCAAAAAAAAAACTAAGTCAACAACACTTAAAAATATATATATATGTACTTATATATAGATATACAGACATATTCAATAGAGAAATATATATAGATAAGAAAATCCTTCCTCAAATGGGCCAAACCTTGAATAGACACCAAAAGAAAAAATTCCAAATGGTTGTTATAAAAACAAAATGTTGTTTGGGCCTCCCCTGGTGGTGCAGCAGTTGAGCACTGGGCTGCGAAGCTGCCCAAAGCCTCTGCAACGCCGGTTTGAACCCTGGCCACCTGGAGAGGGTCCCACATGGTGTGACAGACCTCTCCTACCACACCCACTGCTCCCCTCAGCAGTGTATTTCGTCAGTTTGCCTGTTCTGTTCCCCGCTCTGGCTCTGGTGAATTCTCTCACCCTCCCACGCTTCTGACTGTACCCAGTGCTTGTATTAATAAATCTTAAAAAAAAAAAAAAGTTCAATTTCTTTAGTAATCAAGGGATTCAAGTTACAAGTGTAAGGAGATTTCATACCCATCAGTTTAAAATTTTATTATTTTTATTATTTTTTAATTTTTTTGGTCCAGACGTCCTTTATTTCTTCACACCCACCCTGCCAGGAGTACCTGTGGAGTGGGCTCCAGCAGCTCAGGCTCCTGTCCACAGAGCCTCACAGAGTGTGCTGCTCTGCCGGGAGCAGCTGGCGCCTCAGCGGGACCTCAGTGCCTTTCTCTTCGGCTTCCTTTTCCCCTGATCATTTTTTCTCACGTCTCAGGAAGCTGCCTCGGTGCTTAGAGAGCTTAATGCACTCAATAGGACATGAATTCTCTTGATGAGAACCTTGCCATTGTGTTTGTTTACAACAGTGCCCACTGCATGCTGGGTACCATGACAGACTCTTCCAGCGTTGCGGTGGTAACACTTGGGCATTCCCTTTGAACATGGCCCACCCCTTGATGGCTGCAATATCACCTTCCTCCCAGACTCCTGTCTGTAGCAAAGGAACACCTCCATGTTTTCTAAAATTCTGGAGAAAGTATAGCTGGGCCTCTCCTCTGTCCCTTTGTTGGTCCTTCTGGTGACTTACTGGAAGATGGCAGTTTCAGCTGACAGGTGACAAGCAATTTTTTAATTAATTCCAAGTGTGGCACTTTGGAAAAATAGCATTATCTAGGAAATTCCTGGCTACATTTTCTACATAAACTCCAGCATATGTGCATTAACAGTCGTGTATAAGAAGATTCATAGCAGTAACATTTATAATAGCATAGAACTGAAACAATGACCTTTGATGGGTAAAGGCTGGTTTACACAGAATACATTTCAGCAGGAAAAAAATTCAATGAACCATAGCTACTAAAATTAACATGGTTGAATCTCAGGAATATAATTTTGAGTTTAAAAAAGAAAGAATTATACACATAATATAGTTCCATGCATAAAAAAGTTGAAAATATGCATATGTAAATATTTTGCTTAGGGATTTATGGTACAACTACAAAGGGATTTAGGGCACAACTATAAAGAACTATCAAGAAATGATAAACAGGGCCTCCCTGGTGGCACAAGGGGTTAAGTCTTGTACATATGTACAAGCTATCAGCAGCTACATGGCAGGAGCTCTCAGCCAGGGAGCTACCCACATGGTGCAGCAGACCTCTCCTCTCTTGTCCGCTGTTCCTCCCAGCAGTGTGTTTCAGTATATCTGCCTGTTTTGCTCCCCACTCTGTCTCTGGTGAATCCTCTCACCCCTTCAACACCCCAGCTCTTGAATGCTTAAATAAAATAAATCTTTAAAAAAAGAAAAGAAAGAAATGATAAACAAAATCGTAGGATATGGGCCTCCCCGGTGGCGCAGCGGTTGAGCGCTGGGTTGCAAAGCTGCCCGCAACCTCTGCAGCGCCGGTTCGATCCCCGGCTGCTCCCCGGCCACCAGAGGGGGGTCCCACATGGCGTGCAGACCTCTCCTGCCACCCACTGCTCCCCTCAGCAGTGTACTTCGGTCCTTCTGCCTGCTCTGCTCCCCACTCTGACTCTGGTGAATTCTCTCACCCTCCCGCGCTTCTGACTGTACCCAGTGCTTGTATAAATAAATAAATAAATAAATAAAAATCGTAGGATATTACCCCAGTGAGGGATGGGATGGCTGGTGGGTAGCAAATGGTTTGTTATTATACAGGGACCCTCAAGGGCCAAATATGGTATTCTCAATTTTTTATTTCCTAAACTCAGAAATATGTACACGGGTTTTTGTCTTATTATTATTTAAGCTACATATATATGCTAACATATATTTATGTGTGATTTATTTAATGATGATGATAAAATCGAACCATGTATCTTTTAGTTCTACAGTTCCACATAAAAAATTTTTTCCTAGAAAACTATATAAAAGAGTGAGGAGAGGGCCTCCCTGGTGGTGCAAGGGTTAAGACGCAACCTATGAAGCTATGGGCAGCCACTGCAGCACGAGTTTGATCCCTGGCCAGGGAGCTGACCCATATGGGGCAGCAGACCTCTCCTGTCTCTCCTGCTGCTCCCCTCAGCAGTGTATTTCAGTAGATCTGCCTGTTCTGCTCCCCACTCTGGTGAATCCTCTCACTCCCCACACCTCTGGCCTGTACCCTGATTCTTGTATGCATAAATAAATAAATCTTAAAAAAAAAAAAAGTGGGGAGTGGTAGGGGGAGGGAAGTTGAAGAAGAGAGATTTACAATGACCCCGATTTCCTTCTGAACTTTAATCCTCATTTTAACCTACTGCTTCTTATGTGTATGTGAAAATTCTTCCTCAACCACAAACTAAACTCTTAAGTCTTCTTACTTCACTGTTTTCTAGCTTCTGACCTGTGTTTTTGTTCAAGATCATCACCTTCCCAGTTACCCACACTCTTCTGCCTCTCACCTCTGCCTCTGAACTTCCTTTATGTCAGCTTCCTGTTCACATATGCTATTACAGCTATGTTGTATTTCTGCTACCACCCTATCAGTTGCTTATTTATATAAATATGTAACTCCCTAGCATCTTGCAAGTACTATGTTTAAGTACAAATTCAATAGATATTGATGAAAAGAACAAAAGAATGAATGATCTGACCATCAAAAGGAAAATGGGGCATTTCGAGGTAAACTGCTACTAGTAGTAACAGCAGCCAGCAGCTGTCAATTGCATAATAGGAAATAGGTGCTGTTCAAAGAACTTTAAAGGTATTATCACCTTTTACAGATGATGAAATAAAATGAGAGATTAAGTAACTTGCCCAAAATTTTACTGCACAGTGTCAGGATTTGAATCCGTAACTTCAGTTACATCTGTCTGTAGAGCTCAAAAGCTGATCAGATTAGGAAAAGATTTTTTAAAGGCTGGAAGAGTTTTATTAAACTAGAAAGGATGGGATTCAGAAAATAGATGAGTTATTAGAAAGGACAGGGCAAAGTAGGAAAGGAAAGACAGTTAAGAATACAGTTAAGACTGTTCAACGTTGAGTGAACATGCTACTGGGCATCAAGTTTCTACTAAGATCTAGAACATTTGAGAACATGTGATACCTTTCAGTCAAACTGCGCTAATACCTGCAACAGTTTGTGTGTATTTCCTCATCACTCACCTGAGTACAAGCCTTTTGTCAGTTCTCTCTTCATCCAGGGCTCTTTCCCTTGTTCCAACAATAATATCACACTTGGCTTAGAAAAGCAAAGTCCTGCATATAGAAAGAGAAACAGAATTGGTCATGCTATGGAAATTCCAGAATTCACATGCACTCTTTTGGTCATCAAAGAAGAGCAGAGTTTACAATAAGCCAAGAAAAATGTATAAAGGACATATATTCAAAGGAGTGGGACTCTGAAGCTTCTAGCATGGATTAATAACAGGCCTTTCCACTGCTAGCTCCACAAATATTAAACCATTATTCAGGTACAGGCAGCGGACATTCAATCAGCCACTATAGCTGCTATCAAAAAATTCTCAATAGGGGCCTCCCTTGTGCCCCAAGTGGTTAAGACACAGCACTATGAAGCTAACCACAGCCACTGCAGCACGAGTTCTATCCCCGGTCGGCCAGGGAACTACCCACATGGCACAGAAGACCTCTCCTGACTTGCCTGCTGCTCCCCTCAGCAGTGTATTTCAGTCAGTCTGCCTGTTCTGTTCCCTATTCTGTCTCTGGTGAATCTTTTCACCTCTCCCCCTGCTCCACACCTCTGGCCTGTACCCCAGCTCTTGTATGCATAAATAAATAAATCTTAAAAAAAAAAAAAAAAAAAGTTCACAACATTGATAACAAAGAGCCTCTTATGAGTGGTGTAGGGTAAGGTAAAAAATCAGGCTTTTCTGCCCTCCCGCCATCAGGATAAATGAGGGAACCCTGTGATCCTGAATGCACGCCTGATGGCGGGCACCTGAAGTGGGTACACCTGTACTAAGACTGTGCTTTTAAGGGCGGTGTCATGGGGACGCCAGTAGAAGCCGAAAGAGAAGAAGCCCGAAGCAGAGAACGCCAGAGAGCCCAGATAGAGCGAAGATTTGCTGGGGGCTGGGAGGCTGGCAGTCCTCCCAGCCCCCCAGCACCCCTGCCTGCCACATACCCGCTGAACCCCAATAAAAACCTGCAAAACCACTGAGGACTCTGACTCCTCCTTTACCAGGTCTGCATGGGATCAGAAAACCTGCACTGTGTCCTGTTCCTGACCTTATAAGTAGATACTCAATTTTTCAATTAGATATTCTTACCCAGTGATACCAAGATCCTGTAGTTCTCTAACATCACATTACTGTACAGATGCCTTTGAGAAGAACTGAGACAATCCCACTCTTCCTGGGAAAAGTCGACGGCCACATCTCCGAAGGTAACCAGCTCCTGAAAGAAAATAAATGAAATGAAATAATCTCATCTCTTACCATAGTCCCCTCAATCGTCCTGCCCAGGCACAACAGGCCCTCTCAGCTACTACAGCCTCAACCATGTTAAACATGTGCTCCCTCAGATCATTTCTTCTTAGACATTTTGTATAAAAGAAGTTGTTCTTTTACCCCAGTTTTCTACTCCCCTAATCCTGCTTTATTTTTCTCCATGGCCATTAATTGCCGCTCCTAAACTTGGTAGTTTCTCCTCAAATCTTTAACGCCTGTTCCCTTATCCTTACTCTCAGTGGGTTACCTTCCTTTCTGTTTCAGCCAGGGGCCTCCCTGGTGGCACAAGGGGTTAAGATGCAACTATGAAGCTGTCCATAGCCACTGCAGCACAAGTTTGATCCCCAGCCAGGGAGCTACCCACATGGTGCAGCAGACCTCTCCTATCTCGCCTGCTGCTCCCCTCAGCAGTGTATTTCGTCAGTCTGCCTGTTCCGCTCCTCGCTCTGTCTCTGGTGAATCCTCTCACCCTCCTCCCCCATACCTCTGGCCTGCACCCTCTTATATGCATAAATCTTTTAAAATTAATAAAAAATAAAAGCCACTCTAAGAGAATTTCCACCAACTCCTACATGTACAAACCTACCTGTACATGGGTACAGGTACTCCTACTTGTACAAACCCTACCTGTATATGGGTATCTATACCCATATACTCACTCTATCTTTTTCCTACTGTATAAATGAACAGTCTACTTTTCGAGCAAAAGTCAACCTCTCCACCTGTACAGCTCTTCTCACCTACTCAAGCTGTGTTCCAAAAATTTCTTTCTTTCTCCTCTTCATCTTCAAATTTTCCTTTCTACTGAATCCTTAATATCAGTCTATATATATTCACCATCTTTAAAAAATCTTGTTGACCACAATTTCTCTTTTAGTTACCACCAATTCTCTCTTTCCCTTACAGTTATATTTTTTGGCCTCCCTGGTGGCCTAGGGGTAAAGTCTCAGTGCTATTACCACCATGGCCTGAGTTCAATCCCCAGCCCAGAGAGCGACCAACATATGGCACAGCAGACCTCTCCTGTCTCTCCCGCTGCTCCCCTCAGCAGTGGATTTCACTAGATCTGCCTGTTCTGCTTCCCACTCTCTCTGGTGAATCCTCTTACCCCCCACATCTCTGGCCTATACCCCAGCTCTTCTACACAGAAATAAACAAATAAATCTTTTTTAAAAAGCTACATTTTTTGCAAGAGTTATCTATACTTTTTATTATTTAGACCCCCATCAAGAAGAAAAAGGGGGCCTCCCCGGTGGCGAGCGGTTGAGCACTAGGTTGCGAAGTTGCCCGCAGGCTCTGCAGCGCAGGTTCAATCCACGGCCACCGGGTGAGGGTCCCACTTGGTGCGCAGACCTCTCCTGATGCCCGCTGCTCCCCTCAGCAGTGTATTTTGTCAGTCTGTCTGTTCTGCTCCCTGCTCTGGCTCTGGTGAATTCTCTCACCCTCCTGCGCTTGTGACTGTACCCACTGCTTGTATAAATAAATAAATCTTTTAAAAAATTAATTAAAATAAATAAAAAAGAAAAAAGAAAAAGGGCTCAGTATGACATGTATGACAGGATCACTTTGCCTGCTTTGTTGAGAATAAACTAAAGAGAAAAAGGGTGAAAATAAAAAGTAAGAGAGCACAGCAATGATTCAGGTAAGAAATGATGATTCAGATGAGAAATAAAGCACTATGACCAGAATGGTGGGGGTGAAAAGAAGTCAGAATCTGGATATATTCTAACGGTAGAACAAACAGAACCTCCTGTTAGAAGACCTGTAGCTTGTACAACTGAGATAGGGAAGACGTGAGTTTCCTAATTGGTTCCCTGTTTCTATCCTTACCCCATGTCATGTATTCTCAGTAGCAGTCAGAGAGAGCTACTGAAATGAGACTTAGATCACGTTACTTCTATGTCCCCAAATTGCCAAAGGTCCATTTCACTTCGTTTGAGACGCCTGAGACAGCAAATATACAACCAAATGAAGAAGCTGAATAGGTCCTTGGATATAAAAGTCTGGATTTCAGGAAAGTGGCCTGGGTTTTATATAATTTGGCAGTTGCTGACATACAGATGATACTGAAGACAGGTAAGATTCCCAAAGGAGTGAAATAGAGCAGATAAGAAGAACAAGTTCTGAGCCCTCTTAATTAATAGGTACATACTAAAAATTAATTGAATGATTGATGTTTGGGCAAAGACTAGAATGGAGTTGGTCTGTATCTAGGGGAAAAGCATTCCAGGCAGACGGAAGAGCAAGTGCAAGATCTCGAGTTAAGAATGTACTCGGGGGCCTCCCCGGTGGCGCAGCAGTTGAGCGCTGGGTTGCGAAGCTGCCCGCGGCCTCTGCGGCGCCGGTTCGATCCCTGGCTGCTCCCCGGCCACCGGAGGAGGATCCCACATGGTGCGCAGACCTCTCCTGCCACCCGCTGCTCCCCTCAGCAGTGTACTTCAGCCCTTCTGCCTGCTCTGCTCCCCGCTCTGGCTCTGGTGAATTCTCTCACCCTCCCGCGCTTCTGACTGTACCCAGTGCATGTATAAACAAAACAAACAAATATAATAAATAAATAAATAAAAACATGCCTCTATAAAAAAAAAAAAAAAACTATTAAAAAAAAAAAAAAAAAAAAAGAATGTACTCGGGCCTCCCCTGTGGCGCAGCGGTTGAGCGCTGGGTTGCGAAGCTGCCCGCAGCCTCTGCCCTGCAGGTTCGACCTCAGCTGTGCTCCCCGGCCACCGGAGAAGGGTCCCACATGGCGCACAGACCTCTCCTGCCGCCTGCTGCTCCCCTCAGCAGTGTACTTCGGTCCTTCTGCCTGCTCTGCTCCCCACTCTGGCTCTGGTGAATTCTCTCACCCTCCCGTGCTTCTGACTACCCAGTGCTTGTATAAATAAATTTAAATAAATAAATAAATAAATCTTTAAAAAAAAAAAAAAGAATGTACTCAACTCACTGCAAGGAAATGAGTGAATTACAGACAGGGTGAGAAAAATTAGATGAGATTGAAGGAGTAATTAGGGACCAGACTACATAGAAATTGTAGGCCGATGAAAGCCTGCATTTATCCTGAATGTATGGGAATTCATTGGCTGGTTTTAAGAAGTGACTTGATTGGTTACTTTGAAAAGTTTCAGCAGGAGAAAAATCAATGTCTGCTTGTTTTGAAAAGAGGAAAGAGAAAACACCACTCACCTGATACACAGCTTTCAGAAGTCCAACAGCCATCCCTTTCCTCCTCTGGGCCCTTCTCTCAGGAAATGGCAGTGTCCTTAGACGAGAGAGCGGGGAGAAAACATGAGACACAAGGCTTGCCTTGCAGCACCCAGCATCACCAGTCTAGAATAGTTGGCTTCTCTTTCCTTCTGTTATAAGAGGCGCTTCCTCTCCAGCAGGGATGAAGCATGATGGAGAAGCAGGCATCTGTTCTCATACAAGCTAAGCGGTGCCTAAATCATTTCCTAGCGTATAATTTTAACACGAATAAAGATTTTACAAGTCAAGATTCCGAGCAATGTAATTATTCCTCTAAAGACATACAACGAACAAAACAACAGCACCTCCTCCCCAACACGCCACTGATTCAGAAACTTGACGGCACAGTGGGCCACTTGGTGAGTGTTAAAAGATACTGGTGGCCACAGCCTCACTCAGTCCCCCAACATCCAGATGCTTCAAAACCACAGCGCCCCCCACCTTTCTACACCCCTCAGTCAGTGGCCACGCGCCCTGGCGGTCTCACATCTCACCCTCTCCTCTCCCTCAGACTCAAATACTCGGGTGTCACGGCCCTGGCCTTACACACTCCGGTCACAAAGAGGCCGAGGGCACCGGCACGAGGGCAGACGGGGGTCCTCTCCACCCCCACCCCCACCCTAGGGCACCCAGCCTCTCCCCCGCTCGCCTCCACGGTCGCGCAGCCGCGGCACAGCACGGCGGCCACCCGGCGCGGTGACAACCGTCATCTCACACGCGTCGGGGCGCCCCGCGGGCCACGCCTCAAGCGCCCTACCTGCAGCAGCGCAGCGCGGGGAGACGCCGCCCGGCCCGCGGCGCTCGCGCGACCCCTCGGCCGCCCACCTCCGGCCCGCAGTCCCGGCAGCCCGGCCCGCGCGCGTCGGGAAAGCAGCGCCGCGGCCGATGGCGGACACAAAGGGGCAGCCGGCCCCGAGCTCGCGGGGGCCGCCGGGAAATGTAGTCCAGACCACGCAGGCCGCCGCGCCGCCGCGTCCCCGCGCGCGCGGGGGCTGGGGATGTCCGGGGATGCCCGCGGCCGCCCCCGCCACGCCAGGTGCCCCGGAGCCCCGCCGGCCGCCCCTGGCCTTCCAGAACGAGCCCAGAAGTCCCGATTCCTCCCAGCTCCCAGCCCGGGCCCCCCACCCCCACCCCCGGGACGGAGCCGAGCGTCACGCCGGTCGAGAACTGCGGCCCCGGCCGGCGCTCCGTCCACCCGCCCGAGCAGCGCCGCGCGGGAGTGGGAGCCCCTGTGTAGCCGGGGGGCGGGTCTGCGCGCCGCGTCTGTGAGCGCGTGTCCGCGCGGCGCCGAAGGGCCGGCTCCGAGGGCCACGCCGGGGTACCCGAAAAACAGGGAGAGCGGCGCGGGGAACACAACGCGCAGGCCCAGGCCCAGCTCCCCTGGGGCGCTCTTGCTGAGCGAATGCGGACCTTGAAGACGCGAGAGGTGGGGCAGGATAGAGAACTGTCACCGGGCTCCTGGGTCTCTCCTACTCGTGGTTCGGTGATAGTGGGTGTGACTGTGTCCCCCTGCCTGGAGTCCTCTGCCAGGCGTCTCCAGCGTCTCCCCACATTCAGATACGAATGTTCAATCGCCAAAGAGACCTGCCCTGATCCTACCGCTCCTCTGGCACCGTTGGTGTTCGGGATGCCCGCCGCCCTCGCCACTCTGGGTGCCCCCAGCCCCGCCGGCCTCTGCTGGCCTTACAGAACGAGCCCTGGAGTCCCGATTTATCGCCCCTCAGCCCGGGGCCACAGCTACTTAATGTGGCTCTAGACACCCGTACAAGACAGTGTTCAAACTTTTCGTCTCTCCACAAGTGTCACTGTGATGTTGTGAGTTGGCGCATGGCCTTTTGATTCCATCATTGCGTGTTTCTGTGAGAGTAACTACATGACACTGTTGAGTTAGGCCTTTCTGTGGCCATGTGTGTGGTTGTGTTACCGTGTGACATTTGTGATGTGTCCTCCCAGGATGTGCTATGATAGAAGGGGGCTAACTTGTGGAGAGTAAAGTAGGAGCGTGATGTGACAGTGCCTGTGACAGACCATGAGAATTAGACTAAGAGATGTGGGTTTGTATGTGGAATACTGTCCTGTGGTATCCAATTAGAAAGCGCCAACTGTGACAGATGCTGTTTGAGGTGCTAGGATAAACACAAAGAAATTAAAATTTAAAAATAGTGATAGATTTTTAATGGGAAGAAGGGCAACTTCAAGAAGATTAATATATATGTAACTGAAAACAAACATAAATCTGAATTTACACAAAGGGATGAGAACAGAGAGGGTTTATTGTTAAAATCTCACCAAAAAATTAACCATGTAAACGAAAATAAAACAACGTAGTTAAGCTTATATAGGTGTATAACATACTTATGATATATATGTACACGTATATATGTATATTATATACATAGCATATGACAAACTGTACAAGGAGTGAGAAGTGAATGAAAATACAGTATGGTTCCTACATTGTGCGAATATAATATCACTTGAATGAAAACTGTGATAAGTGAAAGATGAACACTCTCAGCCCTAAATCAACCAATAAATGAACAAAAGAGAAGTAGAGCTAATAACCCAGCAAGAGAGGTAAAATGGAATCAAAAAGTACTCAATCCAGGGCCTCCCTGGATTGTGTGGCACAGGGGTTAAAGTCTCAGTGGTATCAGGCTATCGCCAGCCACTGCAGCATGAGTTCCATCCCTGGCCAGGTAGGTAGCTCACCCACATGGCACAGCAGACCTCTTCCGCTGCTCCCCTCAGCAGTGTATTTCAGTAGATCTGCCTATTCTGCCCCCACTCTGTCTCTGGTGAATCCACTCAAACACCATCCCTTCCTCCGCCCCCCCCCCCAATCTCTGGCCTAGACTTTTTTTGCATGCATAAATAAATCTTTAAAAAAAAAACAATCAAAAGAAGTGAGAGAAAGGGGAAGGGAACGAATAATATATAGAAAACAAATTGTAAGATGGAAGGTTTATATCAATAATCAGATTAACTATATGTAATCTGAATATCCCAATTAAGAGGCACTGTCAGCCCAGATCTTTTGAAAAAGCACAATTCCACCATATGCTGCTTATGATAAATTCACTATACCAGCTGGTTAAAAGTGCAAGGGCAGACAAAAAGATAAACTGGGCCAATGCTGTATAAAGCTGGAATGACCTTGGCTTTGGTAGTGGATTTAGATATGACATGAAAAGATAAGGAGGGCCTCCCTAATGGCGCAGCGGGTTGAGCGCAGTACTATGAGGCTGTCTGCAGCTTCTGCAGCACAGGTTCGATTCCCAGCCGGCCAGGGAGCAACCCACACAGCGTGGCAGACCTCTCCTGTGTCGCCTGTTGCTCCTCTCAGCAGTGCTTTCAGTCCGTCTGCCTTTTCTGCTCTCCACTCTGTCTTTGGTGGGTCCTCTCACCCTTCCGTGCCTCTGGCCTGTACCCCAGCTCTTGTATAAATAAATAAATCTTAAAAAAGAAAATGCACAAGGAACTGAACAGAAAATAAATTGAACTTCAGAACTGAAAACTTTCGTACATCAAAAGACATTAAGAAAATGAAAAGACAACCCACATAATGGGTGTATCTGACGAAGGTTTAATGTCAAGAACTACTAAAATAACAATAAAAAGACAAGCAACCCAATTCAAAAATGAGCAAAGGACTTGAATACACATTTCTTCAAGGATGATATATTGATAGACTTGGGGGGAAAAATACATAAAATGTTGCTCAACCTTATCAGTAATTAGGGAATCAAATGAAACTATATCACTTTTTTTTTATAAAAGATTTATTTATTTATTTATTTATTTATTTATTTATTTATTTATGCAAGCACTGGGTACAGTCAGAAGTGTGGGAGGGTGAGAGAATTCACCAGAGCCAGAGCGGGGAGCAGAGCAGGCAGAAGGACCGAAGTACACTGCTGAGGGGAGCAGCGGGCGGCAGGAGAGGTCTGCGCGCCATGTGGGACCCTCCTCTGGTGGCCAGGGAGCAGCCGGGGATCAAACCGGCGCTGCGGAGGCTGAGGGCAGCTTCGCAACCCAGCGCCCAACCGCTGTGCCAGCAGGGAGGCCCTGAAACTATATTACTTTATACCTAAAAGGATGGGAATCACCAAAATATCTGAAAATAATAAGTGTTGATAAGGATTTATTGACCGTTTATGAGTTCATGTCTGGCTTTACTGATATGAGAATTTAAAGAGAGACCCAAAGAGTCATCAGAGACAGAGTGGGGAACAGACAGGCAGACTGACCGAAATACACTGCTGAGGGGAGCTGCAGGTGAGACAGGAGAGGTCTGCCCTGCCATGTGGGTAGCTCCCTGGCCGCGGATCTAACTCGTGCTGCAGTGTCTGCGGACAGCTTCATATTGTTACAGGGCAACCCCGATATAAAACGGGGGACATCCTTTCCCCCTAACAATATGTTGCATCTTAACCCCTTGAGCCACCAGGGAAGCCCCTCCCACTTAGGTTTTTCACTCCAGATGTTGAAGCTGATCTGAATTCCTGACAAAAAACATCCATCTGATCGTTCAAATGTTTCAGCCTTCTTCAACAGTATCTTTCCACATTACGTGGATCACCTTTGTCCATATAACCCCCACCCAATGTGTAGCAACACGGTGCAAAAAAGCCTGGGCGTTTAGTATTACAACCTCAGAACCCTAAAGGGTTCCACTTACTACCTTGGTGACTCCGGCTGACTGACTTAATCCTGCCAGGGGCCAATCAGAAGAGCAGAAATACACCAAGGAACGGACAACGAGCACAACTACCTCTGACAAAACTGCAAGGTCAGCATCAGACGGTCCCAAGAACACAAGAGGCGACTCTGGTCAAACGAACGGTCTCATTCGCACGATCCCAAAGGTCATGCACTCAGCGTCTCTCGACTCCATAAAACCCCCTACCCCCAAATTCCACGGCTGGAGTCTCCTACACACGGCCCCCAATTGCACATTTCCCTGACCGCCGCCAGGAACTAAGGCTCAGGATGGTCAGTCTCGTCCCGCCACGGGCCTCGGTCCTCCCAGCCTTACCCCGGCTGAAGCCCTCAGCCAGGAGGACCGCGCAGCAGACGGAACTAAAGCGACCGAGCGATGCTTTCTTCACGGACCCGGCAACACAGCCCCAGGACCGCTCAGCTCCAGATACCCGTTAGGAGGAAGCGACTCTCCGCCGACTGGGGCCGCAAAGGCCTTTGGGAAATGTAGTCCGGGGTCGAACTCTCTACCTTTTCAGAATTTTTCGCAGACCAAGGTGCACGCCCAGGTTCCGGGTGCCGGCCTGAAGGGAGAACGCTCCATCAAACCCTCAAAAGGCTTCCAGCCTTTTCGGGCGCCTTTAAACGCCCCGGTTGGCCAGTCCCACTCGGCACACAGGAAGGCCCTCCCGCCCGGTGGGCCGCGGGGGCCTCTGGGAAGTGTTGTCCCACGTCTAACGGTCCGCGGTGGGCGCTGCTGGCTGCCGCCGACCCGAGTGACGCGCCTCCTGCGACCCGGCGCGGGGTGTGGAATCGGGCCCGGGCCCGCGGGGTGGGTGGTGAGTCCTCGCGGAGCCGCGCGCTCGGAGCCCCGGGGTCTTGGTGCTGGGAGGGGTAGGGCCTGCGGACCCGGGGCCCGGGTGTGGGGAGGAGGGTGCGGCGAGGGGAGGCCCGCGAGCGGGTGGCGGGGCGCGCTCGTGCTCGCTGGACAGCTGTCTGGGACGGTGTGCCTGGGCGGACAGGTGCGTGTAAGCGGATTTCGTGGTTGTGCTTTTCCTTTTCTGCTTAATTTGAAAGTGGGGGCGAACGTGCGTGGCTGTGGGGTCGTGAGCGAGGGAGCAGCTCCGGGGATGCGAGGAAGGGGCGAGCACCGAGTGGGGAGGTCTGGGAGACTGTACCACGGCGTCCTGGCTTTGGTTATGGCAGCTGCAAATGTCCTTATGTGAGACAGCAATAACCCCGACATTTTATTTCAATATTTGTTTTTTTTTTTTTCCCTTCGTATCAGCCACGTTGTGTTCTGTGAATTGGAACCTTACGCTCGTGGCCCCTAGCTCATCGCTCCCAATCGCAAAATACAGAAAAACTCAAAGAAAACTATTGTTCCTAATTCTCCCGGTCATTATCAAAATGTATTTCTCGTGTTTTTTCATCCATCCCTCTGAATACATACACATGCATTTCATATGTTCTGATATATGTGTGTAATAGCTTCAAACGTGCCCTCATTCTGTACAGACAGTTCTGTAACCTGCCTGTGTCTTTTAACAATGCATAGTATCTTTCCATTAAAACAATTACAAATCTATACCCCCACTTTCAAGTTTTTCACAATATACATTGTAAAGCACTTATCCCTATTGATGGGAAATGTTCTTTCCAACTTCTTGACATTATAAACAGTGTGCTTATTTGCAAGTACTTGGCACGTAGTTGTTTTGGTAGGTGGCAGGCACCTAAAAAAAAGGAACTGATGCGTCAGAATGTGTGCATTTATTAAAGGCTCCCTAACTCTATCCAATTATTCTCTTATAAGGTTCCAGTAGCCTACAGTATTATTGGCATAGTGTAAAATTACCTATATTCACACACCTTTGATGACAATGGGCAGCATTAAAATTAGTAATCTTTGTTAACCTCATAGTTGTAAAATAATTTGCAATTTGCTAACGTCTGACTAGTCAAACATTTTAAAACTTTTTGAGAATTATGTTTTCTAAAGCAGCATTCTATTTCCAAATTTCATTTTCACAATTCTTCACATATTAAGGATTTACTTATTTATGTACTCACCATTTGCTGAATGCTCTCCGTATGACAGGAATGATTCTAGATGTTCTGGATAGAGCATTGAACAAAAGAAACTCCTTGCTATTATGGTACTTACATTGCTGTTGGCCAGATAATAAATGAGGTAAGTAACGTCTGCAGAGTCTTTCCCCATAAGTCATGCAATGTTTGATTTAGCAATCAGGAATTGGGAAGCATAGGGAGATGTATTTAAATTCTCCTTACTGCTACACTAATAATACCAAAGCACTTCTGAGGATGAGCAGGAGTATCTCTCATACATTCCTGGTCAGAATGCAAAATGTTACTATCAATTTGGAAAATAGTTCATTGGTTTCTTTTAAAGTTAAATTATGCTTTTAACCAAGTGATCCGGAAATCCCAACTCTCAGTAGTTACCCAAGTACATTGAAGATTTATGTTCTCATATAAATATTTTGTTTGTGAATATTTATAGCAGCTTTATTTTTAAAGGAGAATCCAACTGTTTCAGCAGGTGATCGCATAAACAGACTGTTGGACATTCTACTACTCAGCAATCAAAAGGCATTGACTACTGATTCATATGCAACAGAGATGATTCTTAACTACATTTTGCTGAATGAACAAAGCCAGATCAGATCCTAAATATTGTATTATTCCATTTAAGTGACATCCTGAAAAAGATAAAAATAGGGACAGAATGCAGATCAGTTGCTGCCAGGGTTTGGTGTTGGGGGGTAGGAGGCAGCATCAACTACACAAGACAATCACTCTGAAAATTTTGGGTTGATTTAACTGTTTTATAGGGGTACTCTAATGGTAGATTCATGAAAGTGTCAAAATACATAAAATCACACAGAAGAGTGAATTTTACCATTTGCAAATTTAAAAAAATTCAACCAAAATGGAGATAGGACTTGAAATGGAATGCAGAATGTGGCAAATGAAATGAACTCTGCTACAAATGTATGGGGTATCCTCACAGAAGGTGGGGGAGGCAAAAGGAACTGGCCTAACTGATTTTGTTAGTGTCCCCTTCCTTCTTCAGAGAGAACTCTTTTTTTTTTTTAAGTCTTTTTTTTTTTTTTTAATAGAGGCATGTTTTATTTATTTATTTGTTTGTTTGTTTATACATGCACTGGGTACAGTCAGAAGCGCGGGAGGGTGAGAGAATTCACCAGAGCGGGGAGCAGAACAGGCAGAAGGACCGAAGTACACTGCTGAGGGGAGCAGCAGGCGGCAGGAGAGGTCTGCGCGCCATGTGGGACCCTCCTCCAGTGGCCGGGGAGCAGCTGGGGATCGAACCGGCGCCGCAGAGGCCGCGGGCAGCTTCGCAACCCAGCGCTCAACCGCTGCGCCACCTGGGAGGCCCAGAGAGAACTCTTGATTGTGTCTTTAAAGTATCAAAAACAGGTCTTAGGAATCATCTGGTAACTTATTTCTGTACATGCACAACTATTACTTAATAATAATTGTTATCCATCAATTTGCTGAACTGCTCTTTTTTTCAGAGAGACCATTCAAAAGTTTTCACATGTCCTTATTTTTAACCGTTTTGGGTTGCTGAATCAAAGCACCTGAATTTGATGCAGGTTCAGTGTTGTTTACTTTTCATAACTCATCTTTCTAGGCTTTAGATACAGAAGAGGCAATACTTGGCCTCCTCTGAGCCCTATATTTTTTTCACCAATGCTGGTGCTGGGGAACTGTTTAGACACCATCTTATTCTGCTGTCCTAGTCAAGGCTAATTATAATGATTCCAACAAAATAGGGTTCCCAGAGTCACAGTGCTTATAAGTGGCAGAGGGAGGACAGAAGTAAGTCTCTTTGCTTCCAGGTTGCTGGCCTAAAGTTTTGGCCTAAAGTTTTCTCTTTGCTTTCTCATCTGGCCTAAAGTTTCTTTTAGAAGATCCTTTAGGAAAAAACTTCAAATGAAGGCCTCCCTGGTGGCTCAGGGGTTAAAGCCACAGCACTATCAAGCTAACTCCAGCCACTGTGGCATGAGTTCGATCCCCAGCCAGGTAAACTGACCCACATTGTGCAGCAGACCTCTCCTATCTCGCCCGCTGCTCCCCTCAGCAGTGTATTTCATTTTATCTGCCTGTTCTGTTCCCCACTCTGTCTCCAGTGAATCCTCTCACACCCCCATCCCGCACCTCTGGCCTATACCCCAGTTCTTGTATGCATAAATAAATTTTTAAAATAAATTAAAAGATATAGTGCCACTAGATTTATAATAAGAACAGCTATTATTATACTATTTACTTCCTATCACTAATTCGCTTTTCTAGAAAAACTACTTTCAACAGCTCCCTTTTTTTTTATTTAATTTTTTTTATTTTTGTGCAGAAGAACTAGGGTGTATGCCAGAGGTGCAGTGGGTGAGAGGATTCACCAGAGCCAGAATGAGGAGCAGAACAGCAGATCTACTGAAATACATTGCTGAGGGGAGCAGTGAGCAAGATTGCAGATATCTGCTGTGCCATCGGTACAGCCAGTTCGATCCCCAGCTAGGGGATCAAGCCATGGTAGTAGTCGTGCTGAGACATAGCCCCTATGCCACCAAGGAGGCCACTTTACACAGCTCTTAACTATGACTTCATTTATTCTATTTTTCTAAGTCACATGTTTATCCTGACATTTAGTCAACATTTCAGATTCAGGTATTTTTATATGGAAAATAAAAATTTTATTCTTTTACCACCACCACCCACCACTCTTTCTGATACACATACTCACACATACAAACCTCTCTTTATTCCTTCTTCAAAATATAATTATTTCACCACTTTGGTTAAATTCCTATTTATTTGGTATTTAAATATTTCTTTCTAAATGTCTCAATGAAGCTCAGTATCTTCCTGTTCCATGTGGACAGTTTATTCTGTGATACAGAGCTGTTGATAAACCCATGGAGCATTCATTCCTATCCACCCTTGCCTATGCTCCACACGATCAAACCAGTATCCTTAGGCCTCTCATCACCTCTGTGGTATGAATATTCTTGGCTTTTCTGATAGATCTAAATAGCACTGTGCTGTACTTTTATGTTTTAATCTGCCTTGTGGATACAGTGTCCTGAAACCACAAAGGAAGCCTGATCTGATGAGTTTTTATTCTCTTCTCCAGCTGCACCTTCTCAGGCCCCGGGCATTCCTAAAAGAAGAGGAAATGACTGAGTTCCAGGTAAATTCAAATAGTCTATTTGTTCCCTGCCTTATTCTAGTGTGCAGTTTAAGTAACCCATTCAGTGAGTTGGAAAATCCCCACGTACATAAAATACATGTGCAGAGAAAATAAGAATTGGAAGATTAAGACCAAGAGTTAAAATATGGTTATGCAGAAATGCATTCATTCAGAAATATTAAAGTTGAACTTCAATTTTGAATTTCATTACTATAGGTAAAGCAAACCAGTACAGAAATTCATTATATAATTTGCAGTGTACATAAAGATAAGTGTGAACATTTTCTAGCAGGAATAGCTTTGCATTGGCACCTAGGTCAAGAATACATTATAACTTCTTATAACTGATAAACACAGCTTTTTGATGGTCTCTTTTGATCAAGGATAAAATGAATATATGCCAGAATAGTCCAGCATTGGAAAGAACACAAATGAAGACAGAAGAGGGGGTAAATTACATATAGTATTTCATGGAGTGGAAAACTACACCAGAATAAAAAAATAACAGATTACTGCTACTCAGAGCAAGATGGATGAATCTCATAAGTATGTGGAGAGAAACCAGAAACAAGAACATGATGGCCTCATTTATATGAAGTTTGAAAACTGGCAAAACTAATCTCTTGTAATAGAAATCAGAATAATGGTTACCTCTGAGGGGGGAACACTGAGAAGGGACATGAAAGAGTCTTCTGGAATGCTTTATATGCTAAAATGCTAAAATGTTTTATATTTGACCTGAGTGGTTGGGACATAAATATATAAATGTATAAATCTAGTTGTACTTAAAATTAATAATTTTACCACATTCTATTCACGTCATACCTCATTTTAGAAAAGAAAACTAGAGTACCTGAAGAACTAGATGGGGTGTGTGTGTCTTTCAAATGACCCTATAACATTATCTTTTACAATGTACCTCTTTTTATAGATTGGACCACAATCTAAGTAATCACATCTAGAAAATTCTGATAATTTTGGTCCACTAGAATATGAACAGAGAAGATGTTTTATTTGGTTTGCTATTTTATATCCAGTCCCTAGATCAATCCCTAGTATTCATGGTTTTTAATGAATACATGTGGTCTTAATTATTTCAACCCATAGTCCCTTATTCTTTTACAATAAGTGATACTCTTTTGCAATAAGAGACATCTGTGTCATCTTCAAGGATATTTTCTTTTCCTCAGAACATCATCCCTTTTTTTTCACATTTTCTTTGGAATCTTTCTCAGACTTGTCCTACAGTTTTGGATATTGAACTTGTCCTACAGTTACTGATATTAGATATCTCACCTTACTGCCTTTTCATCCTTAATTCGGAGCTTTGCTCTACTAAGATATACCTTTCTTTGACCATGAGTGGGGAACAGAACAGGTGGATTGACTGAAATATACTGTTAAGGGGAACAGCAGGCAAGACAGGAGGTCTGCTGTGCCACCAGGGAGGCCCACATTCCCCCTATATTATATATTCAGTATAAAGTGGTGCCCAAGATGTTTTAAACCCATAGCAATTTATTTAAGATAAGTCCTTGCTAAATCAATAAATGGACATAAGCTTGACAGGATGTTGCTCATGTTTTTCTTTTAGAAAATAACAAAATCAGGTAAAAAAATTTAATAACCTCTTACCTTTGCACACTGTGAGAACAAGGTTCAATATGCTTTGTCCACATTGTCTAAGATGGCTGACTTCAGATTGAGTAGGAGTGTGTTGTTACAGGAAACAGTGACATTCAAAGATGTGGCTATTGACTTCACCCAGGAAGAGTGGCAGCAATTGGATCCTGCTCAAAGGAACCTGTATCGGAATGTGATGCTAGAAAACTATAACAACTTAATCACAGTGGGTAAGGGTGTTTTCCTGTATAACTCAAATTCTGGGAATAAAGTACCTCCTCCCCCTCCCCACTGTTTCTGAAAATGTGTGGAACCTTTAAGTGTTTGAGTGAGTTTGGGTGTTCAATGCCTGTGTTCACATATACATGCATGCTGTAGCTTTGAATGCAGGTCATTCTTGGCCGTTGTGGTTAGTATCCCCAGAAAGTACACTTTTCTCATCCTCCAGAAAACCTGCTTTTTACCGGGCTATCCTCAATTTTTTGAATGATTCTTGGCTCCTCGTACTTTTTTTCTTAAAAGATTTATTTATTTATGCATACAAGAGCTGGGCCAGAGGTGCAGGGGGTGAGAGGATTTACCAGAGACAGAGTGGGGAACAGAACAGGCGGATCTACTGAGATACACTGCTGAGGGGAGCAGCGGGAGAGTCAAGAGAGGTCTGCTGCGCCATGTGGGTATCTCCTTGGCCGGGGGTCGAACTCATCTGCAGAGGCTGTGGAGAGTTTCACAGTGCTGTGCTTATTTAACCCCTTGCACCACCAGGGAGGCCCTTGGTTCCTAGTACTTTTGCACAAATCAATGCCACTTCCCTTTAACAGGCTGTCCATTCACCAAGCCTGATGTGATATTCAAGTTGGAGCAAGAAGAAGAACCATGGGTGTTGGAGGAAGGTGTGTTAAGAAGACACTATCCAGGTTAGTGGGAGAGAACCAGACAGGTGAGGAGGAAAGAGGACCCTTTAAAGGTTAATCTGGAGATAGCTGATCCCTCTGAAATGTTCTTCAAAGGTATTTCCCTAAAAACCATAGACTTTTGTCATGACAATTGATATGTATGCTTTATAAACCTCAGATGTCATTTTTAAGTAACATCTTTCCTCAGAACTTTCCACTGAACGTAAAGGACCAGTTGGCTTTCTTACCTGTGTGCTAGATACCGACATTTCCTAATTCATTTCCAGCTTTACTTTGCTAATCAATCCATTTATTAGCATTTCAGTTTTTCTGTATCTTTTTTACATAGGATTCTTACCTTTTCATTCAGATACTTACAGAATTGTTGTTCAAATAAACCTCTTGACATTTGTAGTCCTTTATTTTCTGCATCTCTTCTTTCTTCCATTGTAAATGGCTTAGCATCATATACTGTACACAGTCATACTTCCCACTGTATTTAGCTTTTGCTGTCATATTGCAGTAATGGTGACAACTCTTTTATTTCAATAAAAGTTTTTAAGTCAATGCTTTTCTTTTAGTTTCCAACTTTCCACTATTTTGCCATGTATGCTTGCATGCGTTTGTGTATGTACAGTCATATACACATACACATACATATTCTTCTATAAGACACACATATTTACATACACATTCATTTCTAATTTGATAGATCTCTCCAAGTCTTTTTTTGCCCTTCAAGAAGATAACCATTTATATTTGGAATTTTTCCCACTAAGCATAGTGTTAGTGTTCGAGTTCTACTGTACTTTCAGTTAGGTTTCTGTCTGTTCCTATTTTATAAGGATCTTTTACAGACGTTGAATTTCATCATTTGTTTAATATCTGTTTGACTTATTCACATATTTCCCTATAGTAATAGATTTTTTGAATATTGAAGCGTACTTACATTCTTGGAAAAAGTATCTATTCAGGTATGATTCATCTTATATTGAATATGCTTCTGGCTAATTTTTTTCCTTACCTCATTTTGCTATTTTATAGAGAATTTTTTTTTAAAGATTTATTTATTTATTTATTTATTTATTTATTTATATAAGCACTGGGATACAGTCAGAAGCGCGGGAGGGTGAGAGAATTCACCAGAGCCAGAGCGGGGAGCAGAACAGGCAGAAGGACTGAAGTACACTGCTGAGGGGAGCAGCGGGCGGCAGGAGAGGTCTGCGCGCCATGCGGGACCCTCCTCCGGTGGCCGGGGAGCAGCCGGGGATCGACTGGAGCTGCAGAGGCCGCGGGCAGCTTCGCAACCCAGTGGCTCAACTGCTGCACCACCGGGGAGGCCCTTTTATAGAGAATTTTTACATTGATAGTCATAAGTGGAATTGCTACATAGTTTGCTTTTTTTTTGGTTCTCACCTTTTTCAGGTTTTGGTATTAACATTATGCTTCTACACAAAAGTTGGGATTTCCTTTTTCCCTTTGTAACTTTTTCTGTGACATGGGGCCTGTCACTTAAATGTTAATTAAAATTCCCCATTTGAATGTCTCTGGACATTTTCTATTGTGTTTTTAGAGGTTTGCTTTTCATATTTTTCTGTTGGTTTTGTGGAAACTGGCCTAAAGAGATTTTCTGCATCATCTAAAGTGAGTTTTAGTAATTTAAATTTTCCAGGAAATTATTCACGTCAACTAGTTTTTGATAAGATATTTCACTAGAATCCTGGAAATTTTTTTAAACTTCTATTTCTGTTTTTTTCACTGTCATTTCTTTTTTGTTCGTACATTCTATAGTTGCCCTTTTATTTACTCAAGTCTTTTTTTCTAGATCCCATTTAAAAACAATTGAAGCTATTTGATTAATAAATCTACCTCTACTCATATTTGCTTCCCTAGAATTTTCTTCTCAAAGCTTAGAAAATAGGAGATGTATACACCTGCAATTTGCTTAATAATGTCAAGGACCAACCCCATAATAGTGTATTTTTGAAATTTTCTTATATTACAATATTGGAAAATTTTACAAATGATACTTATTTACAATCTGTTTTAGAAATATGGGTTACTGATGAGCATGAGAAAGTCCAGGACAAACTTTTGACACAACTTGAAGATAAATTCACAAAAACATGGACTGAAGAAAAAGTCAGTGAGTGTCATCAGAAATTTACAAATGTATTTCCTCCGAACTCAGACTTTTTCCCTTCCAGTCACAATATGTATGAATATGACTTATTTGGACAATGTTTAGGGCATAATTTTGATTATCATAATAATGAAAGAATCCTTATAAGAAAGGAAAATTGTGATTACAATGAAGCTATGAAATCATTTGGCAGTAGCTCATCCCATCATGTAGTAACCCCCTTTAGGTGTAATCATTGTGGAAAAGGATTCAGTCAAACCTTAGACCTCATAAGACACTTAAGAATTCATACTGGAGAGAAACCTTATGAATGTAAAAAATGTAGGAAAGCCTTCAGCCATAAGGAAAAACTTATTAAACATAACAAAATTCACAGTAGGGAGCAATCTTATGAATGTAATGAATGTGGAAAAACTTTCATTAAAATGTCAAATCTCATTAGACATCAAAGAATTCACACTGGAGAGAAACCCTATGCATGTAAGGAATGTGGGAAATCCTTCAGCCAGAAATCTAATCTCATTGATCATGAAAAAATTCATACTGGAGAAAAACCTTATGAATGTAATGAATGTGGAAAAGCCTTCAGCCAGAAACAAAGTCTCATTGCACATCAGAAAGTTCATACCGGGGAGAAACCTTATGCATGTAATGAATGCGGTAAAGCCTTCCCTCGAATTGCATCCCTTGCTCTTCATATGAGAAGTCATACAGGCGAAAAACCTTATAAATGTGATAAATGTGGAAAAGCCTTCTCTCAGTTTTCCATGCTTATTATACATGTGAGAATTCATACAGGTGAGAAACCCTATGAGTGTAATGAATGTGGAAAATCCTTCTCTCAAAGCTCAGCCCTTACTGTACATATGAGAAGTCATACTGGTGAGAAACCTTACGAATGTAAGGAATGTAGAAAAGCCTTCAGCCACAAGAAAAACTTCATTACACATCAGAAGATTCATACTAGAGAGAAACCTTATGAATGTAATGAATGTGGAAAAGCATTCATTCAGATGTCAAATCTTGTTCGACACCAGAGAATCCACACTGGAGAGAAACCCTATATATGTAAGGAATGTGGCAAAGCTTTTAGCCAGAAATCGAATCTCATTGCTCATGAAAAAATTCACTCTGGAGAGAAACCCTATGAATGTAATGAATGTGGTAAAGCCTTCAGCCAAAAGCAAAACTTTATTACCCATCAGAAAGTTCACACTGGAGAGAAACCTTATGATTGTAACGAATGTGGTAAAGCCTTCTCTCAGATTGCATCCCTTACTCTTCATCTGAGAAGTCACACAGGGGAAAAGCCTTATGAATGTGATAAATGTGGAAAAGCCTTCTCTCAGTGCTCACTGCTTAATTTACACATGAGAAGTCATACAGGTGAGAAGCCCTATGTATGTAATGAATGTGGAAAAGCTTTCTCTCAAAGAACTTCCCTTATTGTGCATATGAGAGGTCACACGGGTGAGAAACCCTATGAATGTAATAAATGTGGGAAAGCCTTCTCCCAAAGCTCATCACTAACTATACATATACGTGGTCACACAGGTGAGAAACCCTTTGACTGTAGCAAATGTGGAAAAGCCTTCTCTCAAATCTCATCTCTTACACTTCACATGAGAAAACATACAGGGGAGAAGCCTTATCACTGTAATGAGTGTGGCAAAGCTTTCAGCCAAAAATCACACCTTGTTAGACACCAGAGAATTCATACTCATTAGAATATAAATATGGCGAATATGGAAAAGCCTTCAGAAGGAATCTGTGCATCCTTGCACGATATATAATCAGTTCTAGAGCAGAAAACTGAATGTGGGAAAGTACTTTGAAGAAGCCACATTTGTAAAATATGGGAATTCTTATCAAGGTGAAAAATTTTATGATGAGAAGCTGATCAAAAAGGTTTAGCAAGACAGCTTATCTATCAATATTTAGTCAGCATTCTCATTAAAATTTGGTATCTGTTATCAGCATATCAGCATGATCCTTGAACTCCTAGCCAATAGAATAAGCAAGAAAGATTGCAAAAAGAGTAACTTTAACCTTTTATACAAAAAATATTTCATTAAAAATGTATTGATATATCTAAGGATAAGCACAACAATGAATTACAAGACAAGTATATAGAGAGAGATAAGAACATTTTGAAGAGCACAAAACACCTGAAAATTTGAGGGAAAAAATATTGTAGACTTGCCATTATAAAAATATGTAGGTTCTCTCCCAAGTATCTTAATTTAAAGTATTTCCAACTCAGAGTTTTTAGCAGTTATACTTTTAGAAATTTCACAAACCAATTCTAAATTTTATATGGAATGTAAAGGACTACAGGTAGCTGAGTCAAATGTGAAGGAGAAATTCTGAAGACAGGATCTTCTAAATGTAATTATATACTTTAAAGCTGGTATCACTTAAATGGTGTGTTCTTACCTAGAATAATTGAGTGGAAGCTGATACAAAAATTGAAGACTGATACAAAAATCCAAGGAGATGTGGGAATTTTTGTATGTGTATGACAGTGCTATTGAAATCACTGGAGAAATTATGGCCTATGCAATAAATGGAAGATTCATATGAACAACAAAGTTCTCTGTCATTTACAAAAAATAAAATCCAAATAGATTGAAGATCGGAATGTAAAAAGCAAATTCTAAAGCTATCATGAAAATAGAATATATAACATTTGAAAAACAGGATTTCTTTTAGAACACATAAACATGGTACAATCAATTCTACTTTGGTGTTTTGGCCTCAAAGGTGCCGGATATGTACGCAGAGAAAGATCTAGATCTCATTGTGTTCTCTGAATCCTGGTTTGTATTGACTCTAAATTGGACATCACAAATTTCCATCAGTGGAGGGTAAAACAACACAATACGATCATTTCTATTCAATTGAGTGTTTAGAGAGATACAAATTTGTTTCTCATATCATTACATGAGTAGAGCACATTATATAATGTTAAGAGAAAAAAGCAAAAATGCACAATGAAACTATACATTTTTATAAATGTAATAAAATAGTGCAAAAAACAGTACTGTTTCAATCATGGATCCATGTATGACATTGATTGCCTTTTAGGAAGTGGGAAGGGTTTGGAGAGGGACTTGTTATATTTACTTGTAATATTTCCTTAATAAAAGAATGAAAGCAAATAAGACAGTGGCAAAAAATTTTTTTATAGTTTATCTTTAGTTTCCGATTTCTCTTAAATAAGAACCAATGAGTGATCTTATTTAATCTCCCTTTTTTCCAGGTAGTCTCCATATTTAAAGCTTTTTGGGTGGGGATGGAATTTCAACTCCCCATTGGCCCTTTATCACATGGGGGAAGGTGAAAATTTGATTTGAGAAGCACTGCCTCAAACCACCTAGCTCTACCTTGCTGCTTCTGGTTGGGTGTGGAAGTTCATCCCGGCCAAACCTGCCCACCATGGGGCGAAACGGGGCTGATACCCCAAATAGTGCTCTTGCACCAAGACAGAGCTTTGGGGTGAGAGTAGGGAGGAAGGATGAAGGGCAATGAAGTCAGGGGAGGAAAGAAACAAGTTCTGTAAGAGGGAAGGAAGGGCTTTCTGTACTCTGCGCCCATCAACACAGCCCCACTTTGGACCAAGGGGACCGAAGAGCCAAAACAGTCTGAAGTTCACATTTCTATGGGTAGCTCTTTGCATATAACTGTACTCAGAGGCTGGAAAATAAACTTGAGGGTAATCAGTTTTTCTGCTGTCATCATCTCAGACCAAGCACAGTGGGTCAGAAAAACAATAATGAAAATGGGGCCTCCCTGAGGGTGGCGCGGGGGGTTGAGCACAGCACTGTGAAGCTGTCCTGTAGCCTCTGCCACAGCACGAGTTGGATCCCCCACTAGCCAGAGGGCAACCCACGTGGCACAGCACACCTCTCCTGTCTCACCTTCTGCTCCCCTCAGCAGTGTATTTAGGTACATCTGCCTGTTCTGCTTCCCGCTGTCTGGTGAATCCTCTCACCCCCTCCCAACTCTAGCCTGTACCCCACTTCTTAAAAAAATTTTTTTTAAATAAATAATGAAAATGGCTAGTCTCTTGAACAGGCAGAACACGTGTATCCCAGCTAGGAAGGGAACCCTTACGGAAGACACGACTACAGGGCAATCCAAACTTTATCCAAGAGAAGCTAATAACTGGCCAACAAACATATGAAAGAATCCTTAACATTACTAGTCCTTTGGAAAATGTAAATCAAAATCACATGAGGTACCATAGCCAGAGGATGGCTATAAAATAAAAAGGAAAGTGTTAATGAGGATGTGGAGAAAACTTGTATATTGCTGGTGGTAGTTTAAAATGTTTCCGTTTGGCAGTTCCTCAGACAGTTTGCATAGATTTACCATATAATGCAACACTGCATACACACTTCCTGTGTATGTGTGTGTTTGTGTGTGTGTATGCCCCCAAAGAACTGAAACCAAGGACATACATACACACATATTCAGAGACATGCTAGTCACAAGAGCCAAAGGTGTATGTACTCCAGACGTCCATCAACAGATGAAAAGATAGCAAATTGTGATATATGCATAAGGTGGAATATTATCCAATAACAAAAAGGAATAAAGGACAAATAATGTTTATAAGGCACGGATGAGCCTTCAAACATGCTAAAGATGCCAGATCAAAAAAGATCACATAGGGCCTCGACCTCTCCTGCCGCCCGCTGCTCCCCTCAGCCGTGTACTTCGGTCCTTCTACCTGCTCTGCTCCCCACTCTGGCTCTGGTGAATTCTCTCACCCTCCCGCGCTTCTGACTATACCCAGTGCTTGTATGTATGTATAGATAGATAGATAGATAGATACATAGATACATAGATAGATACATAGATAGATAGATAAATCTTTTTTTAAAAAAAAAAGTAAAATTAAAAAAAAAATCACATAGGGCCTCCCCGGTGGCGCAGCGGTTGAGCGCTGGGTTGCGAAGCTGCCCGCAGCCTCTGCAGCGCTGGTTCAATTCCCGGCTGCTCCCCGGCCACCAGAGGAGGGTCCCACATGGCGTGCAGACCTCTCCTGCCGCCCACTGCTCCCCTCAGCAGTGTCCTTCGGTCCTTCTGCCTGCTCTGCTCCCCGCTCTGGCTCTGGTGAATTCTCTCACCCTCCCACGCCTCTGACTGTACCCAGTGCTTGTATAAATAAATAAATAAATAAATCTAAAAAAAAAATCACATATTACATGATTGCATTTATCTGAAATATCCAAGAGATAAACCCATAGACAGAGAACACAAATTAGGGCCTCCCTGGTGACGCAAGGGGTTAAGCACAGCGCTATGAAATGATCCACAGCCTCTGCAACACAAGTTCGATCCCAGCCGGCCAGGAAGCAACCCACATGGCACAACAGATCTCTCCTGCCTTGCCCACTGCTCCCCTCAGCAGTGTATTTCAGTCAATCTGCCTGCCCACCACCCTTCCCCCGCACCTCTGGCCTGTACCCCAGTTCTTGTATGCATAAATAAATCTTTAAAAAAATAAAATACAGGGCCTCCCCGGTGGCGCAGCGGTTGAGCGCTGGGTTGCGAAGCTGCCTGCAGCCTCTGCAGCGCCAGTTCGATCCTCGGCTGCTCCCCGGCCACCAGAGGAGGGTCCCGCATGGCGCGCAGACCCCTCCTGCCGCCCGCTGCTCCCCTCAGCAGTGTACTTCGGTCCTTCTGCCTGCTCTGCTCCCCGCTCTGGCTCTGGTGAATTCTCTCACCCTCCTGCGCCTCTGACTGTACCCAGTGCTTGTATAAATAAATAAATAAAATCTTTAAAAAAAAAAATAAAATAAATTAAAATAAAATACAAATTAGAGGTTGCTAGGGACTGAGGGGAAGGGAGAAATAGAAAATACTTAACAGTTAAGGGATTTTACTTTGGAAGGATGGAGAAATGTTTTGGAACTGGAGGTGGTGGTTGTACAATTGTGAATGTGCTAAATCTAAATTATTCACCTAAGTGGCTAATTTCATCTTATGTGTGAAATTCACTTCAATACATTATTTTAAAAATGAAATGGTCTAGGGGCCTCCCCTGGTGGCGCAGCGGTTGAGCTCTGGGCTACGGAGCTGCCCATAGCCTCTGCAGGGACGGTTTGATCCCCGGTGGCGGGCAAGGGTCCCACATGGCGCTCAGACCTCTCCTGCCGCCCGCTGCTCCCCTCAGCAGTGTGTTTCGTCAGTCTGCCTGCTCTGTCCCCCGCTCTGGCTTTGGTGAATTCTCTCACCCTCCCGCGCTTCTGATTGTACCCAGTGCTTATATAAATAAATTAATCTTTAAAAAAAACAAAAGGAATGGTCTAAACATCTCAGTTAAACAGCAGAGATTTCCAGACTGAATTTTTAAAATACCCAATTATATGCTGCTTACAAGAATGTGATTTGAAATAGACACAGATAGATTAAACGATTTGCTTTACTAACACTAATTAAAAGAAAGCTAGAGTAGATCTATTAATATCAGACAAAGTAGGCTTGTGAGCAAAGAATATAATCATAGGGCCGCCCTAGTGGCCTAGGGGTTAAGTCTCAGCACTGCCAGAAAGGCCTGGGTTTGAACCCCAGCCAGGGAACTACCCACATGGCACAGCAGAACTCTCCTGTCTTCCCAGTGCTCCCCTCAGCAGTATATCTCAGTAGATCCGCTGTTCTGCTCCCCACTCTGTCTCTAGTGAATCCTCACCTGTCCCCCGCACCTCTGGCCTACACACCAATTCTTATATGCATAAATAAATCAAAATAAATATTTAAAATAAACATGAATGCTCAGAACCTTAAATTATTTGCAAATCAGGTAACATAAAAATTAATTTTGCATGACAAAAAAGGGCCAAAAACATTAAAAAAAAAACCCTGGTAAACATATTTGAAATTACATCAAAATGTGCTAATTTCCCTATTATGTACATAAAAGGTTACTTTCCAATTGAAAACTGAGTAAAAGACAGTTCACAGAAAAGCAGCTCATTCTTAGTAAAAAGGCAAAACTACACTGGGATTTTTCCCATCTCTCAGGGTGATGAAGATCCAATAGTGGGATGATTTACCCTATAGCTGAAAAATCTGCAATCCAAAAGCTTATAATACATATACTTCTTGAATATATGTATAATATGTGGCTACTAAGGAAGCCATATTCACTACCAAAGAATCAATATAAACATGTGACTATAATAGCATTTAAAACAAGTAACAAAAAAAAATATGAGGGTTTTTTTTTGTTGTTGTTAAAGAACATCGCAAGTAAATTATAAAACATGGAAATGAATAACAATGAAAATACTAAATGCCAAAATTATAGAACAAAATTTATATCAGATAGGGACATGTGAAGTACACTTATCAGGAAAACCAAAAAACTAAATTCTCAGTTCAAATGTAGCTTAAGAAGGGCAAAGCACAGTAAGCCAAAAATAAATTATAAACATAAAAGACAGAAATCAATAGGGAATTGAGAGAAATAAGACAGGATAACAAAACTGAGGGACTGGCTTTTATATGGTTTATGTAAAATGTCAAGGGCAGGGGGCTTCCCCGGTGGCGCAGTGGTTGAGCGCTGGGTTGGGAAGCTGCCCGCAGCCTCTGCGGCACAGGTTCAATCCCCGGCTGCTCCCCGGCCACCGGAGGAGGGTCCCACATGGCGCGCAGACCTCTCCTGCCGCCTGCCCGCTGCTCCCCTCAGCAGTGTACTTCGGTCCTTCTGCCTGTTCTGCTCCCCGCTCTGGCTCTGGTGAATTCTCTCACCCTCCCGCGCTTCTGACTGTACCTAGTGCATGTATAAACAAACCATCAAACAAATAAATAAAATTAAAAAAATGCCTCTATAAAAAAAAAAAAGAAAATGTCAAGGGCAGGGCCATCCTGGTGGCACAAGGGGTTAGACACAACCTATGAAGCTTTCCGCAGCCACTGCAGCACGAGTTCAATCCCCGGCCAGGGAGCTACCCACATGGCGCAGCTACCCACATGGCACAGCTACCCTCAGCAGAATATTTCAGTCATTCTGCCAGTTCTGTTCCCCACTATTTCTGGTGATTCCTCTCACCCCCCCAACACCTCTGGCCTGCACCCCAGTTCTTGTATGCATAAATAAATAAATCTTTAGAAACTGGCATTAAAAAAATTTGGTGTTAAGTAGAAAAAATGACACTATAGCAAAATACCACTAAATTTCAAACACAATATATGACCTATTTGATGTCTGTGCTTGTGTGTACACACATTTAAACTTGCACACAAAACATACCTATGTGCATGCCTACTAGAGAGAATGGGAAAGATGGGGGAAAGAACCAACCAAGGAATATTGAATTAACCAACTTTGATAATGGACAATGACTGGAGTCCCAAAAGTACAAATGTGAGCCATACCCGTCCTGGCCTCCATCTTAACAGAAGGCAGGAAGCTAACAGCCTCAAATACCAAGAGACTCTGGAGCTGCAGTTCCCACTCTAGGACCAGGGAGAAAGGTTGGGAGCACTACTCTGGGGACCCGACCCATGGAGTAAGAGGCAGAACACTGGGGTTGGATTTACAACTCCGTCTCTGCTGGGCAGCTACTGACACTCATGCGATTCAACTTCCTGCTTGATTTCATCATTTATAACTACTCTGTTAAGGGGGCCTCCTTGGTGTTGCAGGAGTGAAAGTATTAGTACTATAAAGCTATCACCAGTCACGGTGGCATAAGTTCAATCCCCGGCTGGGGAGCTACACATGGTGCAGCAGACCTCTCCTGTCTCGCGTGCTGCTCCCCATCAGCAGTGTATTTCAATAGATCCACCTGTTCTGCTCCCCATTCTGTCTCTTGTGAAACCTCTCAGTGCCTGCACCTCTGACCTACACTGCAATTCTTCAATGCAAAAATAAATAAAATGAAAAAAAAAATTGGCCACAGAAGCTAGGCTCTGACAATTTGAGCATTGAAAGTATACACATGAGGGTCTCCCCTGGTGGTGCAGCGGTTAAGCGCTGGGCTGCGAAGCTGCCCATGGCCTCTGCAGCACCGGTTCGTTCAACGGCCGCCGACAAGGGTCCCACAAAAAAAAAAAAAAAGTATACACATGATAATGAATTGAAATGTTAACTTTTAAAAAAAACATGAATTCATGAAGCTCTGAAAATGTAATATGCAACACACACAGGCAAAGAAAATAAATGTGAATTTAGTAAGTACAAAGTATTAATACACACACAGAGACTTCCTTCCCATTACATACATCACACATAGAAGCGTGTATGTGTGTGTGTGTGTGTGTGTAGTGTGAATTAATAGATGTATTCTCTCTCCAGGTCTTTAATTAAAAGTCCACTTCAAAAAGGCCTACTGGACCTCCCTTATGGCACAGAGGTTAAACACAGCGCTATCAAGCTGTCACCAGACACTGCAGCAGGAGTTTGATCCCCGGCTGCCCAGGGAGCAACCCACATGACGCAGCAGACCTCTCCTGTCTCACCCGCTGCTCCCCTCAGCCATGTATTTCAGTAGACCTGCCTATTCTGCTCCCCACTCTGTCTGGTGAGTCCTCTTACTCCTCACACCTCCAGCCTGTACCCCAGCTCTTGTATGCATAAATAAATCCTTAAAAAATAAAAGCATACACACATACACAAAAAGGCCTTCCCTGGGTAAAGAATCTAAAACATCAACCAGGTCCCAAACTTCGTCCTCCATGTTTTTCTTCACAGAATTTATTCCTTTAAAAACAAAGATTTATTTATTTATGCATACAAGAACTGGGGTACAGGCCAGAGGTGTGGGGAGGTGAGAGGATTCACCATAGTGGGAAGCAGAACAGGCAGACTGACTGAAACACACTGCTGAGGGGAGCAGCGGGCGAGTCAGGAGAGGTCTGCTGCGCCATGTAGGTCAGCTCCCTGGCTGGCCGCCAAGGATCGGACTCATGCTGCAGAGGCTGTGGATAATCTTCACAGTGTTTGTATGTTTGCAAGTTGCTAAGTAGATCTGAGAAGTCCCTCATCACAAGGAAAAAAAACCTTTGTGACTATGTATGGGAATGGACATCAACTAGTTTTATTTTGGTGATCATTTTGCAATCTATACAAATATCAAATCATTATGTTGTACACCTGAAAACAATATGTTTTGTCTATTTCACTTCAGTGAAAAAAATCAAGTTAGTGAAAAAGTCAGATTCTTCATTAGTTTGATATTTCTGTCAAGGTTTGAAGTATTCAATTACACTAAATCTGTAGTTTAAGCTGTCTTAGTATTTTAAGAAATCTGTCTTACTATTTTAGAAAAATATTCAGTTATATATAAGGATAAACTGACTAATAAATTGACTAGTACAGTCATTGTTTTCCATGCACATATGTAAATCCTTCACTCTTTTCCAAATTCATTTCTGGTCTGTTTTTATAGAAGTTCTCCAGACAACATTCAACTGTTCCAACTGTTCAAGGTTGTTATATTTACATGTCATCAAAGTTTACCTCCCTGAGTTCACAAAGTTTACATCCACTCTGATAAAACAGGTTTTATCTACCCTCAGGTTTCTCATGGTGAACGAGCCTCTGGACTCTAAAAACTGTAAGCTCCAACTGCTTTACTTTTGCACATTACTTGGGCATAGGCCATTCTTTCTGTCTCTTCTGATTATCTCTAGCTCCAAAGAAGTTATCCATAACCCTCTTAGATCAAGTTTACAACCACCCACAAAAGATGGCCCCATTTACAACTTCCTATCATTCATATTCTACCATACAATATATTTAAACTCAAACTGAAAGCAGAAAATCACATTATTCCTTTAAGATGAAGAGCCACTAATTAAACAAAGGGGTCAATTACTCCATTATTCTCTTACCTTGCATTCTTCTTTAAATCTCTCTGTGCCCCCCCCCCCATGGCTCAGGGGGTTGAGCACAGCGCTGTGAAGCTGTTTGCAGCCTCTGCAGCACAGGTTCAATCCCAGCCGGCTGGAGAGAATCTCACATGGTGCGGCAGACCTCTCCTGTCTCGCCCACAGCTGCTCCCCTCAGCAGTGTATTTCATCAGTCTGCCTGTTCTGTTCCCCACTCTGTCTCTGGTGAATCCTCCCACCCTCCTGCGCCTCTGGCCTGTACCCCAGCTCTTGTATAAAAATAAATAAATCTTTTAAAAAATAAATAAAGCTCTATGCTTGGCCACTGCCACAAATTATTTTTTAATTCCTTATCAGAAAGCCTGTTAATGAGTTTTACCAGGTGAATTTTTTAAAGCTCCAGCCTTATTATGAACAGACTAATAAATATCAAATTAATTTTTATCAACAAATGGAACAATTTCTCAGCTTTATGGAAATTGTGCATTCAACTTTCCATACTTAAGTTTTGTTGTTGGGATAAGCATTGACATCACAGTAGCAAACATATGGTATATGAGTCAGGATTAAGTCCAAGAGGCAAAAATCCAGTTCAAATTAACTTATGCAAAAAAGGGAAATTTATTGGCTCACAAAAATGAAAAAGGATGGCATAGTCATCAGGCACGAGCAGACTAAGGAGAGCCAACAATGTCGCTGGACTTGTTTCTCCTCTCCACTATGCTCTGTGTTGGATCCTGAGGAAGCTTTCCTAATGTAATGGCAAAATAAAGGGTTACCAGTGAATTGTTAACCTTACTAAATTCTTGACACTTGTATTTCCAGAGAAAACAAGATTTGCTCTGATTACCCATAAAAACACATCCCCCCCAAGAGCTCTACAGGTCCAGAAAGGGTCATCTGCCAATCCCTTATCATCACTGGGTGGAGGAAATTAACCAGACTATGGCCAACCCACTGCTAACAGTTTCATCAGAATCATAAGCACTGAGGGTGAGCTAAGTCTCAAATAGGGCATAAAACAGATCAAAAAGTAAATGTCTATCATTCAGGCAATTTTAAGTAAGGATGCTCATGAGCTGAAGGTTTTCCCACAGGTACTAGATTCATAAAATTACTGAGCAAAGAATTCGTTGATTTTTAGTTAATAAGGACTGACTGGTGAGCAATTCTTTCTTATACTTGTTATAATGAGAGAGTTTCTCTATTGTGAATTTTCTGATGTCGCCTAAGGGCTGTGACACAGCTGAAATTATTCCCACATTCATTGCAGCTATAGGGTTTTTCTCCAGCGTGAATTCGCTGGTGCAGCCTCAGTGACAAGACCTGATGGAAGGCTTTCCCACACTCCTTACAATCATAGGGTTTCTCTCCAGTGTGAATTCTCTGATGCTGAGTAAGGTATGAACCACAACTGAAGGCTTTGCCACATTTGTTACATCCATAGGGTTTCTCTCCCGCATGGCTTCTCTTATGATGAATGAGAACTAAAGCATCACTGAAGGCTTTTCCACATTTGCTGCATTCGAAAGGTCTCTCTCCGCTGTGAATTCTATGATGTCGATTAAGTTGTGAGTCGGTCCTAAAAAACTTCCCACATTTGATGCACTCATAGGGTTTTTCCCCGGTGTGGATTCTCTGATGTTGATTTAGGTGTGAGCGATAGCCAAAGGTCTTCCCACATTCGTTACATTTAAAGGGTTTCTCTCCCGTATGAATCCTTTGATGCAAAGTTAGGGCAATGCGCCTGCTGAAGGCTTTTCCACACTGGTTACATTCATAAGGTTTCTCTCCAGTGTGAATTCGCTGATGCTGATTGAGGTGTGCGCTCTGTCTGAAAGCTTTGTTACATTCCTTACATTCATATGGTTTCTCTCCTGTGTGAATTCTCTGATGTTCCACCAGGAAGGCAAAACGACTAAAGGCCTTCCCGCAGTCACTGCACGCAAAAGGTTTCTCTCCAGTGTGGATTCTCTGGTGTTGAGCCAGGTGTGCGCTCTGCCTGAAGGCTTTGTTACAGTCCTTGCATTCATATGGTTTCTCTCCAATATGAGTCCTCTGATGTTCAGTGAGAAAGAAGCCATGGCTAAAGGCTTTTCCACAGTCATTACATGCATATAGTTTCTCCCCACTGTGAAGTCTCTGAGCTTGAGCAAAGAATGAGTAATAGCTAAAGGCATTGCCACATTGATCGTAACCATGGGCTAATTTTCCAAAATGAGTTGTTTGACGCTGATTGAGTAATGAGTGGAAGCTTAAAAGATTTGAAAAATCAGTATTTTCGTAAGATTTCTCCCTAGGAGGGAATCCTGTATCTTTACTAAGGTATGTATTCTGATTGAATTTTTCATATTCACTATGTAGCAAAGAGTCTGTCTCGGCATGTAGTCTTCTATTTTCAATTAAGACTGAATTTGGAGGGAACATTTTATCATAAATATCACATTTATGTACTTCCTCTACTGTGGGAGCTGTCTGTTGTGTTAAAATTACTGACTTGAAGAAAATGCTTCTCTCAGAATTACTACAGTCATTGTCTCTTTTCACAGAAGAGATTTCTTCAAGAGTTGTCATTTGCTTGAAATTCCTCTCCCGATTTCCCGCATGCTGATCACATACGTCCTCACATTCCTTGGCTTCACTGACCCTGGAGCATTCAAGGTCATAATTTGTAAGTCTTTCCATTATCACCCTCGGGGGTATTTCTTCTTCATCAATGTACAATTTTGGAGATAACTGTTTGATTTCATACCAAGACTCCCAATCTGAAAAATATCAAGAAAGCAAATGTCTCCTTTTGTCCTTTCCAAGGAGAAACAAAACTATAGAAGGAATGAAAAGAATTTAATTGCAGACAAAGCTAATGCCAGGAAAATAAGGAATTGAGGTCAACTGATGAGATCACAGTTTCTCTGTCTAGAGTCTTTAAAGTCTGCAAACCAACCTGCACTGGTATCCCTAAGACTAGAGTTCCATTAGGGCAAGGATTAGTGTTTTACTTCTTTTTCTTCTTACTACTGCATCCAATGCCAATGGCAGCATTTTGTTGAAAAAAATAAATGCTGAGAGAATACTCAACAACTTCTAAGATTTTATCAGGACCAGAGGAAAAACGTTTTCTTCTCAGTGTCTAGAAGAAACTTGGAGGCCAGCCTTTCTCATCAGATGCTGCCTATCAATAAACACTTGGCACTTTTAGCAGAGGATGTTGATTGCTAAGGGGTGTGGAAAAACTGTTTTTTTAGAGATGATCTCAAAAAAAAGAAAATGAGAAAGTCCTTTTCACGTCACACCACAATAATCAGCTAATATATTCAGCTATGTAGAATCTACTACTAAATGCTTGCCACTTAGCAGAAAGAAAGTCTGACACACAGGCCCAGCTTGCTCTCCAAGGAGAGAGATGAAACTTCTGCAAATAAAAATTCAATATAGCACACTGAAGGGCTGGTTAACATGATACAGATTATTTGTAGTGTCAGGAGAACAAATCAAAACTCACTAGCTAAGTTAAGAATAATTCCCAGAGAGGCTTCCCTGGTGGCGCAGAGGATAAGTCTCAGACAATGAAGCTCTCCACAGCCACTGTAGCATGAGTTCAATCCATGACCAGGGAGCTACCCACACCATGCAGCAGACCTCTCCTGTCTCACCTGCTGCTCCCCTCAGCAGTGTATTTCAGTCGAGCTGCCTGTTCTGTTCCCCACCCTCACTCCCGCACCTATGGCCTACACCCCAGCTTTTATATGCACAAATAAATAAATCTTTTTTAAAAAAGGATATTCTGGACTTAAGAAGGGGAAGAAACTTCAAAAGGGGTACTCCAGGGGAAAGTATAGAGTAGAACCTGAGGGAAATACAAAGTAGAAATAAGCATTGTGTTTGTGGAAGGCACATCCACTGTGACTAGAATAGACAGTAGTAACAGGATGACATTCAGCAAAAGAGAAAGAGAATTCATTCATATCAATAAGTGGCAGAGAAAAGGAAATTAGGGATTCAAAGTGAAAGAGAGCCAAATGGGCATCCGTGTGGCACAATGGAAACAACACAGGGCTCGGGTCAAAGGTGAGCTACTTCTGTGCCAAGCTTGTCATTCCACCTGTAACAAACTGACTAACTTGTCAGTCTCAGCTTCTTAGTAGGCAAAATGAGGTCACCTTGCAAATATGGTATAAGAATAAGAAGTGATACATTTATAACATACTTAGCAGTGAGTGTTTCATTGTAGATATTCAGGTATACTTATCATAAAATTAAACAAATTAATTTAGACTCATTAAGTCATTCTTGTGCCTGTACCACTGGTAGGCTCAGTCCAAACAGGGATTATGAAACAGGATGATGGGCAAGTGGCAAGACAAATGATGGGAGAGGTTAACCATTTGGGGGTAAAATGTATTCAGGCACCATATTAGATATTAAAGATATACAATTTCCAAATGATTATAATCTATAAACAGATGGAAGTTAGAAATTATAGTATAATCAACTTTGGGGTCCAAGTAGAAGTATAAAGTAGGCAGATTGATATGTCATAGTGGAAGAGGGGATGGTCTTACTGCACTAGGGACCTTTTCTCCCACATGCTAAACTGGTGAACAATAGACAAAGTGGCATAGATACTGATAAATTCTCTCTTGCATGAAGACCAGGAGATTCCAGTGAGAAGTCTGGAGTAAAAAGAAAGGATGTATGGGGAACTCTTAAGAAGAAGTTTGCTGCTAAAGCCCAGAAAATGTTCCAAGGACACAGAGACATTTGGATTAGACATCTTCAAAAGACTGTAGAGTTATGCAATCCAATATAGCAGTCATTAGCCATGCCTGGAAATTTAATTAAAATAAAATTTCTTTAAATTCAGTTTCTCAATTAGACCTAATCATATTTCAAGTGCTCAAGAGTTCACTGTGGCTACTACACTGAAAGCACAGATACAGATCATTTCCGTTATCACAGAATGTTCTATTAGATAGCCCTGAATAGAGATCCAAATTAATATGACAAAGATCTTATGACTGAATGAGACAAAGATAGAAAAAAAGGGACAGGGTCAGTTAGCAGTTACAGGGAGAGAGAAACTGGACCTTCCTGGTGGCACAAGGGTTTAAGACGCAACCTGTGAAGCTATCTGCAGCTTCTGCAGCATGAGTTCTATCCCCAGGCCAGCCAGGGAGCTACCCACATGGCGCAGCAGACCTCTCCTGACTCCCCCGCTGCTCCCCTCAGCAGTGTATTTCGGTCAGTCTGCCTGTTCTGCTCCCCATTCTGTCTCTGGTGAATCCTCTCACCACCCCCCCACACCTCTGGCCTGTACCCCAGCTCTTGTATGCATAAATAAATAAATCTTTAAAAATAAATAAAGGGAGAAATAGAACAGGGTTTTGAACAGGATAGTTGTCACAATTATCTTATATACCTCAGTAAACTGAGGAATATGAAAATGAAGACAGACACCTGGATTTATCACACTAGAGGTGCAGAAGCCAGACACAAGCAGTAAGATAAAGGAAAAGAATTCAAAGCAAAAGCAGTGAGTGGAGATTACAATTGGTATGTAAGCAAGTAGAAGAGAGAAGAGCATGGTCTACTGGAAATTTAAAAAGGTCCTATAAAATGTAATGAATTTGTTTCCTTTTTTCACCCCTACCCATCCCTGATATCTTATGATATTATTTCAAAGAAGACTGAAATAAAAACATAAGCTATAACTACACCAAATGAAAAAAGTATATATACTTGCTTATCCCACATTAATAGATATCAGATCAATTTCAACCAGAATTCCATGAGAATTTTATTTATGAACTTATAAAGTTATTTTTTAAATTACCCCCAAAAATGATAATATAAAATAAAATTCTGGAGAAAGAATAAGTTTCTAGAATCAGTATGATTGAGGGCCGCCCTGGTGGCACAAGGGGTTAAGATGCAGCCTATAAAGCTGTCGGCTGCCTCTGCAGCACGAATTCAATCCCCACCCAGCCAGGGAGCTACCCACATGGCTCAGCAGACCTCTCCTGTCTCACCCGCTGCTCCCCTCAGCAGTGTATTTCAGTCAGTCTGCCTTTTCTGTTCCCCACTCTGTCGCTGGTGGATCCTCTCACTCCCCGCATCTCTGGCCTGTATCCCAGCTCTTATATGCATAAATAAATAAATATTTTTTAAAAATATGATTGAGGCTTTACATTTTATACCTTCCTTCCATTAAAATTCCTATGAAAAGACTCAATGAAGGTGATCTGTCAAATTCCCTGTCATCGTGGGGATATATTAACAGAAACACATCAGAAGCACAAAGCCGCTACTGGAGGCAGAGAAGAGTGAAGAGGAGCATGAACTCCTATCCTGACCACACCTGGTAAAAGGACTCTCAAGGGGAAAACACATGGAAGCATTTCCATGTCGATCTGGATCCTTGTGGGAGCTACACCTGAGGACCAGCATTAGGGCTGCTCTATAATGGTTCTCCTGTTTTCTCTTAAATAGAAATAATATTCCAAAATGTTCAGGCAATTAAAAATGTATTAAGTAGAAAGTATATTCTCTCAAGATATTCCAAAGGTCAATAATCTTCTAGAATTTTTCTTGTGCAGAAAACCATAAAATTTGGGGTGCCTACCTGGTGGCCTAGGTAAGTCTCAGTGCTCTCACCGCTAAGGCATGAATTCAATCCCCGGCCAGGGAGCTGACCACAAGGTGCAGCAGACCTCTCCTGTCTTGCCTGCTGCTCCCCTCAGCAGTGTATTTCAGTAGATCCACCTGTTTTGTTCCCCACTCTGTCCCTGGTGAATCCTTTTACCCACCACACCTCTGGCCTACACCCCAGTTCTATGCAAAGATAAAATAAAATTTTTTTAAAAACACAAAATTTTTACATCCATACTTTTTACACCTTGCTTAAAAAAACTCTTTTTTAACTTAAAACACTGCAGATATTTTCCAAGTCATTACAAATAAAGCTACCTCATCACAGACTAGATGAACTCTAATTTAGGTAACAAGGCATCTTAATAGATTTTTTTGCACTCCTATCCTAAAAGCTGAGTGTAAAGTTGCTACAGTTCAGTTGTGTTCTCAACTTGTTGAACTCAAGTAGTCTTGGCATTTATTATTAGACACTTCAAATGTTTAATTAATTAAATGAGTTCTGAAAAGAGTTTTAATGAAAAGTTGGAAGTTTTAGAAAAACAAGTGAAAAGTGAGTTACTTTTAATTAGGTAAGGAAAAGTTACTTTTAATTAGGTAAGGAAAAGAATTATAAAACCTATTAAAAACATAAAACTATTGGGGCCTCCTGGGTGGTGCAGGGTTGAGACGCAGCCTATGAAGCGATCAGCAGCCACTGCAACACGAGTTCAATCCCTGGCCAGGGAGCAACCCACATGGTGCAGCAAACCTCTCCTGTCTCACCCGCTGCTCCCCTCAGCAGTGTATTTCAGTCAATCTGCCTGTTCTGTCCCCCACTCTGTCTCTGATGAATCCTCTCACCTCCCCCCACATACCTCTAGCCTGTACCCCTGTACCCTTGTATGCATAAATAAATAAATCTTAAAAAAAAACATAAAACTATTCAGGTTCTACACACACACTGGTTGGCAAATGTTTTTGCTTCACCTTTAAAAGAAATTACCTACTGGAATTGGTAAACAGTGCACTATGAGTATGACTTAAGTAAGAAAAACCATCCTAACTTCCAGTCAACAGATCATATTCAAATGACAGGCCTTGGCACTAAATAAAAAGACTAATGAATGTTTACTTGTATGTTATAAAGCCAAAATAGAATGTCACTTATATGTATATATTTTTTATGATTCCTCAAAACAACCTTAAAAAAAAAAAAACAATCACAGCAGAGAAAAGGTCATCTTGGTATAGGCAGAGCACAGCTATGACGAGCACTTCATAAGGCGACATGGACTACTGATCAACTAAAATCGTGACCTTGGTAAGAGAAGAGGCTGGGAAATACGTGCACGTGTGTGTCTGCACACATGTGTTGGTCTCAGGATAAAAGGGAAAAGGGTGCTAAACCCTTATTTTCTGAGAAGATTTGGGATGAAATCTAAACCTGAAAAAATAATCAAGAAATTGCTACATGATCGTATTTGTAGAAACATGAAGGAAATACCAAAAGATGCTTCAAAAGAAAAGAGAGTAGATTCCCCCGGGGGAGGAAAAACTGGAGAACAGAACATGGCAAGAGTAGGGAATTCCCTCATTCATGTTTCAGGGAATAAGCCTTGTAAAACTAATTGACTCTTTAAAAAATGTGCACGTATAACTTTGATCAGAATAAAAACTCTAAAAAAGAAATCTAGAAATGTATATATATATCTGAAGGGAAACAAGAGCTAGGAAGGACTGAGTTTCAGGACACTTTATGTATCTTATTACATATCTTATATAAGTAGAAGAATTTGAAATATTATATAAATAGTATGATGGAAATAGAGAAGGAAAAAACGGGATATAGGAAAGGTTTCCAGGGAAGTGTTGGCTGAAGTGATAAAAGGTCAGCCAGGGCAGCCCCCGGGTGCAAGGCAGCCTGCTCATGACCACGCAGGGGGCACCTTGCAAGAGTACCCTGTGCAGTTCCCCCCACTCACCTGCACAGTGACCATGTGACGTCTCTCCGTCCACCACCCAAGGTTCCTTCCCTTCCTCCAACAAGGAGATCATCTGGGGCTTAGAAATGGAGAGTCCTGTTTATAGGAGAAGGAAAATGAGAGACAGATGGATAGACAGACAGATGTACAAACCAATATGCTAAGCTGTTCCTGAACTCCAGTTCAATCTCTTAATTTGGGGCAAGAAAGGACATTTTTAGAGAAAGGGCCAGAGAATAGAATGATGCTGTCTGGAGGATGAGAAGCTTTAAGTATCATCACCTACGAACTTCCAAATGCCAATTCTCAGGCCTCAACATAAGAACTACTGAATCAGAAACCACAGAGGTTCTCAACTTTAATAGCCATCAGAATTAATTGACAGGGGGCCTCCCTGGTGGCGCAGGGGTGAAGCACAGCACTGTGAAGCTATCCACAGTCTCTGCTGCATGAGTTCGATCCCCGGCCAGCCAGGGAGCTACCCACATGGTGCAGCAGACCTCTCCTGTTTCGCCCGCTGCTCCCCTCAGCAATGTATTTCAGTAGATCCGCCTGTTCTGTTCCCCACTGTCTTTGGTGAATCCTCTCACCCCCGCACCTCTGGCCTACACCCCAGTTCTTGCATGTATAAATAAATAAATCTTAAAAAAAAAAAAAAAGAATAAATTGACAGGTTCATTAAGACCCAGACTCCTGGGCTTACTCCCAGAGTTTCTGATGCTGTAGGTCAGGAGTGAGACCCCATATTTCCAGTTTTCATGATACTGATACTGCTGTTCCAAATTATCATTTGACAACAAAAGGAACTACTCAGTTCTAATTCTATGAAACTATTTCAAATCATTTCCTGGGAACAGGAAATAGAAATTCAGCTAAGTGATTAAGATGTCCTCGACATTCCCAATGGAGGAAGCAAAAATACCCCAGAGGGAAGATTTTGGAGATGGGGGGAGAGATATCCTTACCAAGCCATACCAAGTTCCTATAGTTCTCCAACATGACATCTCTATATAAATCCTTCTGAGCTGGGTCCAGCTGTTCCCACTCCTCTTGGGAAAAATCCAAAGCCACATCCCTGAAGGTCACCAATCCCTGAAATTAAAAAATACATACTCTTGTTTGCCAAGTGTTCCCATATGGTCCTAGCAGAAAAGAGGAATTCTGTCAGAGGTCAAATCTCTACAAAAATAAGTATTGTGGAACAAGGACAGCGCAGGTTTGTCAAATGGTTTGAGAGAAAGAAGTACTAGTTACAGACATACCTCTTGAAAATATTAATTTTTGTGAATGAGAAAAGATAAAGACAGAAAAAAAATTTAGCTTACAGCTGGGATGTGAGTGTATAACATGTGAGCAAAGACTGTTTCATGCTACATAAAAGAAGTACCAAGAAATTCTTAAATGGAGAAGTCCTTTATATTCCCAAGACTGGGATAAGGACATGGGTCAGGTGGTGAAGAAAGACCTTGAATTGGGCTTTAACAAAGGGTGTAACCTGAAATTTAGGTCCTCCATATATAAGAAGAAATCTCCTGGAATGAAGTACATGTGGAGGGCCTCCCTCATGGCCTAGGAGTTGAGTCTCAGTGCTATCACCACTATAGCCTAAGTTCGATGCCCAGCCAGGGAGCTGACCCACATATGGTGCAGCAGACCTCTCCCATCTCACCCTGTCCTCCCTTCAGCAGTGTATTTCAGTAGATCTGCCTGTTCTGCTCCCCATTCTGTCTCTGGTGAATCCACTCATGCATCCCACCTACCCCACACCTCTGGTCTACACCCCAACCCCACAAGGCAACTCTATTATTCCTCCCCAATAAACTCACTCTCCTACTCCCTCATAACATATCATACATTCTGTCTCTCAAACCACAACCAACTAACTTCTCCTGCACTCACTCTGAATTCCTCATCCCCTTTTTTTAAACTCTTTTAAAAAAGACTTATTTATTTATGTGTATAAGAACTGGGGTGTAGGCCAAAGGTGCAGGGGTCGAGAGGATTCACCAGAAACAGCGTGGAGAGCAGAATAGGTGGCTCTACTGAAATACACTGCTGAGGGGAGCAGCAGAAGGGAAAAGAGAAGTCTGCTGCACCATGTCGGTCAGCTCCCTGCCAGGGCATTTGACTTTGGCAGTAGTGGTGATAGTGCTGAGACTCAACCCCTAGGCCACCAGGGAGGCCCTGAATTCCTTATCCTCTTGTCCACCATATGGACTTACTGACCAGGATCTCAACTCATAAATCCAGTTTTCCCACTGTAACTATCATTAAAACTCTGGTCATCCTCCCCAGAACAAAACATTTTGATCATATGCAACATTTCTTTTTTTTTTTTTGAAAGATTTATTTATTTATTTATTTATTTATTTATACAAGCACTGGGTACAGTCAGAGGCGCGGGAGGGTGAGAGAATTCACCAGAGCCAGAGCGGGGAGCAGAGCAGTCAGAAGGACCGAAGTACACTGCTGAGGGGAGCAGCGGGCGGCAGGAGAGGTCTGTGCGCCATGCGGGACCCTCCTCCGGTGGCCGGGGAGCAGCCGGGGATCGAACCGGCGCTGCAGAGGCTGTGGGCAGCTTCGCAAGCCAGCGTTCAACTGCTGTGCCACCGGGGAGGCCCTGCAATATTTCTTAATGTGCTAAACTGCAATGACGGAGATTAAAGGTGTTTCACACACACACACACACACACACACACACACACACTCTCTCTCTCTCTCTCTATCTGGGCTCCTACCTAAGACCAATCCTTATACTTGGACACTTTCATCTCTCTCCCTTGTAATTATCAGGGAGATGTCAGGTATTTCCCTTGTGTTACCAGTATTTTCTCACATTACTAGATTATTCCTGTAACTGTACAAACTGATACAAAATCTTCCATCTTATAAAGAGAAAGGTAAATTAATATCCTCCCAAGATATCACTCTAAGCTAGTCCTCTACTCGTCATAATACAAGTCTTTCAAACAGTTATAGACAGTAATGTCCAATAGAAATACAATGACACAGAGGTCACACGGGTGATTTAAAATATTTCAGTAGTTACATTAGAAAAGTAAATGTAGGGCCTCCCCTGGTGGTGCAGGCAGTTGAGCACAGCGCTGTGAAACTGTCTGCAGCCTCTGCAGTGTGGGTTTGATCCTGGCCAGCTGGGGAGAATCCCACATGGCGCAGCAGACCTCTCCTGTCTCGCCCGCTGCTCCCCTCAGCAGTGTGTTTCGTCCGTCTGCGTGTTCTGTTCCCCGCTCTGTCTCTGGTGATCCTCTCACCCTCCTGCGCATATGGCCTGTACCCGGTTCTTGTATTCATGAACAAATAAATCTTTAAAAAAAAAAAAAGTAAATAGAAATAAATAAAGGTAATTTAATAATATTTTTAAATTTAAATAATATAATTTATGAAAGGCTATCCTTGACGCTCTTATTCTACAGGGCACTTGGGCATCATAGTTGGTCCTTTCTTTCAGCTGGATTCATCTCCAACACAAGTCATGATCCATCTGAAGAGGAGAGTTCTGTCTCATCACACACTTGAACACAGCCATGAGGAAAAAGGATACTAAATGTCTTGTAGAAGGATTGAGAACAAAAGGTGCAGAGAAAGAAACGGAAAGAGTGCTCAGGGGACTATCTGTGACTTTGTGCTCCACAAAGTTCTGAAAAATGATACAGAATTTCTGGAAACAGGGCTGCGAGGGGTTAAGCAATGCACTATGAAGCAATCTGCAGCCTCTGCAGCACAAATTCGATCCCCGACTAGCCGGGGAGATACCCACATGGTGCAGCAGACCTCTCCTGTCTTGCCCACTGCTTTCCTCAGCAGTGTATTTCAGATCCGCCTGTTCTGCTCCCCGCTCTGTCTCTGGTGGATCTTCTCACCCCCCGCATCTCTGGCCCGTACCCCAGCTCTTATATGCATAAATAATAAATATTTAAAAAAAAAGAATTTCTGGAAATTGAAAGCATTGACTAACCTGGGACATGGCTTTACAAAGTCCAACAGCCATTCCACCTTTCTTCTTCAACGTTCTCTTTTGGAGAATAAAGTCCTGAGAAGAAAAAATTAAGAAGGAAAAAAATGGCAAACCCACTCCAGGTTGCTGAATTAAGACTCATGAAGACAGAACCATTGTCCCTCTATGGTTCCCACAAGTTCCATGTCCCCTCCAAGATGTGAGAAAAAGGTCAAAGTTGACCTTTACCCCTAAAGTCCTGACTGGTATTAAGAACATGTAGCTTGAATTCAACAAAATCTAAAGTTCAGGGCCTCCCCGGTGGCGCAGCGGGTTGAGCACTGGGCTGTGAAGCTGCCGGCAGCCTCTACAGCGCCAGTTCAATCCCCGGCCACCAGCGAGGGTCCCACATGGCACGACAGACCTCTCCTGCCGCGCCCACTGCTCCCCTAAGCAGTGCTTTTGGTCCCTCTGCCTGTCCTGCTCCCCACTCTGTCTCTGCTGAATCCTTTCACCCTCCTGAGCCTCTGGCCTGTACCCCAGCTATTGTAAAAATAAAAAATAAATCTTAAAAAAAGAATCTAAAGTTCATCCTATGGTAAATACAGCAGTTTATAATAAGGCCCCTGGCTGCCCCTTGGTGTAGCAGACCTCTCCTGTCTCACACACTGCTCCCCTCAGCAGTTTACTTCAGTAGATCTGCCTGTTCTGCTGGTAATCTGTCTCTGGTGAATCCTCTCACCTCCCGCACCTCTGGCCTATACCTCAGTCCTTGTATGCATAAATAAATAAATCTTTAAAAAAAGGTAACTCAAAGTTTTGAGAGTCAAACTGCAGTGTGACTAATAAACCAATCTTCTTTCAAGAGAACACAAAGTCTGAATAGGAAATTTTCAATATAACCTGAGGAATGAATGTTATATATTTCTCACTTTAGAGATGTCACTTTATAGATGACAACTATTACCTTTCCTACTCCACAGAAATGCAGCCAGAGGCAAATATTGCCAAATTTTAATACCAAACCAGTAACGAACTGTACAACCTGAAATAAGTTATTTGCTCTCTCAGTGCCAACATTTCTTTATTCTGAAAACAGAGATGGTTGTGTTTGACCTAGAATTTAGGATACACAACTCCTTAATTCTGGGCTACTCTGGACTAACCAATTCTAAGACAGCTATTTTCTTAGACCAGTGCAATTTGAAAATGTCCATAGGGGCCTCCCTGGTGGCACAGGGGGTAAAGATGGTGCCACCAAGCTATCTCCAGAGACTGCAGCACGAATTCAATCCCCGGCCGGCCAGGGAGGTGATCCACTTGGCGCAGCAGACCTCTCCTGTCTCGCCCACTGCTCCTCTCAGCAGTGTATTTCAATAGATCTGCCTGTTCTGTTCCCCACTCTGTCTTTGGTGAATCCTTTCACCCCCTGCACCTCTGCTTATACCCCAGTTTTTCTATGCTTAAATAAATATTTTTTTAAAAAAATAAAATGTCCATAAAAGGCTTTGCAACCTGAGAAGACAGTCAGTGAAGTCTTCTCGGCATCTTGTGGCCCTAAGCAGCATCTGCATTAAAAAAAAAAAAAAGAAGGGCCTCCCCTGGTGGTACAGGTGGTTGAGCGCTGCACTGTGAAGCTGTCCACAGTGCCTGCAGCGCCGGTTCAATCCCAGCTGGCTGGCGAGGGTCCCACACGGTGCAGCAGACTGCCCCTGTCTCGCCCGCTGCTCCCCTCAGCAGTGTATTTCGTCAGTCTGCCTGTTCTGTTCCCCGCTCTTTCTCTGGTGAATCCTCTCACCCTCCCACGCATCTGTCTGTACCCTGGATGTTGTATAAATACATAAATCTTAAAAAAAAAAAAAAAAAGAAGAAAGTCTTTCAAGTTTCCATTTGTAAACACCTATGTATCCCTTTAGGAATTGTTTTCCAAGATTGAAATGAGCCATCCCCTCTGAAGGAAGGTGTGGAAAAGACTCCACTCCTCCTCTCACCTAAGACCTTGGGCACGTTAATACATCTCTCAGAGCCTTTCTTTCCTCACTGGCAAGATTGTGTGAGCCAACTCCTGGCACAGAGAAATGCCATCCATGTTGCTACACACACATTTGGAAAGGAAATGAAAACATTTTTATTCATTGAGAGAGTCAGAACCAAAAATTTAGTTCCTTTGGTACATTAGAAAGAGCCATGGGTCAGACTCCCTCAGCACCAAACAAGGAAAAGTTTTGACAAGGGCAGAGCTAACACTGCAAACTCCCTGGAGAGGAAGACTGGGCTTTGAGGTTGGGCTTTCCTCCCCCAGAAGATATCAATGTGAGGATGACCTCACTACCATGTCGTTAGAACGCATCCCCGTGACTGATGCTACTGAAGGAAGTGAACCAGACTAACTTCCCACCACCATAAGGTTCTTAGTCCAAGGTCAAAGGCAACTAATTCTCTCCAACATCTGCAAACTGAGGGCTCCCATTTTTCACTCTCATAATGTTGGGAAAGATCAAAGGAGTTGAATAATTAAAAGCAAGGAAGCTGGAGCCACACAGACTGGGCTCAAGTTCTGTTTCTGTCCCTTATTAACTGTGAATTTGGGCAAGTAGTTTTAATCTCTCCTGGTTCACAATCACAAAGTAGGTCCCCCACCAGCAAGTCATGAGTCTCACATGCACACTCTCACCCAATCACACATATACACATGGTCACACAGTCATAGCTGTGATGTCACATACACACACGTTTGTGCCTTAGCACAGAGATGGCCACACACAATTACTCACAGTCATACATACACTCGCACATACAGTAACATACATAACAGGTCACACACCCTGTCACCATTACACAAAATAATACCTGCAGAGACGGACGGTCATGGCCACACGGCCCGCTGTCACACGCATTCAGTCACAGCTGTATCCGCGGGCACAGGTCCAACACACACCTTCACCCATTGGCTCAACGTCACACCTGCAGCCTCTCACCCGGTTACACGCAGTGACAGGACAGACTCCCAGGCAGTCCCCGCCTGGTCCCCGGCCCCGCCGGCCCCTGCCCGCGCCTGCCGGGCCCTGCCTAAGCCTGGCCCTGAACACCGGTTCCCGCGGGTACCCCGGACCAACTCACCTGCCGGCGCCGCGGGCTCTGGAATCCCGCCCTGCGCCCCAGGAGCCGCGACGTCGCCTCCCAGAACCCCCCGCGGGGCGGGGCGGGGCGGGGCCTGAGGTGCGAGGGCCCTTGTTCCCGGGGGGAAACATACAACAGCCGGATCAGAACCAGCCAATCAGCTTTTCTTTCCAACCGCGAAAACCACCACCCCCATCCCAGAATGCTTTGTGCCGCGGCCCTCTCTGCTGAACTACACTTCCCAGAGGTCTCCGAGGCGGAGGTAGCGCCTCTGCAGCCGGGGAGGTAGCGCGGGTCTGAGTGCTGCGAGCGACCCCGGGCAGTCCTGGACACTCAGTGACCTTGGGCGACTGTGTGTGCGGAGACGGTGAAGTTACGTGTGACCGTGCCTCTGATTGAAATGCTCGGTGTGGAGGTTTGCGTGTGACCGGCGTTGTACACTTTCGTGCGTGCGCTCAGCGAAACGGTGGATTCTGTCCCTGCCGTGAGCTGTATTTTCAGTGACGTCCTGTGATCGCAGGTCGTTGTGTGACAGATTCTGGGTCCGTCACTAGAGAATGTAAGATGTATGCAAGGGAAGTGGCGGGATTTAGGCGTGTTGGTTTCTGTAACTGTCTTCCTACCCCAGAGGTCGCAGTAGTTTATATGTGACAGGCAGTGGGGGTTTGCTTGTTTCTGGGCTTGCTTTTAGGGCAAGAGAAATGATTTCGGAGAAGAACGAGAGTAGCAAACAGTAGTGATTGAGCCCCAAAACTTAAGGACTTGAAACTACAGCAGTTGGGTGGTTACTAGCGGGAAGGGTTTTCTGCTGGTCTCCCTTGCCTGCGCTCTGAAGAGTCAGCTAGGGCTGGCTGGGACTGGGTGGACTGGAGTGCATCCCTTGCATTGCACCTGGCATGCTGTTTGTGTGTCCTCTTATGTCTGATGAGATTGGATTTCCGACTAAAGCCTCGCCCACACTTCCTGCAAATATAGGGCTTCTCTCTTGAATGTATCCTCTGGTGTCTAACAAGGTGTGACTGCCAGCTAAAGCCTTGCCCACACTTCCTACACACATGAGGCTTCCCCCTGAGTGTGTTCTCTGGTATGTAATGAGAGTTAATCTATCACAAAAGCCTTGCCCACACTCCCTGCACACAAAGGGCATATCACCAGAGTGTGCCCTCTTGTGCCTGAATAGGTTTGGCTTCTGGCTAAACCTTCTACCTCAATCCCTGCGCAGGAAGGGCTTTTCCCCTTCCACCAGAGCGTGTCCTCTGGTGGGTGATGAGAGTGGACTTATCATTAAAGCCTCGCCCACACTCCCTGAATATAAATGGCTGCACCCCTGAGTGTGTCCTCTGGTGTGTGATGAGGTTGGATTTCTGGGTAAAAGCTCACCCACACTCTCTGCATACGAATGGTTTCTCCCCTGGGTGTAACCTCTGGTGTTTGTTGAGGTTTGACTTCAGGCTGAAGTGCTACCACACTCCAGGCACACATAAGGTTTCACCCCCGAGTGTATCCTCTGGTGTATCTTGAGGTTTGACTTCCAGCTAAAGTGACGCCCACATTCTGTGCACACGTAAGGTTTCCCCCCTGTGTGTGTCCTTAAGTGTCTGATGAGGTATGAGTTCTGGCTAAAGCCTTGTTCGCATTGTCTGCAAAAGTAAGGCTTCTCTCTAGAATGTGTCCTCTTGTGTCTGTTGAGGTGTGAATGCTGGCAAAAGCCAGGCCCGCACTCCCTGCAAAGGTAAGGTTTCTCCCCTGAGTGTGCCCTCTGGTGTGTGTTGAGGTTTGACTTCAGGCTAAAGCTCTGCCCACACTCCTTGCACACAACCGGCTTGATTCCTGAATGTGTCCTCTGATGGGTATAAAGGTTTGATTTCCAAGTAAAACATTGTCCACACTCCTTGCACACATAAGGTTTCTCTCGCGAATGTGTCCTCTGGTGTGTGGTGAGGTTTGACTTCCAAGTGAAACCTCGCCCACATTCCTTGCACACATAATGCTTCTCCTCAGGGAATGTCCACTGGTTTTTGCTGAGGATGGACACACTGCCAAAGCTTTGTCCCCAGGCAGTGTACAGGAAAGGTGTCTTCCCAGTGTGTGTCTTCCGGAGGCTGAGTAGATTGCACTCCTTGATAAATCCTAGTCCAAACACTCCATATTTGATTTCTCCAAATCCTGAGACTTCTAGATCATTCAATACTTGGTCTAAATTCTTAAGGTGGATCCTCCTGTCTACACTGGGCCCTCTAATCACCACTGTGCTGTCTTCCTTGGACCCTACCGGCAGCTCGTCCCTGGGGCTGGAGCATGCCTGTGAAGTGCCACTGTTGCTGACTCTCCCAAACCAGGGCTTGGAGTCTTGTTCTCCATCTTGGATTTCTGTTTGCTCATCTGAGCAGGTTTGATCAAAGAGTTGGTGCTGCTGCTATTTCTGATCTTCTGGATGCTGCTTCTGTGGATGGAGAGGATTTCCTGCACATAAACTTGAGAATAGCTGAGGGAGGTGACTGACCCACACGTGCTGGCTGAGGGCTTGCTGACTCGAGAATGCCAGAGGGCAGGAGTGACAAGGTTGAATTTCTAGCTTTGATCCTGCTAATGAACGAATATTTTTCATTAGGGCTGCCTAAGTCATTTTACTCACTCGTCATTCATAATATATATATACATCGTGAGTTTTGTTCCACTCAGACATCTTTCCCAAGATCTAGTTTTCATTCCAGTTTATGCATTACATTTTTTTAATGTTCTTTTTTTAAAAATTATTTTTGTATAGAAGAACTGGGGTGTAGGCCAGAGGTGTGGGTGCTGAGAGGATTCACCAGAAACAAAAAGGGGAAAACAGGCAAACTTACTGAAATACACTGCTAAGGGGAGCAGCGGGCAAGAGGTCTGCTGTGCCGTATGACTGTTAGCTCCTTGACTGGGGATCGAACTGAGACCATAGCGGTAATTCCTCTGAGACTTAACCCCAAGGCCACCAAGGAGGCCCTGCATTACATTTTTTTAAAGATTTATTCATTTATGCATACAGGAGCTGGGGTACAGGCCAGAAATGTGGGGGGTGAGAGGATTCACCAGAGAAAGAGCGGGGAACAGAACAGGCAGATTGACTGAAGTACACTGCTGAGGGGAGCAGCGGACGAGTCAGGAGAGGTCTGCTGCGCCATGTGGATTGCTCCCTGACCAGCCAGGGGATTGAACTTTTGCTGCAGTGGCTGCGGACAGCTTCATAGGTTGCGTCTTAACCCCCTGCGCCACATTTTTTTGCAGGAGTTAGCAATCTTGGCTGCTAGGACAAAACCTGTATGCAACTTGTTTTTGTATTACCTACAAGCCAGAAATGATTTTTCAAAGGGTTGAAATAAAAATAAAGAACACAATGTGACAGATGTCATGGAAAGCTTAAAAGATTTGTTCTGTGGTCCTTTATAAAAAATTTTATTAATGCCTGCCTACTGTAATGTAGAAAACTTATAAGAAAACTTATACCAAGGATTTATGATATATACAATGTGCTGAAATAGAGAAAAATTATCAATGAAGAATTCTATTCTCACAAAACTGTCCTTCCAAAATGAACCTGATGGGGCCTTCCTGGTGGCACAAGGGGTTAAGTTGCAGCACTATGAGGCTGTCCAGAATTTGATCCCCAGCCAGGGAGGTGACCTACATGGCACAGCAGATCTCTCCTCTCTTGCCCGCTCTCAGCAGTATATTTTATTTTATTTTATTTTTTTATTTAGAGGCATGTTTTATTTATTTGTTTGTTTGTTTTGTTTATACATGCACTGGGTACAGTCAGAAGCGCGGGAGGGTGAGAGAATTCACCAGAGCCAGAGCAGGCAGAAGGACCGAAGTACACTGCTGAGGGGAGCAGCGGGCGGCAGGAGAGGTCTGCGCGCCATGTGGGACCCTCCTCCGGTGGCCGGGGAGCAGCCGGGGATCGAACCGGCGCTGCAGAGGCCGCGGGCAGCTTCGCAACCCAACGCTCAACCGCTGCGCCACCGGGGAGGCCCTCAGCAGTATATTTTAGTCTGCCTGTTCTGCTCCCCACACTGTCTCTAGTGAATCCTCTTATCCCTGGCACCTCTGGCCTGTACCCCAGTTCTTGTATGCATAAATAGTTTAAAAAATGAAACATATTCAATAAAGATATTCATGGATATTCACACATACTTGGAGTACCTGTTGCCTTGCAAGGAATACTGCATAAGTCCTTCAGGCTGAAAAGATATAATACCAGAGACAGATGCAAATCCACAGGTAGGAATAGATGCCAGCTCACCTGGTAGAGACGTGGATATATATAAAAGACCCTTTTTAATTTCTCTAAATGCTTAAGGCTATCCTAAAAGGCAATAACAAAAAGATAATTTTTCAACAATTTTAATCTTTTTCAGTTTACTGAGACTCATTTTTTGGCTGAGATCAGATGACCTAACTACAATACTACAATTGTGGGATACAGACACACACACAACACACATATTTTACTGGAACTAACAGTATTAATAAAAAGTGGACTTGATGAATAAAAATGTATATTTTAATTCTCAAAGCAGCATTAAGAAAATAACTCCAGGGCCTCCCCAGTGGCACAGTGGTTGAGTGCTGGCTTGCAATGCTGCCCGCAGCCTCTGCAGCGTTGGTTCAATCCCCACCTACTGGGTGAGGGTACCACATGGCACGCAGACCTCTCCTGCCGCCCGCTGCTCCCCTCAGCAGTGTACTTTGTCAGTCTGCCTGCTCTGCTCTCCACTCTGACTCTGGTGAATTCTCTCGCCCTCCTGCGCTTCTGACTGTACCCAGTGCTTGTATAGATAAATAAATGAATCTAAAAAAAAAAAAAAATAACTCCGGGGGCCTCCCTGGTGGCACAGAGCTTAGGGTCTCAGCACTACCAAGCTATCGGTAGCCACTACAACACGAGTTCAATCCCCGGCCAGAGTGCTGACCCACATGGTGCAGCAGACCTCTCCTATCTTGCCTGCTGCTCCCCTCAGCAGTGTATTTCAGTCGATCTGCCTGTTCTGCTCCCCACTCTGTCTCTGGTGAATCTTCTCACCCCCTGTACCTCTGGCCTGCACCCCAGTTCTTGTATGCATAAATAAATCTTTAAAAAAAGAAAAAAAGAAACTAGGAAACAAGGGAAGTCCCTCCATCACCTGGGGAGAACAGTCTGGAAGAGAGGCCACTCCAGGCAGCCTTCCCAGGGACCTGGCAGACCCAGAGAAGAGCTTCCTTCTAGCATCTGAGAAATGCCTCCTCCTGTGGTGTCCACCAAAGGGCAGAGTTCAGTCCACCCTGAGTCACACTTACCTGGATAGAGGCCCAGCAGTTGCTGTTTCTCTTCTACCCAGGGCTCTTCCCCTCACGCCAGCTGAGAAATGAGTTTTAGTTTGGAAAATGGAATTTCTGCTCATGGGAAAAGAAAACAAGGACCCTTGGTTGTAGGCTCAAGGGGCCATTCCAGAACTCAGGGCCAAAACAGGTAGGAGGGGAGACAAGAGACTTGGGGACAGTGACCTGGCTGCAGTGGAAGGGTCGAGTGAGTAAGGTGCCTTCACGCAAGAAGATAGCACATCAACACTTGGTGAATGATAATCTCCTGGGTTTGGAACATGATAAAAATAAAGAGAGCCCCAGCCTTGGAAGAGAGGCTGGGAAGTGCAGAGTATCATTCACAATATGAGTAATCTACCAGCAGGCAGCCACTCTAAATCCAGAATTATGCTGAGAAAAAAAGGAAAGCCTTCCTGATGGCTCAAGGGGTTGAATGTCAGCACTGTGAAGTTATCCACAGCCTCTGCAGGATGAGTTTGATCTCTGGGTCAGGGAGCTACCACATGGCATAGCAGACCTCTCTCACCCGCTGCTCCCCTCAGCAGTGTATTTCAGTGGATCTGCCTTTTCTGCTCCCCACTCTGTCTCTGGTAAAACCTCTCACCCCCCACACCTTTGGCCTATACCCCAGGTCTTGTGTGCGTAAATAAATAAATCTTAAAAAAAAAAAAAGTCTTAACACTGGCACCTTGCAATCCTCCCACACCGTGGCAAGGGTAATATGCCCAGTGGCCTGACATCTGATTAACGTGCTTGTCTGCCCTCATGCAACGAGTATGTCTTTCCCCTTCTCTTCAGCTTAGCGAACCCTTAGGGGCAGCTCAAACAGCCCTTCTGGAAGAATGCCCCCTCCCCAACCACTTCAGCCTCAGGCATCTCTGCTGCCTCCTGGCCATTAACCTGCATCCTTCCACTGCACAGCTGAGCAGGATGTCTCAGGTACTTTTATTTCACCTGCTCCCTGTGTATTCCCAGCTAACAACCTCATGGGAGGCTGAGGGATGGAGAGAGCAGAGAGGGATCCCGAGAGGGGAATCTATGTACCAAGAATCACAACTGCAGGACCAGGAGTGAACTTTGGCCCCTACCAACAAAGCAGACGCCAAGACAGAATCTTCTAGGGACCGCTCACCTCTTCTTTGGTTCTCAGGAGCCCCGTGGCCATCTTCCTTGGCCCCCGAGTGCTCTCCTTGGCGAAGGGCAAACTCAGAAGACAGGTCTGGGGATGAGGAGAGAAAATGAGAGCATGCCAGGTTGAAAACCTCTTCCTGTGAGCCACACCGAGGTCGGGGCCACCGCTGGGGGTGGGAGTGCCACAGAAATCACCAGGGGGACCCAATTTCCATTCACTGGACCCTGGCACCAGGCGCAGGGTGACCGCGCACCCTCCCGCTCAGCCCGAGCTCTGGCTGGGGGGCCGTGCCATGTCCCCCAGCGCGGTGAGGGCTGTCTCCGACTATGGACTGGGATAAAATGTAAAGACACAGCATGGAGGTGCCCACAGGGCTGCTCAGAGGCAGCCCTGCGTCTCCCCGCTGGCGTCCTGGGGAGCAACACCGGGAGAAGCGGGCGGCGGGGGGGGGGGGGGGGGGGGGGGGGACTGGGAGGGGGGAAGCGAGACGGGCGGAGCGGACGGGGCCAGGGCTGGAGCGCACGCACGGATCCCGGGTGCACCTCGCCAATCCCGGGGCCGCAGGGCCGCAGCGCGGGGCAGCCGGGGCGGGGAGGCCCCCCACCCCCGCCGGTCGGAAGTGTCCCCGGGCGACCAGGGTCCGCGCTGAGGGGCGCGCGGCGGGGGCTCGGGGGCGGCCGCAGGGGCCCCGGGGAGTGCGGCCCCGGCGCCGGGAGGTCCTCCAGCGGAGGGGGCTGTGCTGTGGACGCGGGGTGACCCACACCTGCGCGGCTCGCGGCGCCCCGCGTTCCCCTGGACCCCAAGGGTTCGTCGGTTTCTCCTCCCAGGGCCAGTGAGATCTGCGGGGCTGCTGGGACACCCGCGGGTGCTCCGCGCAGGGTTTGCGGACCCCTCGGCCCAGACCTTGACGGCGGGGGCGGCTGTGCACCCCAACACCGGGACTCGCTCCGTGTGCCCCTGAAGCGGCAAAGTGAGCCGGGATGGGCGAGGCCCGATCTGCTGGCAAACCCCCCCAACCCCCCACCCCACCCCCCCACCCCCGACAGCTGAGACCCTGGCCCAGCGTCCCCGGGTGGACGCAGGGGTGCCAGGACCCACAGGCAACGCCAAGGCTGTTTTCGGGGGGAATGGGATTGGCTGGAGCCGACTCCCGAAAGCGGGTGGGAGCGGCTCTGGACCACGGGAGGTGGGAGGCTGCGCGGACCCCGGGCCCAGAGCAGTTGTGTGGTGGGTCCTGTGGCTTGATTCGGAAGCCCGAGGGGTCTGTTTTGGCGGGTGGGGGACAATAGGGGACTGAGGGGAAACTTCCCATCGGTGGCGTGGGTGGGTGGGGTGAAAAGGAGACGTGATTCTGACCGTTCTCTCATGGATTTTTTTTACATAGTTTTTGATATCTAAAGAGAATACATTTTTATCTTGATTACTAAGGGGTTTTGTTTCATTGTTGTTTCTTATCCTCTTAAATTTAACACCCACCGTCCGACCTGGACGGAGAGATGAGTAGCTTTAACACTATAATGAACCTCATTGGCACTGACCTGTCCGTCTTCGTGGCTATTTTCGGTCCAGGTAATAAGATGTCATCTTGAGGACAGTGAAGTGATCACTCTTCTGAGCCTGCGCTTTGAAACACAACCGGTTAACTTAACAAAAGATGCTTTTTTTTTTTTTCTCATTTAAAACAGGAGGGGCCCCTCCCTGGTGGCCCAAGGGGTTAAGCACAGCACTGTGAAGCTATCCCCAACCTCTGCAGCACGAGTTTGATCCAACTTCCATCCCTGGCCAGCCTTGAAGCTGACCCATGTAGCACAGCAGACCTTTTCTGTCTGGCCTGCTGCTACCCTCAGCAGTGTATTTCGGTCAGTCTGCTTGTTCTGTTCCCCACTTTGACGCTAGTGAATCCTCCCGCTCCCACCTCTGGCTTATACCCCAGTTCTTGTATGCATAAATAGATATATCTTTAAAAATAATAATGAAGTAAAATGGGGAGGGGTAGTTTTGACCCATTGTTACAAGTCCATCCTGCTGTTCTTGCAAGATAATAGCAAATTTCTTGCAGAAATATTTCCTGCTGAAATAGCAAATGACCATGAAGATCACCACGGTGTCAGCTGGATGGAGGGTCAGTCCAGCACCCAGCTCCAGTCCCGGTGACACAGCTCACCAAGGATTTCATATCCATGAATGTGGAATAATTGTTAACAGAATTTCCAGTAACCCCAAGTCAGGCCTGGTGCTGTACGGAACATAAATGAAATGGAGGGACTGAAAGGCAACAGGCTGGGGACGGTGAACACACTCTGAAGAGAATATCAGGCTGAGAGGCTGTATCTATAAAGCAAATGTACATTTGTTATAATAAAGCAAACTTAATATAATTGCAAATCTTAACTCATGTTAATCATGAGGACATGGAATATTCAGACATTTAATGTATATCCTATGGTTACTGTTTCTCCCATTGTGATCAAATGTGCTCTGCTTTTTTTGAGAACAAATTACTAAGAAAATATTATGATCTCTTCCTGCCTTTCAACTGCCGTGCTTTGAACTTTCTATTATTATAGTCACAAGATTTTAGACTGACACTAGTCTTTGAGCAGCATAAAAGATGATGTCTGAAGACAACAGAAACATACTTTTTCTTTTCCTATAGAGATCCCATGCAGAATGATGTAGAAAAACTTTGCTATCCTGATTACATACATTTCTTTTTTTTAACTGAATTCATTGACTTATACAAAGATAAACAACATGGCTAAAATCTTTTTGACAAATAATAATTATGAAAATGAGTGTACCAATGATAAAGTAAAAAACCTTACCGTGATAGGAACAGTTCTAAGCACTTTACATTTATTAATTCATTTAACTCTCACAACAAACTAAACATACAGCAAGATTATATATAAAGATACATGAGAAGTAAAATGCCATTAACATATGTTAAAAGGTAAAAAAAAAAAGGGGGGGGGCCTCCCTGGTGGTGCAAGGGGTTAAGACACAGCACTATGAAGCTATCAACACTCGCTGCAGCACTAGTTTGACCCCAGGCCAGGGAGGTGACCCACATGGCACAGCAGACCTCTCCTGTCTCTCCCGCTGCTCCCCTCAGCAGTGTACTTCGGTCAGTCTGCCTGTTCTGCTCCCCTCTCTGTCTCTGGTGAATCTTCTCACCCTCAACATCGCATCTTGGGCCTGCACCCCAGCTCTTGTATGCATAAGTAAGTCTTTAAAAAAAAAAAGGAAAAAAAAAACCTAGAAAATAAACAATAGTGTGATAACAGCGGTATGGGGTTGGAATTCGGGTTAATAAAAAGGAAGAAAACAGTTTACAAGGAAAAAATGTAGATGATTTTAGCCATTAGAATAAATGCTTTAAAAGAAAAAACAAGCACCCAGAAATAAATGTTGGGTCATATTAATCAGAACAGAATCTATAACGGCAAAAACTTCAATGCATCCATAACACAAAAAATAAATTCATTTTCAAGTTATTAAATGTCATCAGAATAATACATATATATATATTCACTAAAATGGCAACCAAATTTCTTGGCATGATGAAAGCAAGTGAGCACACAACATGCGAACCATGATGACTTTCTTTAAAATCAAAGGCTCAGAGGATTTGCTCTACCATCTGAGAGTAGTTATCTGTAACTGATAAGATTAAAATAAGCCTTTGCTTTTTGATAGTGTTTTACAATAAGAAAATATAAATACGTGAAATGAAACAAAAAGATGAACACTGACTTCAAAAAGTCATAATTCTACAAGGAACATAAAAAAAAAAATCACACAATTTAAACAGTGTGATATTGGTGCAAGCACAAATAGATAGATCAGAAAAGACAGCCCTGAAACGCATGCAAATATAAATAGAAGGTATCATCAAAACGGTAGAGAATAACAATAAGAGAGGAATTACTGAACATCTGCCATTCGTGTAAGTGTGGGGTTTGGGCGGAAGGCAAATGTCAATTTAGAATTTGAATTCAAAATTTAGAGTGAAATATATTTATATTTAAAAAGTTCAGAAACAACAGTGAAAAAGAGTAACTATCAAACAGGAATTCTCTGTTTAAAAATATTAGGAAATAGGGCTTCCCCTGGTGGCACAGCAGTTGAGAGGTTCGTTCCCCCGCCACCGGCGAGGGTCCCACAAAAAAAAAATATGTATATATAGGAAATAAATCTTTAAAAAATAAAATATTAGGAAAGTGACAAGAGTTTTCATTTTCATTATTCATCAGTATGAATTCCCTGATGGCGAATGAGATCTGAGCCACTACAGAAGGCCTTCCCACAATCTTTGCAGTTATAGGGCTTTTCGCCACTATGAATTCTTAGATGCCGAGTAAGATTTGAGCATTTATTAAAGGCCTTTCCGCATTCACTACATTCATATGGCTTTTCATCTGTATGAATTCGCTGATGTTGAAAAAGTTGCGAGTTCTGAGTAAAGGCCTTTCCACATTCCAGACATTCAAAGGGTTTCTCACCAGCATGAATTCTCTGATGCTGTCGAAGCTGTGAGCTCTGAGTAAAGGCCTTTCCGCACTCCTTACACTCATAGGGCTTCTCACCAGTGTGAATCCGCTGGTGGTTGGTAAGCGCTGAGCCACTACTAAAGGCCTTCCCACATGCTTTGCATGCGTAGGGTTTCTCACCTGTGTGGATTCTCTGATGCTGAACAAGTTTTGAACTCTGTGTAAAAGCTTTGCCACATTCCTTACATTCATAGGGCTTCTCACCTGTATGAATTCTCACATGTTGAAAAAGCTGTGAGCTCTTAGTAAAGGCCTTCCCACACACTTTACATTCATAGGGTTTTTCACCTGTGTGAATTCTCTGATGGTCAATAAGATTTGAGCAGTAACTAAAGGCCTTTCCACATTCCTTACATTCATAAGGTTTTTTACCAGTGTGAATTCTCTGATGTTGAGACAGGTACGAGCTACAACTGAAGGCCTTTCCACATTCCTTACATTCAAAGGGTTTTTCACCAGTGTGAATTTTTTGATGCCGCGCAACATGTGAGCCACAACTAAAGAATTTCCCACACTCCTTACATTCATAAGATTTTTCAGCAATATGCAGTCTCTGATGTTGAATAAATTGTGAATTCTGACTAAAGACTTTCCCACACTTCTTACATTCATAAGGCTTCTGTTCATTATTCATTATTTGATGCAGAGTGAAGAATGTCTGTTGAATGAGTGTGGGCATGTACTCATCAGTGAGTATCTCTTGGCTGAAATTCCCATTTGGATATCCCAGCTGGCTTTCAAAGTGGCTTCTATATTCCAAAACATCCCGAAAACGGGAGTACTCAAGGCCATGCTTTGTAAGTCCCATTATCTCCCTCTGGCATGATTCTATTTCATAAACTTCCTTCTTTAGAGATAATAACTTGGTTTCACACATTGATTCCAGATCTGAAAGAAAATGAAATGGCAAAAATCCTTTTCCCCATTTGTGAAAAATCAAACTTTTATAATAAACAGAACATTAAAGTAAAAACATTACTTGTTTAATCTGAAAAAATATGTATGAAATACATAGAAATTAATGATATAAATCAGGAAGGGGTGGCAAGAGACTATGAAAATAGAAAATTACAAGGAGGGCCTTTCTGGTGGCTCAAGGGGTTAAGTTTCAGCTCTATGAAGCTATCCACAGTCACTGCAGCACGAGTTCTGTCCCTGGCCAGGGAGCTGACCCACATGGTGCAGCAGACCTCTCCTCTCTGGCCTGCTGCTCCCCTCAGCAGTGTATTTCAGTCAGTCTGCCTGTTCTGCCCCCCACTCTGTCTCTGGTGAATCCTCTCACTCCCCAGCACCTCTGGCCTCCACCCCAGCTCTTGTATGCATAAATAAATAGATCTTTAAAAAAATAAAATATGAGGGGCCTCCCTGGTGGTGCAGAGGGTTGAGCGGCACACTGTGAAGCTGTCTGCAGCCTCTGCAGTGCGGGTTTGATTCCCCGCCAACCAGGGAGATACCCACAAGGCGTGGTAGACCTCTCCTGTCTCACCCGCTGCTCCCCTCAGCAGTGTTTTCGGTTGTCTGCCTGTTCTGCTCCCGGCTGTCTCTGGGGAATTCTCTCACCCTCCAGCGCCTCTGGCCTGAACCCCAGTTCTTGTGTAAATAAATGAATCTTTAAAAAAAATGAAATATGGGTAAAAGTTTTCTTTGGAGGGGAAATGAAAGATACTTTCTACTTGAAATTAAGAAAGATGTGAGGAAGAGTAGTGAGGAAGGAATAAAACAGGTCATTTATAAAATCATGCTGAAAGGTCTCAGATACTGTTTCTTCACTCATCAGCTCAGTGATGAGCTGCTCCCCTCCATCATTTCTCACCTGAACACAGGCCTCTTGTCAGCTCCCTGCCAAGCATCCAGGGCTCTTTTCCTTGTTCCAACAGGGAGATAACTTGAGGCTTAGGAATGTAAAGTCCTGCTCCAAGAAAAGATATGGAACATGGTTATGTTGCGGGTAAGTCAGATCCAGTGGAAAGATCCAGGCCATTGATGATCAAAGAAGAGCTGTCACAACAGAATCAGCCAAAGAAAGATGAAGAGGAAGCTTCAGTCCTAGCCAACTGCAACTGCCTACTTCCTACTCTTCCTTTTCATTCCAGCTCAAATCACTCACTGGCAAACAGGGAACAGAAATTCAGCAGGTAACGCACACGGCAGCTGAGAAATTCACTGAGGAAGCGGCAGACATTCCAGAGAAGTCTAAATTACTGGCAAAGGTGCCCTTACCCACTGAAAGTAGGTTGCTGTAGTTCTCCAACATCACATCTCTGTACAAGGCTCTCTGTACAGGGTCCAGGCACCCCCACTCCTCCTGGGAGAAGTCTACTGACACATCACTGAATACCACTGACCCCTGAAACAGGAAACATATGGATTACTTGTATAATAAAAGAAATGCTTTAGGGACTCCCTGGTGGCATAAGGTTAAGTCTCAGCGCTATCATCCCTAAGGCTTGAGTTCGATCACCGGTCAGGGAGCTTACCTACATGGTACAGCAGGCCTCTGGCCTACACCCCAGTTCGACGACACAAAAACAAAGAAATACTTTAGAGACCATTGCATTTGTGTTGTGAGGCAAAGCATTTGAGCAATTATAGTTGTGTCTCTGAGAACCGTTATCTTTAGATTTCAGAAATAAATGCAAGAGTTATTAGCTTGCACCAGTCAGCAAATTCCTCACTCTGTCCACTGAAAAGAAATAATGACTTGCTCAGAAGTAACGAGCGCTGCTTGTGTCAGGGGCTGAATCGGTCAGTGACAGCACCAAATAAAAGAAAACGAAGCTCTTAGGGGAAAAGAATGATCTCAGGGGTGAGTCAGAAACGCACAGGAGGAATCTGAACACCTTTATACTGAAAAAGCAAGAGAGGTATCAAAAACAATTAGAAGTCTGTTAAAAAGACTTGGGAGTTAACTTAAAGAGTCTCCTACAGACTAAAACTGGAATAATTTGATGATCAAATGGAATGATCATATTAAAATTATTTAAATCCATGAGCTCATAACACTGACTTTAAAATTCCTGGATACCTTCTGTAGGAGTCTAAGAAATGAATTCAGTATTTTAAAAATGGTAAATAGGGGCCAACCTAGTGGCACAGGGGTTAAAGACACCACTATCAGGTTATCACCAGCCTCTGTAGCATGAGTTCGATCCCCGGCCACCCAGCCAGGGCACTACCAACATGGCACAGCAGATCTCTCCTGTCTAGCCTGCTGCTCCCCTCAGCAGTGTATTTCAGTTGATCTGTCTGTTCTTCTCCCCACTCTCACTGGTGAGTCCTCTCAACCCCCACACCTCTGATCTGTACCCCAGTTCTTATATGCATAAATAAATAAAACTTTAAAAAAAATAACAACAAAAATGGTAAATAAAAGGAAAGTAAATATTCTTTCCTATCTGAACTATCCTTAAGGGTAACCAAATAACAAATGAAAACTTTTACTGTGCAGATAGTATTCCACCTAATCTATGAAGAAGGAACAATAGAATTAAAATATCATTTTGCAATCTTTAGTAAACTGACAAATCTAGACAGCAACTGAAAATGCTGGCTAACATTTAAAAAAAGAGAACCAGGGCCTCCCCTGGTGGCTCAGGTGGTTGAGCACAGTGCTGTGAAGCTGTCCGCAGCCTCTGCAGCATGGGTTTGATCCCGGCTGGCCGGCGAGAATCCCATATGGCGCAGCAGACCTCTCCTGTCTTGCCCGCTGCTCCCCTCAGCAACGTATTTTGTCAGTCTGCCTGTTCTGTTTCCTACTCTGTCTCTGGTGAATCCTCGCACCCTCCCACACATGTGACCTGTACCCGGGTTCTTATATGCATGAATAAATAAATCTAAAAAAATAAAAAATAAAAAAAGAGAACCACATATAATGTGTATCCTAATACCTCCATCTTATTAAATCAATATCCAGCCAAGACAATAAATTCTAAAAATTTACTCTTGTTTCTTTTAAAAGAATGCACCAATTCCCTGGAGAGGGAAGAGAAATGAGATGCTCTGGGCCTTCCCAGTGCACAGCAGGTTGAGCGCCGTGCTGTGAGGCTGTCAGCAGCCTGGGCAATGCGGGTTTGATCCTGGCCGCCTGGCGAGAATCCCACATGGTGCAGCAGACCTCTCCGGTCTCACCTGCTGCTCCCCTCAGCAGTGTATTTCAGTAGATCTGCCTGTTCTGCTCCCCATATTGTCTCTGGTGAATCCTCTCACCCTCCCATGCATCAGGCCTGTACTCCAGCTTTTGTATAAAAATAAATAAATCTAGGCCTCCCCAGTGGCGCAGCAGTTGAGCGCTGGGTTGCCAAGCTGCCAGCAGCCTCTGCAGCGCCGGTTCGATCCCCGGCCACCAGGCGATTGTTCCACATGGCATGCAGACCTCTCCTGTCCCCTGCTGTTCCCCTCACCAGTGTACTTCAGTCCTTCTGCTTGTTCTGCTCTGGCTCTGGTGAATTCTCTCACCCTCCTGCACTTCTGACTGTACCGAGTGCTTGTATAAATAAATTAATTAAAAATAAATAAATAAATAAATAAATAAATCTTTAAAAAAAAAAAAAAAGAAGACTGAAATATCGAGAAGGCAAGAAGATATATCCACTCACCTGGGCCATGGTTTTCAGTACTGCAGGAGGTAATCAGTCCTCCCTGTGGCTGCTTCCCTGAAAAAACAGAGTTTTGAGAAGGCTGGCCTGGGGAAGCAAAGAAATGATCTAGAAGGGCCTCCCTGGTTGCCTAGAGGTTAAGTCTCTCAGTGTTCTCACCACGACGGCCTGAGTTCAACCCCTGGCCAGGGAGCTGACCCACAGGGTGCAGCAGACCTTTCCCATCTTACCTGCTGCTCCCCTCAGCAGTGTATTTCAGTCAATCTGCCTTCTCTGTTCCCACTGTCTCTGTTGAATCCTCTTACCCTCCTGTACCTTTGGTGTACACTCCAGTTCTTATATGCATAAATAAAATAAATCTTTAAAAAAATGCTCTAGAGGGCCTCCCTGGAGGTGCAAGGGGTTTAAGACACAATCTATAGGGAGTGGGCAGGGAAAGGTAGGATTGGGGTCAAAATCAGGGAGTTGCAATTGTATGGGGAATGTAAAAATAAAAAATTAAAAAAAAAAAAAAGACACAATCTATGAAGCTATCTACAGCCTCTGCAGCACAAGTTCAATCCCCGGCCAGGCAGCAACCCACATGGTGTAGCAGACCTCTCCTGACTCACCCACTGCTCCCCTCAGCAGTGTTTTCAGTCGATCTGCCTGTTTTGTTCTCCACTCTGTATATGGTGAATCCTCTCAGCCTCCACATCTCTGGCCTGTACCCCAGTCCTTGAATGCATAAATAAAGAAATCTTTAAAAAAAAATGCTCTAGAAATCACAATGGCCATACAGTCCTCAGATTGACTAAGAAAAACTACTTTCATTTCCTCTAGTTTAGGCTCTAATGATCTTATATTGTACAACCAAGTCCCACCTAATTTATGAAGACGGAACAATAGAATTAAATACCATTTTGCAGGACCGACCCAGTGGTGCAGTGGGTTGAGTGCAACACTGTGAAGCTGTCCACAGCCTCTGCAGCACGGGTTCATTCCCAGCTGGCCAGGGAGATTCCCACATAGAGCGGCAGACCTCTCCTGTCATGCCCGCTGCTCCCCTCAGCAATGCTTTTGGTCTGTCTGCCTATTTGCTCCCCACTCTGTCTCTGGTGAATCCTATCACCCTCCCGGGCCTCTGGCCTGTACCCCAGCTATTGCACAAATAAAATCTTTAAAAAATCTTTAAAAAAAGATTTAAAAAAAAAATCTTTAAAAAAAGTCAATCTTTAGAAAAAATCATTTTGCAAACGCTAATAAATTGATGAATCTAAACAGTGCCTGTCCATGTTGGCTAACATTTAAAAAATGAAAACCAGATATAATATGCATCCTAACAAAGTCACATATTACCACCTATGAAATATCTTTGACCAAAAAAAACCCAACTGAATCTGATTAAGCTTCTAGACCTAACTGCCAACATTTAGGAAACAAAATGTAACAGGTAAACAAATATTTGGTACCAACCAAATATTAATTAAGAATTCAGCCTTAAAGCTAGTCTGGTTGATATTTGTTTTCTGTATATTTGATGTTGGTAATTTGTGTCTTTCCTCCTGTTAGAATATATACTGAAGCTAAATGTATGCATAATCTATGACCCTAAAATTTCACTCCTAGGGGTACAGCCAACAGATATGGATTCATATATGCACCAAGACACAGACAAGAATTCTCATGGTAGTCTTGTTTATAATAGTGCTAGTGTGAATACAGTTCAAAAGTCAATCAACAGTGGAATGGCTAAATTATTGTCTATGCACACAAAGGAGTTCTAGTCAAACGAATATGCTCATTTTTATAAAATTCATCAAGTCCTTTACCTTAATTTCCGTATGTTTTGAAATGTATGTTACACTTTATTCATTCTTACAAACTTTATTTTATTTAGAACAGAAAAGGCAAAATTTTTAAAATACACAGCTAAGGGTAGTATTGTCAAAATAGGAGAGTTCTGCTGCTCCTGAAACATATGTTACACTTTTAAAGACACATGATATACCATTGTATCAGCAAATCTATCAAAAATTAAAATATCAGGGCTTCCCTGGTGGTAGAGGGGTTAAATCTTAGCTTTATCAAGCTATTGCCAGCCACTGAGGCAAGAGGTCCACCCTGGCTGGCTAGGGAGCTACCCAAGTGGTGCAGCAGACCTCTTCTATCTCGCCCACTGTTCCCCTCAGCAGTGTATTTCAGTCTTCCTGTTCTACTTCCCACTCTGTCTCTGATGAATCCTCTCACCCCCCACACCTCTGGCCTGTACCCCAATTATGGTATATATAAATAAATAAATCTTAAAAAAAAAAAGAATTTAACAGTACAATTATATTGAAAATATTTGGCACTACCTAGGAATTTTGAAGATACAAACATATTCCAGCAATACTATTTGTGTATGTTTATACCCTGAAAAGCATGCATATGTGCACCAGAATACTTATAATATGTTTACGACAGTTCTTTTAAAGAATCCCAAAATGGGGGTGCTGGGAGAGCCACATATAACAGCCAGAATGAGCCTAAGAAACATAATACTGTGTAAGAAAAGCACAGCTCAAAAAAATATATTACATATTAATATATTACATAATACATACAATATATTACATAGCACAATTTCTATAATTTAAAAGGGCACCAATATACTATATTGTTTATGCATGTGCATATATGTGGTTAAGTATTTTCAAAACAAAAACAGAAAAATAATTTTCACCAACTCATCAGGTTACCTAAAGGGTTGAAGAGGATAATTTCATTCCTTGGAGCAAATACAAATTTTTGTTACACAGGGGTTTCCTTTATAAACACTTCTTAAATTGTATGTCTGTATATTACTTTAAGCACTTTTCTGTACATATGCAATATTTGGTAATTTTTATAAAAGAAAACCTATATAACAATTATAAATAATTTTTAGTGAAATGTAAGATAGGAGACGGTAAATAATTCTGCCTTAATCTTGAAAACAGTATGCACTGGCACACTGAAAATTTATTTAGAAGGGAATAAATGACAATACTGACTGGTGTTGGTTTTCTTGTGCACTTTCAAACTTCCTATTTTTGAAAATTTTTTAAAAATTGTGTGTGTTTAAAAAAGAAAAAATTTAGCAGACTTAGGAGAAACTGAGTTATTTTCTAAGTTAATATGTGAACATTATGTAGAAGAAAATGAGAAAGAAAACTAGTATCTGTGGGTTCACCCCCAAGGTTTCCTATCATTTATTTGAGTGGAAGTTTCCATGCAGGAGAAGGAAAGCATAAAGGAAACACCACCGCACCTTGAACTTAGCCTGATCAGCGGCCATTCCTCTTTCCTCCCCTGGGGGCCTCCCTGAGAAGAACAGAACTGAGGGGAAGGAGAAGGAGAAAGGAATCTTGAGATGCCAGGCCTTTCTTGTGTCCAGGACTAACCAACCAGGTCAGAGGTAGGTGGTGGAGAATTACACCTGCCACCCATGGAGAAAAGGAGTGATGGGAAAAAGTGAGAAGCATCTAGGCAACTGAGCATTCTTGGTGTCAGAAAAAAAGTCTCTGCTGTCCAAGACCAAAATCTTTCCCTGACCTCGCCCATCAACCACTAGGACAACAGTCACTTGGCACAATTACAAGTATCCTCTCACCACACACACAATGCCAGAAAAAGTAACAAGATCACATTCGCATACTCAGTCACAGATAAGCCAAGACACTTAATGCTAACATTCACACTGCTGTAGAAATAAATTCTGGCCTTTTACCCAAGCAGAGGAAGAACAAGCAGTACTTCAGGAATGATGAGGTCAGGAGAAGCCTTATTACTTATGCATAAGGTCCCAGACCTGGGTAGCCCCGTAAGGTCTGAGCACCGGTTTAAAGACCAAGGGTTCCTTTCATACACAACTGTGTCCATGTATGTTACACTGATAACATCGTTTTTTCAGCAGGTACAACCATTTGCAGCAAAGTCCCCAGACAAGGAGGGGAAGGCAAGGAGGAAAGATGCAGCATTCGGGGATGGCCTTGGAGAGGGAGACCAGCTTGGCCGGCTCCCCGACCTTGAAGATAAGAGTGCTAGGCCCTGGCCATGAATCTTGAAAGGGAAGGCGCTGTAAGTAAGCAAACTTGTTGATTATGCCTGCATTGGAATGTTCCTTGCACCTGGGCTGGAAGTTCTGCTGGAATCTTTATTATGTTCATTTGCTCAATAATATATTTTCTCATCAGAAACAACCACAATCACACACGCATCTCTCAACACAATCTGATGTTACAATGTCCCAACACAGTCACATAAAATTACACACACAAGCACAGGACCCCACCACCGCACACTCACACCTACGCACCGTCACAGTCAGACAGCTACCGAAAGGAAGCCCAAAATTACACCTGCACGTAGAGCTCCGCGCATGGTCAGTGACAACGACACACCCACCGCAGGGCCACACACTCACACCTGCACACAGAGCCCAGCACGGTAACGTAAGGTCAGAGTCGCACACATGGAATCTCACTTCTTGCCGCCTCCCCCAGTCCGACAAACTCACAAAGGCGCGACATTTCGGACCTGCCCCTACAGGCCGTTCAGACCCCCAGGGACACGGCTGCGGAGCCCGATCGCGGCCCCAGGACCTAGGCCTCTCACCTTGCACTTCTTCCCCGGAGGCCGAGGGTCCCGCAGGCGAGCGGAGGGCGGCCCTGCGCCTACCGGGGCCTCTGGGAAATGTAGTCCCGCCAGCAAGATGGCGCCGCCCTCCGCTTCCCGCTAGTGCCCTGCTTGGGCCACACCGACACCCCTGCTCTCTTCTCTTTAACGCTGCCAAGAATCTCCGAGATCCAGACGCATTCTCGGAGCTGGGCTCCCACACAATGCAGGCGCAGCATCCTAGAGACAGGCTTTCTCGAAACCTAACATCCCAGGGAGCCATAAGTGCCCGGAAAAATAGAAAAAGGTCGCTGGGTTCACGCCGGAAGTTGATTTAGCCGCAAGAACTTCTGGGAAATGTAGTCTACAGCCCCAAAGAGCGCGGCCCCTGCCCAAGGAGAAGATTGGCATAGATGAGTTTCTGCATTGAGCTTGTCCACATTGAGGGGCTGAGCCTCCATCTAGGGCTAGGAGGATTTGTAACCTTCTCTGAGACGCTGAGTATCTTGGTACTGACTGCGTAAATCCCAGTAGTTTTAATTTTGTGTCACTGGTGTTTATTCATTTGATCCTGCTGATGGGATTTTAAGTTTTCAGATTTTTATTCTTGTGAACTGTGAGCTGACATAAGTATCCTTGTACATGTTCCGTGCAATACACATGTAAAGTTTCTTGAGGAAGTATACTTAGGAGTGGACTCATAGGGTCATAGCGTATGGGAATATGCAAGATTACAAAACACGAATTATTTTCCAAAGTGATTGCAACCAATTAACATCCCACTATCAAAGTATAATTTGCTCCATAATTGTCAGACATAAATTTTGTCAAGCAAATTGAAAAATACCTTGATTACATATCCCTGGTGAATGATTATGGCCACATAAGTTTCCTTTTCTATAAAATACATGGTTCAAGTCTATCATCTATATGTACTGGGTTTATTATGTTTTACCTAACAATTAGGATTGGTTCTTGCCACCAATCGATCACTGGTAGGCTTGTGTTCTAAATGTATCTGTCCCAGTTTATAACTTGTCGCTTCATTCTCCTTATTGTTATTTGATGAACAAAGTCTTTATTTCAATATAATGAAATTTTATATAATTCATGCTGTTGTGCTGGGTTTTTTTTAAAGATTTATTTATGTATACAAGAGCTGGGGTACAGGCCAGAGGTGTGGGGGCTGAGAGCAATCACCATAGACAGTGGGGAACAGAACAGGCAGACTGACCAAAGTACACGCTGAGGGAAGCAGCAGCGAGTCAGGAGCGGTCTGCTGCACCATGTGGGTTGCTCCCTTGCCAGCTGGGGATCGAACTTGTGCTGCAGAGGCTGCAGACAGCTTCATAGGCTGCATTTTAACCCCTTGAGCCACCAGGGAGGCCCTGTCGTGCTGTTTTTAAGAATTCTTTCGAGAAGGCACAGTGGCATCACAAGATGTACAGCTACCAGCTAGGGGACTGTCTCCTTTGCTTACCATGGCATTCATGCCTGCCCCCCCAACTACTGTTATAAAGAGAGTCCCCCAACCTCCCTGTCATAAAGGAAGCAGTGATTTATGATGTACATTACAATAAAAAATGTGGTACCACATATCAAATATAAAGTAAATTATATTATCCCAACAAAGCATTATACTTTCTTTCTTCCATTTGATCTGATTCTGGTAAATGTGTTAGTTTGTTAACTGTGATTTGTGAGTCCAGTTCAATGAGTTTTCCCGTATTTCAGAACTATATTTCAAGGTAAATATTAGCAGTGTTGTATGCACTTGGAAGCTGCATCCATTTAAAATAGGAAATAATTAGGATTGGTTCCTAATTTAAAATATCCCTGGTGGCACAGAGGCTAAAACTCTCAGTGCTATCAAGCTACCGCCAGCCACTGTTGCATATTGTATCCCCAGCCAGGGAGCTGGCCCACACGGTGCAACAGACCTCTCCTGTCTTGCCCATTACTCACCTCAGCAGTGCATTATATTACATCTGCCTGTTTTGCTCCCCACTCTGCCTCTGGTGAATGCTTTCACAGACACACACCCCTGCCTGGTATACACCCCAGTTCTTGTATGCATAAATAAATAAACCATTAAAATAAGTAAATAAAATAGGGGCTATCTCTGTTATATTGCTATGAAAAATATATTATCTAATAGTACCAACACACACTTTCTTTGCTTTTTAGTGAAATTTTACTGTGGAAATTTCACACAAAAACCAAAGGAGAACTATATATAAGCTCCATGTCCCCATCACCCTACTGCAACATTTATCAACATTCTGTTATCCTTGTTTCGTCTCTCCACCTCTCCTCAGATTTATGTATTTTTTTTAAGATTTATGCAAACTTTGAGTTTTTACAAGAAACCCCTCACCTCTGTCAGGTAGAGGAACTTCTTGAAACAGGCAATATTTAAGCTGAGTTTGGAAAAACGTTTTAGGAGTCCACCAGATCAAAGGAATTGTGTCTTTGCAGCTCCCACTCATAGTCCCCCCTGGAAAGAGGGGATATAGGGAGATGGGTTTAGCTGCTTCAGAATGTTCCATATAGATGTTAAGGGAAGTCAGAGAATAGAGTTAAGGTTTCCTTTACATATAAGGACATTGTAATTACTTTGATTTTAATTTTTTTTTAAAGATTCATTTATTTATGCATACAAGAATTGGGATGTAAGCCAGAGATGCAGGGGGTGAGAGGATTCACCAGAGACAGAGTGGGGAACTGAACAGACAGATCGACTGAAATACACTGCTGAGGGGAGCAGCAGGCCAGACAGGAGAGTTCTGCTGTGCCATGTGTGTAGCTCCCTGGCCTGCCAGGGATGCCAACTCATGCTGCTGTGGCTGGTGACAGCTTGATAGCTCTGACCAGGGAGGCCCAGATTTTAATTTTCAAATACATAAAAATAGTTTTGTTTTACTCACACATTGTCTATATTAAAGACTTGCAATTTGCATTACTATTACTGGCTACTTTCGTTCCACTTGTGGCTAAGAGAAATTAATGGGGATTGACATCTCCACTCCTGGCTGCCCTCAAGCAGACAGCTTCCTCTGGTGTCACTCAGGAGGCGACTGAACTACCCAGTCCTTTACGCTGTTTCACGGGGTGGCTTTTCCCACGAAAGGCTGCACCATAAGCGGACGGTCCATTTTTACTTCTATACTGCTGGGTGGTTTCGCCCCGCAATGGACTCGCATCCAGAACTTTCCACCCATGTACCCTCCTGACTTCTGCTCTCATATCCCAGTGTTTTCTCCCAAAATGCAGGCGTCTACCCGTCTCCCTCGGTGATTTTTCCTCCTTGGTTCTCTTCTTTCAGGTCCCCCCAGCCCCCACCCCCCAGCTGGCTGCTGCTATCAGCATTGTATCATAAACCAATGAGCTAGCTAGGTTTTCTAAACAAAACAGCCGGATCCCACCCATCTCCATCCAATCTGGAGCCTCCTTTAGACGCTGGCACGCTCCTCCACTCTTGCTGACAATCCCGACCTTGCTTTAAAAAACACCCCGGGAGCTGTTCCCCTGCTGTACGGAATGGACACTCCTCCAAGATGGCGGCCCGCACTGGGAGCACAACTCGGCGCGGCCACCTTTTCTATCCGACCGCGTCCCTTACGGACACCGCACGGGGCCAATAACGGACCTGAGCCGGGCAGCTCTCAAGGCAGTGCAAAGCATGCGCAGTGCCAACAGCCCGAGGGGGCGGGGCTGGCGGCTGGGCCGGAAGTGGAAATGATCCTCGAAACCTTTTTCGCCGCTAGTGTCTGAAGCATCTCCACATTTTAATCCCGAGAGATCTCTGAGGTGACTTTCTTGGGTGTCGTAATGAGGGATCCTGTGGGTTCAGTGATGGTGGTTTTGTGTCCAGGAGGGCGCGGTCTGTGACGTCCCTTGATGGGTGTCGGGGGGCGGGATAGGTGGTCAGGAACGGGTCTCGGGTCATTGAGTGGCCGTGATTAGTGGACTGAGTGATGGGCATCTGTGTCCAGTGACAAGATCTGGCCAATGACAGGACTGGTGGTAGTTGTGGGGGGTGGCTATGGACTGTTATGAACTTGCTTCCTAAGCATTCAGAAACTTTGGAGTGTAGCGCTTTATTTAAATCTTAGTGGGGTTTTTTTTTTTTTTTTGTAACCCATGAATTATTTGTTTTTCTTAAAGATTTATTTATTTATGCCTACAAGAACTGGGGTACAGGCCAGAGGTGTGGGGGTGAGAGGATTCACCAGAGACAGTGGGGAACAGAACAGGCAGACTGACTGAAATACACTGCTGAGGCAGCAGCGGGAGAGTCAGGAGAGGTCTGCCGCGCCATGTGGGTAGCTCCCTGGCCGGGAATGGACTCCTGCTACAGTGGCTGTGGATATAGCGTCATAGTGCTGATGCTTAACCCCTGCCCCATGAGGGATAGCTGACCCATTTAAAAGCGGTGTCTCTTTCAGATAATGTCTCTGGGTAATTCTGGAATTAAAAAATTGCTTTATGGCCTAATTGAGGTCAGTCTTCAGAAATGTCACCTTTTTTTAAACAAAAACATTGTGTATTCTTTATTGTATTGTATTATTGCAATTATTTTTTATATTATACTGGTTATTTTTCCTGCGTGATTAGAGAAAGATAAATTCACAGTGGAAAGATTTGTCCACATGTCCTGTCTAGCAGTTTCTGCTTTATATATGTAAAACTTTTTGATCATAAATGGTATTTGTTCTTATCCCCACTCTACTCCCAAACTGAAAAGCGTTGCAGCCTTCTCTGTTATATTAAAAATAGACTGCAAACCCCAAAATATAGATTAGTCAATTTGCTTACCGCAGTTATCTGTTGGCTGCAGAGTCCCAAGAATATGGATCAAACCTTCACAGGTGAGGTTTTTTTTATATTCCAGCTATTATTAGGAACAGTTGTGTATATATTTAATACTAGTTATGAGTAAATAACTGAAAAAATAAAAAATCAAACTCCCACCAATAATTTTTAAAAGCACTCCTTTTCCCAAATACTTTCCAGCACTGGATATTCTGTGTGTGCTTTTAAAGCTTTTACAATTCTGACAAAAAACTGTATCTAGGGCCTCCCCTGGTGGCTCAGCAGTTGAGTGCTAGGCTACCTGCAGCCTCTGCAGCGGTTCGTTTCCCCTGCTGCTGGTGAGGGGCCCACAAAAACAAAACAAAAAAAACTATTGTTTCAGTGCATTCTTTTGTTAATAAAATCGGCATCTTTTGGACTAATTGCCACCTGATTCCCTTTTCTTTTTCTTTTTTTTTTTTTAATAGAGGCATGTTTTATTTATTTATTTGTTTGTTTTGTTTATACATGCACTGGGTACAGTCAGAAGCGCGGGAGGGTGAGAGAATTCACCAGAGCCAGAGCGGGGAGCAGAGCAGGCAGAAGGACTGAAGTACACTGCTGAGGGGAGCAGTGGGCGGCAGGAGAGGTCTGCGCGCCATGTGGGACCCTCACCGGTGGCGGGGGATTGAACCGGCGCTGCAGAGGCTGCGGGCAGCTTCGCAGCCCAGTGCTCAACCGCTGCACCACCTGGGAGGCCCTTGATTCCCTTTTCTGTGAATTTTCATATCCTTCGTTTTTGTCCTGGGGTTTTGTTTTTCTTATTGATTGCTAGATTTTTTTTTTAATATTAGAGATTAGTTATCATGTATTGAAAGTTTTTCTACACGTCTTTTTTTTTTTTTTTAAAGATTTATTTATTTATGCATACAAGAACTGGGGAACAGGCCAGAGTTGTGGGGGGTGAGAGGATTCACCAGAGACAGAACAGGCAGACTGACTGAAATATGCTGCTGAGGGGAGCACCGGGTGAGTCAGGATTGGTCTACTGTGCCATATGGGTAGCTCCCTGCCAGGATCGAACTCATGCTGCAGTGGCTGTGGATACCTTCACAGGTTGTACCTTAACCTCTTGCATCACCAGGGAGGCCCAGTTTTTCTACATGTCTTTATATTGTTTTTTGAAGTGTATTTTAGCATTTACTTAGGAAATGTCTAGTTACAAATGTTTTTTCTGTAGTTTTTGGGTTTTCTCTCACACTTTGTAAAATCCCTTCTACCTCACTACAATGTTAAACAATGTATTTCTAAAATTTATTTTAATATTTTTGGAGTTTTAAAAATAATATACTGAATTGTTTAGTCCTGCTGGAATTCAGTCTAACTATAGTGTGTGATGGGGATCTAGTTTGTTTTTTTTTTAAAGATTTATTTATGCATACAACAACTGGGGTGCAGGCCAGAGGTGCAGAGGATGAGAGGATTCACCCGAGACAGAGTGGGGAACAGAACAGGCAAACTGACTGAAATACACTGCTGAGGGGAGTAGCGGGCAAGACAGGAGAGGTCTGCTGCACCATGTGGGTCACTTCCTTGGCTGGGGATCGAACTCCTGCTGCAGAGGCTGTGGCTAGCTTCACAGTGCTGTGCCTAACCCCTTGCACCACCAGGGAGGCCCAGTTCTAGTTTGTTTTTATCCAAGTGGATGTCCAGTTATGTCAGTACCATTTATGCAATGACTGTCTTGTGGAACTTTTGTTACATAAATAAATGTGTTTTACTTACATTATTTTATATTGTTATGTAACAATCCCTGATAATTGCTGACATGTATGCCATGTTTCTTGTGTGCCAGAGAGGTGTTGAATACTATATACCCATCATCTTATTTAATTTCCATAACTCCATAAGGTAGGCACTTTCATCCTCACTTTTGAAGGTAAAACTGAAATAATTTCCTCATAGCCAAAAGACAGTAGAGCTCCAATTCAAATCTTGAGTAATGTTACTCCATATACTGTTTTTCCCATATTTTCTTATGACTAATCCCTATCACAGGTGGTATTAAACTTTATATTTTCAAAGTGTGGTTCCTGAACCAGCAGCATCAGTACTACCTGAGCACTCACTGGAAATGCAAACTTTGGAGTCTGTTATGGTCTGATTGTTTGTCCCCCTGAATTTCTTACATTGAAATCCTAACCCTAGGCCTCCCTCGTGGCACAAGGAGTTAAGCGTCAGCACTGTGAAGCTACTGGCAGCCACTGCATCACTGCAGTTCTATCCCTGCCAGGGAGCTGATCCACATGGCACAGCAGACCTCTCCTGTCTCACCTGCTGCTCCCCTCAGCAGTGTATTTCAGTCAGTCTGCCTGTTCTGCTTCCCACTCTGTCTCTGGTGAATCCTCTCAACCCCCGCACCTCCAGTTCTTGTATGCATAAATAAATAAATCTTAAAAAAAAACAAAAATCCTAATCCCCAGAAGTATGGCATTAGAAGATAGGGCTCTGGGAGGTAATTTAGGTGGAACCCTTAGCAATAGTTACTAGTGCTCGTATAAAAGAGATCTTAGAGTTCCCTCAACCCTAAGACACGGAGAGGAGGCACTGGCTATAAACCAGAAAGAGGCCTTTCTTTCGTTTTGTTTTTTTTTTAAAGATTTATTTATTTATGCATACAAGAACTGGGGTACAGGCTAGAGGTGTGGGGGGGAGGGTGTGAGAGGATTCACCAGAGACAGTGTGGGGAACAGAACCGGCAGGTTGACCGAGGTATACTGCTGAGGGGAGCCGCGTGCGAGACAGAGAGGTCTGCTGTGCCATAGGGGTTGCTCCCTGGCTGGGGATTGAACTTGTGCTGCAGAGGTTGTGGACAGCTTCGTAAGTTGCATCTTAATCCCTTGCGCCACCAGGGAGGCCCTGGAAGAGCCCTTTCACGCTGGTACCTATCTGGGACTTCCCAGCCTCTAGAACTGTGAGCAACATTTTTGTCGTTTGTAAGTTACCTAGTCTGTGGTATTTTGTTTTAGCAGCCCTGACACACATCCTGCTCTAGTCCTGATGAATTAGAAACTGTGGGAGTGAGGCTGAGAATTTTTAACAATATTTTAACAAGCCCTCCATTAATTCAGATGCACACCCTTTGAGAACCACTGCTCTGTAGTGTCTAGCTGAGGGATGTTTATGTGATGATGGTGGGATGACTGACCATGTGGACATTGTCTTACCAGGTTTCTTGGTGCCTCTGGAAGTCCCTTGGCCAGATCTTCCTCCAGACTCCAGCCAGCCTCTCCCCAGCGACTGTTTGATGTCCACTGAGCTTTAGGCTCCTGGGAAAATAAAGGTTGAACTCCAGCTGGACTACACCAGCTAACTGGACATCTCCCCAGAAATCTCCAGCCATGGCTCCAGAGGAAAATGGTTCATGTGAGGTAAGGAGGAGAAGTTGTAGGGGTGGGAATTTGTCCTGGGAGTAGATATCGCTGATCTGTCACCAAAATCTTGGGGCAGTGGCAAAGGGACAACAGAAAGCAGCCAGAGTCTTATACTGCCCTGCAACATTTGATCTTTCTGCCAATAATGAGCAACAAACACATGATTAATGTCTTCACATCCAGTGTATGACAGTGGGGAAGTGGAATGTCCAGGAAAACTGTCCTTTATTTTCTCTTCATAGTATGTTAATCTTTTAGTTGAGGATAAAATTCCTGGTGAGAAATCGGGCCTCCCTGGTGGCGCAGGGGTTAAAGACAGAACTATTGGGCTGTCGCCAGCCACTGCAGGACAAGTTCAATTCCTGGCTGGCCTGGGAGGTGATCCACATGGTGCAGCAGACCTCTCTTGTCTCACCTGCTGCTCCCCTCAGCAGACTATTTTAAGATTTATTTATTTATGCATACAATAACTGGGATATAGGTCAGAGGTGTGGGGGGGAGGTGAGAGGATTCACCAGAGACAGTGTGGAACAGAATAGACAGACTGACTGAAACACATTGCTGAGAGGAGCAGCGGGCGAGACAGGAGAGGTCTGCTGTGCCATATATGGGTTAGCTTCCTGGCAGGGGATTGAACTCACCCTGGCCGGGGATCGAACTTGTGCTGCAGTGGCTGTGGACAGCTTCATAGGTTGCATCTTAACCCTTTGCGCCACAAGGGAGACCCTGGTTGGTAGATTCTTTGAGTGTCATCTTTATGTCACTAATCTCTTAAACTGAATCTTCTAATCTTTTTTTATTTTTTTTTTTAATAGAGGCATGTTTTATTTATTTATTTTGTTTGTTTGTTTGTTTTGTTTATACATGCACTGGGTACAGTCAGAAGCGCGGGAGGGTGAGAGAATTCACCAGAGCCAGAGCGGGGAGCAGAGCAGGCAGAAGGACCGAAGTACACTGCTGAGGGGAGCAGCGGGCAGCAGGAGAGGTCTGCGCGCCATGTGGGATCCTCCTCCGGTGGCCGGGGAGCAGCTGGGGATTGAACCGGCTCCTCAGAGGCCGCGGGCAGCTTCGCAACCCAGCACTCAACCGCTGCGCCACCGGGGAGGCCCTCTAATCTTTTTTTAGACAGCATCTATTAAATTTGTACTGTGATGACTCCTATACAGTTTAAGAATCTTTTGTTTGTTGGATATTTTTTATTGAACTCTAGTTTTCTATTTTCCTTTGAGAGTCCTTATTTCCATTTAATACTGCTCACTGGTCTTAATCTCTTCTTTGTCACTTTTTGGGTTTTCAGTGCTTTCCGAGAAACCTTCATTTCTTTTTTTTTTTTTTAAAGATTTATTTATTTATACAAGCACTGGGTACAGTCAAGCACGGGAGGGTGAGAGAATTCACCAGAGCCAGAGCGGAGAGCAGAGCAGGCAGAGGGACCAAAGTACACTGCTGAGGGGAGCAGTGGGCAGCAGGAGAGGTCTGCACGCCATGTGGGACCCTCCTCCGGGGGCCGGGGAGCAGCCGGGGATCGAACCAGCGCTGCAGAGGCTGCAGGCAGCTTCGCAACCCAGCGCTCAACCGCTGCGCCACCAGGGAGGCCCAAGACCTTCATTTCTATTGCTTTTTCTTTCTTTTCCACTTCTCTACTGAGTTCTGCTAATTTTTTTTATTATTTAAATAAATAGCCTATCTTTTTCCATTATTTTTCTTGTACTTTTACTTCCCTGTTTAGATCCCTATTTATTTTAAGTAGTGAATGTATTTTCTTCTGTTATATGGCAATTTATTTCTATTGTATTCCTTTTCAATCTCTTATTTCATTGTTTTTGCTTAAAATACCTTTGTACATCAAGAGATGGTGGTTGTTATCTTTGAGTGTGGAGACATTTTATTCCTGGACAAAATGTTTATAAGTAGCTCCTTTGGTTAGGAGTGAAGGCTAATATATCAATAGAATCTTTTTCTTTTTTTAATTTTATTTCTGGACAGTCTATCTGAGGTGTAGCCCAGAGGTGTAGGGGGGTGAGAGTATTCACCAGAGACAGAGTGGGGAGCAGAATAGATGAATGTACTGAAACGTATTGCTAAGGGGAGCAGCAGGCAAGATAGGAGAGATCTGCTGTGCCATATATGGGTTAGCTTCCTGGCAGGGGATTGAACTCAGGCCGTAGAGGTGATAACGCTGAGACTTAACTCCTAGGCCAACCAATAGCATCTTTTTCTTTTTCTTTCTTTTTTTTAAATGTTTTTTTTTTTTTAATAGAGGCATGTTTTATTTATTTGTTTGTTTGTTTTGTTTATACATGCACTGGGTACAGTCAGAAGCGCGGGAGGGTGAGAGAATTCACCAGAGCCAGAGCGGGGAGCAGAGCAGGCAGAGGGACCAAAGTACACTGCTGAGGGGAGCAGCAGGCGGCAGGAGAGGTCTGCGCGCCATGTGGGACCCTCCTCCGGTGGCCTGGGAGCAGCCGGGGATCGAACCAGCGCCGCAGAGGTCGCCGGCAGCTTCGCAACCCAGCGCTCAAACACTGCGCCACCGGGGAGGCCCCTTTCTTTTTTTTTTTTTTTTTAAGGAAACATTTTATTTTATTTTATTTAAGATTTATTTATTTTTATATAAGAAGCGGGGAACAGGCCAGAGGCACGGGAGGGTGAGAGAATTTACCAGAGACAGAGCAGGGAGCAGAACAGGCAGACCGACTGAAATACACTGCTGAAATACACTGAAATACACTCTGCCTGAGCAGAGCAGCGGGCACGACAGGAGAGGTCTGCCACGCCAGATTGGTATCTCCCTGGCTGGCAGGGAATGGAACCCGCTGTGCAGAGGCTATGGACAACTTCACAGCGGTGTGCTCAACCCTCTGCGCCACTGGGGAGGCCCAACAGCATCTTCTTCATTCTGCATTAAACTCTTTTTTTTAAAAAAAAAAGATTTATTTATTTATGCATACAAGAGCTGGGGTACAGGCTAGAGGTGCAGGGGGTGACAGGATTCACCAGAGACAGAGTGGGGAACAGAACAGGCAGACTGACTGAAATACACTGCTGACGGAGCAGTGGGCAACACAGGAGAGGTCTGCTGCGCCATATGGGTCACTCCCTGGCTGGCCAGGGATTGAACTCATGCTGCAGAGGCCGTGGATTGCTTCACAGTGCTGTGCTTAACCCTTGCGCCACCAGGGAGGCCCTGCATTAAGCTCTTGATGATACTGACTGTTGGGCTAGGCGATCAGAGTATAGAGTTGTAAATATGTAAGTGTTCAGGACAGAAAAACTGGATCACATGTATTCCTTTCAAGCATATAGGGAACATTTTCAATGACGTGACAGTATTTTAAGCCTCAGAAACAGAATCAACACATTAAAAGACGCATACTGTAACTATAATATTTGAAATCAATTAGATGAAGAAATGAATAAGATCATTTTTAAACAGCACTATTTTAGACATTAGGAATACCAGCAGCTTTAATATTTTCTTTACCTTTGACCTCCCTGCATCTTCATTTTCTCCCTTAAATCCAGTGTCCTGCTTTGTACATAAGACTCATGAATTTTCATCTCCATGCTAGGTCTTTATTCACCTGTGTAGAATACGTGATCGAATGTATTATCCCCTAAATCTTAGTATATAAAATTTAAATTATTTCTTATGCTCTTCCCCCATCCTCTTCCTGTAGTCTCCTTATGGAAGTACACCTGTGAAACCAGTCTATAGTTACACAGAACTGATAACTGAGCCTTTTTCTCTGACCTTTACACTTGATATCAATTTTACCTTCTTAATAATTAATATCAGCCTTTCTAGTGATACATCCCTGTTAAGACTATAGCCTTACTTTGCGTAAGTAAAAAATTTATATTTTGTAACATGAATTGTGATTGATCTTCTAGTCTTACCTATTCCAAATAGCCTGAGAATTATCTTTCTTTAACATATATTTTTATTTTTTATTTTTTTAATTTTTGTTTAAGATTTATTTATTTATGCATGCAAGAGCTGGAGTACAGGCCAGAGATGTGGGGAGTGAGAGGATTCACCAGAGACAGAGTAGGGAACAGAACAGGAAGACTGACTGAAATACACTGCTGAGGGGAGCAGCGGGCGAGTCAGGAGATCGAACTTGCGCTGTAGAGGCTGCAGATCATTTCAGAGTGTGGTGCTTAATCCTTTGTGCCACCAGGGAGGTCCAATATATTTTTAAAACATTTCATTTTGAAATAATTGCAGATTCATAGGGCATTACAAAACATAGTACAGAGAATTCCCCCATAAATTCCATTTATTGTGACACATGATTCTTTTCATTCATCACTGGATCCATTTGCTACTATTTCATTGAGGATGCTTGCCTATCTGTTCATGAGTGATACTGATTTGTAATTTTCTTTTTCATACTGTCTTTGTCCAACTTTGGTATCAGAATAATACTGGCCTCACAAAATCAGTTGGAAAGTATTCCCTTTTTACATAATTTTCCAGATGAGACTTATGTAACAATGAGACTAATTTTTCTTTAAATATTTAGTAGAATTCTTTAGGAAAACTCTGAGGCTAGAGTTTTCCTTTTCTGGAGCTTTTCAATTATGACCCTAATTAAATTTAATGGTTATACGGTTATCAGTTTACCTGCATTAATTGAGTTTTGATAGCTGTGGTTTTGAGGATGTGACCCATTTCTCCCAAATTTTTGATTCTGTTTCCCTCCATGTTTTTTCTCTTTTCCATATTTTTAAAAGAATTGGATTATTTGCTCTAAGTAGTGTTTGAAAATGTTCATATAGCCTTCCCATGGCCAAAGCTAACTATTCACATTGAATAGGAATGTACTTTACAGGAATCAGTGTCCTTCAGGGATGTGGCTGTAGATTTCAGCAGAGAGGAGTGGCAGCACCTGGATCTTGCTCAGAAAAGTTTGTACCGGGATGTGATGCTGGAGACCTACAGCCACCTGCTTTCAGTAGGTAAGCAGAGTCACCTATGCAGCTGAGAGAAAGCTCGATGAGTTTTCACTTTTTTTTTTTTTTGAGTTTTCACTTTTAATTACTGAATGCTGTGAGACATCTGAAATATGGTAGTTTTTGTCCTTGATTTTTGCCGAATTCTTGATCCCTTTCTGTTCCCAGGGATACTGTATGTGCTCACTCATGTTGTTCTCGCTAATGTTGGAAACTGACTTTAAGCTAAATGACATACAAGGATCACAAGCCTTTGATAATGTCATTTCATTCCTCATTGACCAAGTTCTTTTTCTCATCAATGGTATCATCAAACATTATTTGAGAACCTATATGGTTATGTTCCTAAAAAACAAAGCTCCTTGGATAACAAGACTTTATGGAAGGGTACTGAAACCCGCTTAGCTGGACCCCAGTACTTTATTGTTTCTCATCAACAGGTTACCAAGTTCCTGAACCAAAGGTTTTCATGTTGGAGCAAGGAAAGGACCCATGGGCATCACAGGGTAGGAGTCCACAACAGAATTGTGCAGGTGAGTAAGGGTGCCCCAGATAGGTGGGAGATAGGGGGTAAGTCTCAGCTGTCTTGAGAAAGACTCTTGTTCTACTTCTATCCTTGGTGCAAAGTGTTTATGAAGTTTACTTCCTCTAACTGCTGAATTATGTCCCAAAATGTTCTCTATTACTACTATCAACAACTTTCTCTTCAAATGATTTACCCTTACCTTTTTCTCTGTTCTATCTGGATGTCTGGATGAACCACGTCTTCTTCCCTTTCTCCTCTGCTAGCTGCTCTTTTTTTTAAGGGTGGAAATTTTTTTTAAAGATTTATTATTTATACAAGAACTGAGGTACAGTCAGAGGTGTGGGAGGGTGAGAGAATTCACCAGAGACAGAGTGGGGAACAGAGCAGGCAGAAGGACTGAAGACACTGCTGAGGGGAGCAGTGGGCGAGACAGAAGAGGTCTGCCGTGCCATGTGGGTTTCTCCCTGGCTGGCTGGGAATCGAACCCGCCTGCAGACAGAGGCTGCAGACAGCTTCACAGGTGCTCAACCCGCTGTGCCACCGGGGAGGCCTCAGCTAACTGCTCTGTGAGTTAAAATCACCTCATTCTCTTTTGAGGAAAGTTTGCATTTCAAACCTTACAATAGAAAATTTTCTGCAAAAGCATCTTTCTACATTGAGTGGGAAAGGAATGCTGCAAGTGATGTTTTGTTGTATTTCATTCTAGAAGAATTATGGCAGATTGGTGACCAGATAGAAAACTATCAGCAAAAAGAAAATAAATCTTTAAGAAATGTTGCTTTTATCAAGAAAGTGTTGATCAGCAAGAGGGATTATGACTATAAGGATATTAGAAAAATAAATCCCGTGAGCACAAGTATTCCTTATCCAAAAAGACCCCACCAGCATGACTTATTTGAAAATACTTTGAAGCAAAATTTAGATTTATATAGTCATCATAGAATCCATGATTCAAAGAAAAATAATAACGTTACTGACTATGGTAAAATTCCCCCCTCTACTAACCATGAGTGTGCTTCAACAGAAGAAAAATTATGGAACTATAATCAATGTGGGAAAATTCTCAGCTATAAACAAGCACCATCTCAATATCTCAAAAGTCATACTGGGGAGAAAGCTTACGAATGTGCAGAATTTGGAAAGATCATTTCCCAGAAGTCACAAATCAAAGTACATCTGAAAGTTCATACAGGAGAAAAACTCTATGTGTGTATTGATTGTGGGAAGGCTTTTGTACAAAAGTCAGAATTCATTACACATCAGAGAACCCATACTAGAGAGAAACCCTATAAGTGCAGTGAATGTGGAAAAGCCTTTTTCCAAGTGTCTTCTCTCTTCAGACATCAGCGAATTCATACTGGAGAAAAACTCTATGAATGTAGTGAATGTGGCAAAGGCTTCTCTTACAACTCAGACCTCAGTATACACCAGAAAATTCATACTGGAGAGAGGCACCATGAGTGCAGTGATTGTGGCAAGGCATTCACACAAAAGTCCACACTCAAGATGCATCAGAAAATTCATACAGGTGAGAGATCCTATATATGTATTGAATGTGGACAGGCCTTCATCCAGAAGACACACTTGATTGCGCACCGAAGAATTCATACTGGAGAAAAACCATTTGAATGCAATAACTGTGGGAAATCTTTCATTTCTAAGTCTCAACTCCAGGTACATCAACGAATTCACACAAGAATGAAACCCTTTCTATGTGCTGAATATGGGAAGGTCTTCAACAACAGTTCCAATCTCCTCACTCATAAGAAAGTTCAAATTAGAGAGAAATCTTCCATATGTACCGAATGCGGTAAGGCCTTTACCTATCGTTCAGAGTTGATTATACATCAGAGAATTCACACTGGAGAAAAACCTTATGAGTGCAGTGATTGTGGTAAAGCCTTTACTCAGAAGTCAGCACTCACAGTGCATCAAAGAATTCACACAGGAGAAAAATCATATGTATGCATGAAATGTGGACTAGCCTTCATCCAGAAGGCACACTTGATTGCACATCAGATAATTCACACAGGGGAGAAACCTTATAAATGTGGTCACTGTGGGAAATGCTTTACTTCCAAGTCACAGCTCCATGTGCATAAACGAATTCACACAGGAGAGAAACCTTATATGTGCGCAAAGTGTGGGAAGGCCTTCACCAACAGGTCAAATCTCATTACACATCAGAAAACTCACACTGGAGAGAAGTCCTATCTATGTCCTAAATGTGGAAAGGCCTTTACACAAAGGTCAGACTTGATTACGCATCAGAGAATTCATACAGGAGAGAAACCATATGAATGCAACACCTGTGGAAAAGCCTTCACCCAGAAGTCACACCTAAACATCCACCAAAAAATTCACACAGGAGAGAGACAGTATGAATGTCACGAATGTGGAAAAGCCTTCAACCAAAAATCAATACTCATCGTACATCAGAAAATTCACACAGGAGAGAAACCCTATGTCTGTACTGAGTGTGGAAGAGCCTTTATCCGGAAGTCAAATTTCATAACTCATCAGAGAATTCATACTGGAGAGAAACCTTATGAATGCAGTGATTGTGGGAAATCCTTCACCTCCAAATCTCAGCTCCTGGTGCACCAACCAATTCACACAGGAGAAAAACCTTACGTGTGTGCTGTTTGTGGAAAAGCTTTTAGTGGCAGGTCAAATCTCAGTAAACACCAGAAAACTCACACTGGAGAAAAGCCCTACATCTGTTCTGAATGTGGGAAGACCTTCAGGCAAAAGTCAGAGTTGATTATACATCACAGAATTCACACTGGAGAGAAACCTTATGAATGCAGTGACTGTGGCAAGTCTTTCACTAAGAAATCACAGCTCCAAGTGCATCAGAGAATCCACACAGGAGAGAAGCCTTACGTGTGTGCTGAGTGTGGGAAGGCCTTCACTGATCGATCAAATTTGAATAAACACCAGACAACGCACACTGGAGACAAACCCTACAAGTGTGTCGTCTGTGGGAAAGGCTTTGTTCAGAAATCCGTGCTTAATGTGCATCAGAGTATTCACACTTGAGACAAACAGTATGAGAAAAGCTTAGTGAGATCAGGTGTGATTATACACTATCAAATTCATACAGCAGGAAAGTGGATGATTGTAAGGAGAAATACATCAAGAGACAGTCACACAGTACTGTGGAGGAGAGGACTGCGAGGGCCTGCCCTTGCCATGTTGTCATCAGTCTCATGGAACCTTGAGGCATTAGTACCCAGTAGGAATGCTGTCCACTTACATGATCTAAGAACCTGCTAGTGAAAAACAAGATAATATGCTATTGCCAAATTCTGCTTAGGAAAGATTACATTAAGTCATGTTAGTGATAGTTGTGTTTACTGTGGAATAGGAAAAATGCCCAGAGAGTAGAACACCATGATCTATAAGATACAATGACAGACTCTGTCATTTCTGTGAAATGTTCCTTGCAGGACACGTTGTATAACATAGTTGCGGGCTTTATTCTTGCGTTGAATCTAACATGATGTTGGGAATCTAGTCCCCTATTGATTATTTCTGTAAAGAAAGAGCTACCACAATAAAAATTCTGTATGAAGACACAAACCTCAGAGTGTCTGTTGACTCCCCATAACTAGCACCATGACTTAGAACCCACCCCCCATTAGCTACCAGTGCAGTGTCTTTACCTTCATCAATCCTCAGCACATTGTCTTCTGGCCCCGATTACTTGCTTTATGACCGCCCCCCTTGGTGCTAAACAGCACATCTGCTGACTACCATTATCTCCCAGATGTTGTCTACTGGCCTCCACCAACCCGCAGCATGACTTATGAACTCTCGACACCCTAGGAAAACTTCTGAGGTAATAATTTTCAGGTCAGCTCCATCAGCTCTTCACCCCAGTCTCCTGCTGTCAGTTCTTCCAGTTCACTTGCCTGCCTTTCCTAACCTGACCTTTTTTTTTTATTTAATTTTATTTTTTATTTATTTTTATTTAATTTTATTTTGTATTTATTTTATTTTATTTTTTAAGAGGCATGTATTTTTATTTGCTTGCTTGTTTGTTTATACAAGCACTGGGTACAGTCAGAAGCGCGGGAGGATAAGAGGATTCACCAGAGCCAGAGCGGGGAGCAGAGCAGGCAGAAGGACCGAAATACACTGCTGAGGGGAGCAGTGGGAGGCAGGAGAGGTCTGCGCGCCATGTGGGACCCTCCTCTGGTGGCCGGGGAGCAGCCGGGGATCGAACCTGTGCCGCAGAGGCTGCGGGCAGCTTCGCAACCCAGTGCTCAACCGCTGCGCCACCGGGGAGGCCCCTAACCTGACCTTAATAATAGATCAGTAACTTACTGACTCAAATCCCAATATATGTTCAGTGTCTGTGTCCATCTTCATGCCCTGCACTCCTTAGGACTTTCCTCCAATATGCTCAGACACATCAGTTCAGGTTCTGCCTCAGACCCTCTCCATTTGCAGGCCCTCATCCAAGAGTGTGGTTTCTCATGTCTCTGTGTTTTACTCCTTTGTGGCTTTGTATCCACGCCTCCTCTTCACAGAGGCCTTTCCTCCCTGGTTACAGTCAAAACCCTACACTGTCCTTCCTTCCCCCTCCATTGGACCAACTGCCATGATGCCCTGTGTATGTCACTGGCTACGGATCCCCGACTTGAATGTCTGCATTGACCACGCCGGTGAGCCTCCACCCTTGCCTGGCGTACAGCCCACAGAGGCATATTGTAGAGTGTCGGCCCTGCTCGTTCCATGACGTTGATCCTTTCTAGATGGCAGCACATGATGCTCCACTGGGGAGACCAACTTTCCTAAAACACCAGACTTTTCCGCTGCCAGTCTGTACCTAGGCTGAGCCTCCTTCCTGACCTTAAAGCTGAACTTCATTGTAAACCTTTGACCTGATGCCAACCTTTTGAAAAAGGGGAAAACAAGGCACAGAGAATCCCACATGAATGCTTGGTGTTCCAGGATCCCTGCCATGAGTGACACTACAGTCAGCTCCAAAGTGATTGCATTAGAGCCCAGCCACACCCCAATTTTACCTTGAAGAGCCTTAGGTTCTGGGTATCCCAGAACCTAACCTACTGATGCACTAATATCCTAGTAGGTATGTCCGAAGTGAACAGCAGGGAGGAGGGCTGAGTGCCGACAAGATGTCCAAAGAATGGGGCGTTAACATCCCCACACACGTGGGTAGAGGGTCTGCCCAGATACTTAGCTGCAGCAGCCACACTCTAACCAGCAGGTTAACTCCTCCACAGACAACACAGGGAGTGGGAAATAGTCGGGTTGTGCAGGGATGCTGTGGCCTTTGTGGACTGCAGCTTGGAACCTGAGGCTGGTGCTAGTGGAACTAGATGGGGCCGGGCTTAGTGACACCTCCCATCAGCCCACCTCACATAGTGTCATTAGCTTCCCTTCATCTCACCCCTTCACAGTACCTTATGATCCACTGATGTACACCCTCCGCTATCTTAGAGCAATAGCTTAGAGGACCCCCTGTTAGTGCCCCCCCCCTCCCATTCAGCACTTTTTCTGGACTTTTACTTTTTTTTTTTTTAAGATTTATTTATTTATTTATACAAGTACTGGGTATGGTCAGAAGCGTGGGAGGGTGAGAGGATTCACCAGAGACAGAGCAGGGAACAGAACAGGCAGACTGACAAAATGCACTGCTGAGGGGAGCAGCGGGCGCGGCAGGAGAGGTCTTTCACACCATGTGGGACCCTCGCTGGCAGCCGGGGATTGAACTGGCCCTGCAGAGGCTGTGGGCAGCTTTGCAACCCAGCGCTCAACTGCTGCGCCACCAGGGGAGTCCCTGGACTTTTACTCTTTTCAACCAAATTATCCTCCAACTTATTTTGCTGATCCTTCAGAATTGTTTCTGGAGATGCCCCTATTATCCCCTTCACAGTACCTAGGCACCCTCCATTTTCCCCCCTCTCACCTTATTCCCTCTGGTCATCACTCCTCCTTAATTACAGGCAATTGTGAGGTCTTCTCATTACCTCTTCTACAGTTGCCTCCAGAATAACCACTTACTTCATCCCATGTGTGACAAAGTCTGGTGACCTCCCCATTCCCCATTTACTCCACTTTCATCTAAATGATGACTGATGGGGCCTTCCAGGTGGCGCAAGTGGTTAAGCACAGCACTATGAAGCTATCCCCAGCCTCTGCAGCACAACTTCGATCCCCAGGCAGCCAGGGAGCAACCCACATGGTGCAGCAGACCTCTCCTGTTGTGCCCACTGCGCCACTCAGCAGTGTATTTCAGTCAGTCTGCCTGTTCTGCTCCCCACTCTGTCTCTGATGAATCCTCTCACCCCTGCACCTCTGGCCCGTATACTTGTATGCATAAATAAATCTTTAAAAACAAACAAACAAATAAATAAATAAATAAATGATGACTGATGACCACTTACTGCAGTCCTCAGAACAGGGCCTGGAGGTATGCCCCACCTGGTCCAACCACCACCTCCTGACAACACTGTCATGCTCATGTAGCAAGATGACCTGAGAGCCCACCCCATCGCTTGTCTATCACGATGGGGATCTCCAGTTAGCCATGGAGTTGTGTCTGACTGTCCTCAGCACAATTTGTGGTAATGTCCTCATCCCTGAAGCCTGGCTGTGTTTGTCACCCTCCCTCCCCACAAGTAAGAACAGTGCCAGCTAAGGCACCACACACTCCTCACTGTCCCTCTGCATTTGGAATCTCAACTATTCCCCTCTCTGTAGGACCCTCATTAAGAACCAGTCCAGTCCAGTCCAGTACAGTGTGTGCTGAAACCAGTTACCCATTACAGTGTCGGTGACCCCTCCATTAAATCCTGGTGGTGTCTGCTGTTCCCTATTGGCCTCACTAATATGATGACGGCCAATTACCCAGTGCCTGTGTTTCTTCATGAGAATTCTCAGGGGGGCTACTGTGAGTTCCCCAGCATTGCTTAGATTCCCACTTTTTGCATGGACAGAAGTCCTGGGGAATGGAGGAGAGATGAGGATGAGGCCCTAGCCTCATGAACCCCTCCGGGGAATTGGCCCAGAGTGGGCTAGGGAGGATCTGCGGGTGCCAGAAAACCACACGCAGAGCTTCCTGTTTTATCAGACAAAGAACGACGCAGGCAGAAAAGGGAGCGCTGTGTATGTGGGTTCAAATCCTGATGCCAATACTGATCTGCTGAGGCAAGTTGGAGCAGGCCAGCAACCTTGTCCAACCTCAACTGTCTCACTTGTGAAATGGAATTATGGAGAATGGAGTGACAGGATATTGGCCTGTCACTGAGGGAGCAAAACTGGAGCAGACCAATGAGGCTGGCCTGTTATCATTATTTTAAGTTGGCTGACACAAGCACCTAGCTAATGCAATGTGCATGACTATGCCCACACTATTTTTTTTAAGATTTATTTATTTATTTATACAAGCACTGGGTACAGTCAAAAGTGCGGGAGGGTGAGAGGACTCACCAGAGCCAGAGCAGGGAACAGAACAGGCAGACTGACGAAATACACTGCTGAGGGGAGCAGTGGGTGCAGCAGGAGAGGTCTGTCACACCATGTGGGACCCTTGCCGGCGGCAGGGGATGGAACCAGTGCTGCAGAGGCCGCAGGCAGCTTCGCAGCCCAGCGCTCAACTGTTGTGCCACCAGGGGAGGCCCTATGTCCACACTATTATAGTTTACTTTAAATTACTTTCAGTTGTTTCTTCTGTATTTATTATAACATTAGAGTACTGACATTTTTAAAGTCAGATTTACTGAGGTACATTTCCATAGTCATATGTACCCTTTTTAGTGTATAGTTCTGAGATTGTTGACAAATGCCTGCAATCTTGTAAACAGCAGAATCAAGACAAAACAGCTTCTGCACTCCCTCAAATTTCTAACTTTCCCTTTTGAGTCAGTCCCTCTACCCATTCCAGTCTCTGTCTGATCTGATTTCTGTGTACATTTTTAACTTTTCTACAATATCTAAATGTGTTTGTCCATATTTATGTATGTATCTTTTTTTTTTAGTGTAACTCCTTTCATTCAATGTGATAAATTTCAGATTTATCCATTGGGTTGTATGAGATACAAATTCAAAGATAATATCATTAGTCATCAGGAAGATGCAAATGTTGAAAACCATGATAAAATACTACTAGACACCTATTAGAATGGCCAAAAGAAAAACAACAAAGTACCAAAGTTCTCAAGGATATAGAGGAGTAGAAATCCATGCATTGCAGATAGGAATATAAAATGGTATATACACTCTGGACAAAGATAGGCAAATTCTTACAAAGATAACCTTACACCTGCCCTATAGTCCATAATCCCATTCCTAGGTACTTTGCACTTACTGTTCACAGAAATTGTATTCATAACAGCTAAAAGTTTGGAAACAAACCAAATATAACTCAATGGGTGAATAAGTTGTACATCTATACAGTGAAATACCACTGAGCCATCAATGGACTGATTTATAAACTATGAAAGAGAATGACTTACTGATGTATGCTACAACATGGATGAAACGCAAAATTATGTCTTACCATGTGATAAATTATACATAAAAAAAACAATGTTAGAATATAAATACATATGGGTAGGTTTTTATGTTAGGTATTTTATATGTGCATTTTATATACCATAGCAATATTGTGTATTTAAATATATAGAACATTGTAGTATCATTCATTGTATATTCATTATAAAATGTTTCTATGTGAAATAAAATGAATTATATATTCAAATACGTAATTTTTATTTCGAATATCAGTCACATTTTGTTTGAATTTTATGTTTATATTTAATATTAACAATGTAAAATTAAAACTATACTATATGGGAGTGTAGGGTCTGGGAAGCCTCAGTTGTAGCAAATCAACATTTTATATTTCAACAAATCACCACTTCTTAAATGGCTAGGGGCATTTGTCTCATTGTTTCACTCTCATAAGCCCACCCCTGCTGTTCTTGCAAGATTATCAGAAACAGGAAAAGACCACTGGGACCACCAGAGTTTCAGTTTAACAAATTTGGACACACACAACTGGAAGTGAAGTATGGCCATAATAAGTCTCAGATGTGGGAGTGGGTTCAACCTGGAAATGCTTTACCGTTACTAACAGGAAGGAGAGCCTTTAAGCAGCTCTCTTTTTCATTTTGTTAACTTGTTAAATAATTGGCAATTTCATTATTACCACCATTCTGAAGATGACAAAATGATGTCACTGAGTACAGTGTGGGTAATGAAGGAAAACAGCTAGGAGAGAGAAAAAAAAAAACAACACCTAACTCTTTACCCAGGCCCATGAGTTCTGCAGCAAAGCAACTATCTTTGATTTTATGCCACTGAAAAACTGGCAATGTCTGTCCCCAAAACTAAAGCTTCACTGCAAGACTTTACTTCCCTATATCTCTTAAACATTACAGACACTGTGCTTTGTTGAAGGCTGTGTAAGGATTGAATGTAATACTTCTTGAAACAATTAAAATAGTTCAGCATTTCACCCTTTCATTAAGCTAATGGTCAAAATCTTATTTCCATTTCACTTATCATCAGTTTTGTCTCAGGCCATCATCATAAGCATCATTTATTTGGCTGTCTTCCTCCTGTACGCACCTTGAGACTGACTACCTGAAACCTGCCCCAAAGTCAGGCTGGAAGTAGCTCTTCACAATAAGGAATGGAAAATGATGTAAACATGCTGGGGGAAAGGATGTCCTGAGCAAACTCCCCCACCCCAGACCAGAGCAAGCTAAGACACCGAGGACTACAAATTCCGTCACGTCATCACCACCAAAGGTTGGATTGCTGGGAACTGAGGGTAGCCAGGTTTGGCACACACCCAGACATGTGGGCTTGGTTTTCCACCAGCTTTCAGCAAGCTATTGGGGTTTCAGCTCAGAAGAACTGGTAGGACGCATTCACCAATTTATCTCTCTTCCTTTCTCCCTGATTTACTCCTTTCTTCACTTTCCCCTTTTTGTAAATAAACCCTTTGTTAACCTTTTGGTGTGTGCCTGCAGTTTAGTCTTTTAGGTCCCTTTTAAGCGCACAGGTGAGGACCCACAGTCAGGCCACCCCATTTCACATTGGGCTTGTCCTGTAAGTTATCTCAGTTTCACCAGTCCTCGTGGGGACAACTTGGAGTTGGTTTCCACAAAACCTCCCAGAGATCCCCAGACGACAGAGCCCCTCACTGCCCACAGGGGTAAAATGAGCTCATTGAAGCCACTGGCCCCCAACCCACCCAGGTCTCACTTCGTCATCCCCTACCTGCTGAACAAACTGTGCTCACACGCACAGCTTGTCTCTCGCCAGCTCCTGGGCAAAGGTAAAACCCCCGCATTGAACATTTTAATAACCCGCTGAGAATTCGGGGCGCTCCCTCTGCCCCGCCCAGTCCTTGGCGGTCCCGCCCCGCCAGGCCCCGCCCCCTCCGCCAGGCCCCGCCCCTTCTTCGAGCGGCCCGCGGCTCCTCAAGAGAAAGGCGATTCCTAACGCAGTTCTGCAACTAGGAGCAGCCCCCCCAAACTTTTACCTTGCTTTCCAGGAGGGTCTCTCAGGAGATGGCCGCGCCCCTTCACGTAACCCGCGGTATAAACTTACGCGGCCATCTTACTTCACGGCCTGAGCGGCTGGAGACAAAGAACGCCCGGCGGCGGGGTCTGGGCGCCGCCATGTTGGTCCTGGGGGGCGGGTGCGGGGTGTGCTTGGGCTTCTGAGCAGCCGAGACTAGCAACAACGTCCGTTTTAGGGAGCCAGGGACCCTTACTCCTCCCCACCCTAAGCGAGCCTAACCCTCTGGCCTCATAAAGGGTTTACTAATCCGTTGTACGGCACAGGTTTAAACATGGCTCCCCCCAGCACGAGGTAGACAGGCGGGCGTGGCCATCATCCCTCCTGGTAAAGTTCAGAAAACCCAGAATCCTGCTCCCTGGAAAGTTGCCAGGGCGCGGCCACGGCCTCAGAGTCGCGACTGAGACTGCGCAACGGCCTCTTGGGATGGGAAGAGCTTGTATGGCGGTGAGGCGGCATAAGACGGCGATCGATTTCGGGTTATCGGCGCGGATCCAGAATAAATGGGAAAGGTCAGAGTGAGAGACAGTCAAAATTCAGGACCTGTGTAGGGTGGTGACCGGATGACTGTATCGCCCGGCCGAGCGGTTATAGGTGCCCATAGGGGTCAGAGGCGAGGGCACTGTAGAGTGGAGTGACTGGGCTTAGCATCCTCCTGGCGGGTCGGGTCGGGGGAGTGGCCGTGGCCGCGGCCAGAGGTTTGTGGGAGTCAGTGGCTGTGTCTCGGAAGAAGATGGATTGGGACTATATAGGAATCAATAAAAGTGTTTTTCCACTGGTCGGGTGCGTGGAGGTCAGTTACAGTGGTCGTCAGGGCTCTGGGGCCGAAGGGGGTCTTGGAACGCACTGATCTGAACAGCTTTGGGACTCGGTGATTGGATGCCTGAGAAGGTCAGTGATTGGAATTTCTAATTCTGTGGGCAGTAATACTTTGGGTACCTGGAACTAGTGATTGTGGAAGCTTTGAGGCTGAAGGATGAGGTGGGGTCAGTGGGCATTTGGGAGAAACGCTTAGGCCGTCAGTTTGAGACTTCCTTTAGATCATCCGTGTTGGGGATCTGAGGGTTTTATTGATTGGACTTTTGTAGACAGGAAATGGGGAGCAGAGGGATGAATTGAGGGTCAGTGATTGGAACTGTCAGTAATTGCAGAGAGAGGTAGGACTGTGGGGATCAATGATTGGTCTCCATCATTGCAGTACCACTGGGGATCAGTGTGATTTTGTGATGGGGGAACCTGTGTAATTCAGCTGGATGATCACAATGAATTAGTGAGCTTCGCAGTCACTGATTAAAGGTCTTTATGGTCATATTTGTACATATGGGAGTTTCATCAATGAATACAAGAAATTATGAGGGTTCTAGATTGGGACACTCAAATATATCTAAGATTAGGAGGCTTCACAGGGGTTAGTGTTAAAAAGAGATTTGTAAAATTCAGAGGTTAGAGTCAAGGATTTGGGGCTGTAACCCTATGTAATGGGAATACGCTTCACCCATGGGACTCTCCCCAGCTGATGAGCAGCCAAAGCTAAACCCTTCTCCTATCTTTTTATCATTTCCCACTTTAATGAAAGTGCTTTGAAAGGATCAAGTGTTAGGGCCTCCCCGGTGGCGCAAGCGGTTGAGTGCTGGCTTGCAAAGCTGCCCTCGGCCTCTGCGGCGCCGGTTCGATCCCCGGCTGCTCCCCGACCACCAGAGGAGGGTCCCACGTGGCGCTCAGACCTCTCCTGCCGCCCGCTGCTCCCCTCAGCAGTGTACTTCGGTCCTTCTGCCTGCTCTGCTCCCCGCTCTGGCTCTGGTGAATTCTCTCACCCTCCCGCGCTTCTGACTGTACCCAGTGCATGTATAAATGAACAAACAAACAAATAAATAAATAAAAATACATGCCTCTTTATTAAAAAAAAAAAAAGAAAGGATCAAGTGTTAAACTTACTAAAGTGTTAAATTATTAAAGTGCTATTGTTGCTCTTGCCAAGGATCTAACGCATATTCTAATATTTTCTTTTAAGGTTCTTTCAGCAAAGGTGATGACATGTCCCTCTGTGACAGCATACCAAGAGTGAGCCTGGCTTCTGGAAACCTATTCTAATCCCATGACAGCTAGGATAGATGTGTCCTTGCCTCTGGTTAGAAAACAAAGAGTTTACTGAGTAAGTACTGTAAAATATTTGGCTGAAGGAGCAAACAGTGAACACATGTAAAAAATGATTTGATGATCCAGTAAAAGGTTTTCTTCACCAAGAGGAAAAAAAAAAATGGTAATTATAAGGTAATTATGTGAAATAACAGAGGTCTTAACAACTGTTTTCATAATTATATTGCAATAAATATATGTCAAATCATCACATGGTGCACATTAAATTTACATAATGTTATATGTCAATTATATCTCAGTAAGTCTAGAAAAAATAAATGCTATATAAGGAAAAGAAACTGCCTCTGAAAGTTGAAGTTACTGTATTCTAAAAACGTTTTCGCTTCATCTATATTTTTTAGGCACGAAATGTTTGACGTCCATTTATCTGTTCATTATAAAACCCCACAGGACAGTTCAGTAACACAAAAACAAAAACTAAAGCTATATTTAGAAACTGCTCTTTATTGAAATTAATTTTTTTCTTCATGGAAATTAAAGTCAAATTAATGGTGATGGAGATGGCCTGGGACAAAATTCATTATAAGTGAAATAGGGGCCTCGTTGGTAGCCAAGGGGTTACGTCTCAGTGTTATCACCACTACAGCCTGAGTTTGATTAACAGGGTATAGGCCAGAGGTGCAGTGGGTGAGAGGATTCACCAGAGACAGAGTGGGGAGCAGAGCAGGCGGGTCTACTGAAATTCTAAGGGGAACAGCAGGCCAGACAGGAGAGGTCTGCACCATGTGGGTCAGCTCCTGGCCAGGGATAGAACTCAGGCTGTAGTGGTGATAGCACTGAAACTTAATCTTAGGCCACCAAGGCCTGGAATCAAGAAATATTAGAGGAGAAATTAATAAGTTAAATAAATAAGGGATAACTGATAAATCTGATTTTTTAAAGAAATCAATAATGTAAAATCCTTAGCAAATTATCAAGTCAAGGGGAAATGAGCAGATCTACAAACAGGAATGCAAAAAAGGGGCATTACTGTATTACTGAGAAATATAAAGTAAAATTTCACATTAATGTATTTCAAAGCTGGCATGCCAACAGTGATTTGCTAGAAATATATGGATATACAAAAGTTCCGTACAAAGAAAAAGAAAACTAAAATATCGGTAGCTGTGAAAGTTTGAAGTACTCAGGTTCTTACACACTACACTCCCTACTCCCATCCTGTTTCTCTCATCAAAAGTCAGCAGGCTTGTTCTGCTACCCACTCTGTCTCTGGTGAATTCTCTCACCCTCACACCTCTGGCCTGTACCCCAGTTCTTGTATGTATAAATAAATCTTAAAAAAAAAAAAAAAGTCAGCAGGCTGACAGCGTGTCATCAGTGATTTATTATGGACCCTTGAAGTCACTTTCAAATAACATGCCATTCTTCAAGTAGTTAAAACTCTCTCAGGGAATTTATACAGAAGGAAGTTGCTGCTAACTGTTTCAGAAAGCCATCACTGTTACACTGATTGCAAAAACTGGAAAGGTGGCATTGTGAAGGAAAGCTAGGCCCACCTTATGAATCTATATTCACATGTATATGTAAAATCCTAAATAAAATGAGCAATATTCAAGTAGTAATGTGTTCTGTTAGGAAATTCATCCTAAAGATGTCAGTTCATTGTTAAAGAAGTTACTAGTGAATTTTTAACTAATGAATTTAGTAAGTTAAAGATTTACTTGAAAATGAGTCATCTCCTACAGGGTTAAAAAAAGGGATTTGACAAAGTTCAACATCTTTTCTGGATTTTTAAAAAGTATTTACACGAGACTGTATTGCTACTTAAAAGGCCACCTGTATACCTAGTGGAACATATGAACCTTAATAGCAGAGCCCTAAGCACTCACATTCCAGGGAGGAGTTTGTCCCTGCTGTGACTTCCCTTCTAGAGTGCTAATAAGTGCATTCAATCAGGGAGTGAGATGATAGGTAAAAAATAAAAGAAGATGTAAGATGTAAGTACCTGCGGATGAAATAATTGTATACCCCCCAAGCTGGAGTATTAAAAGTTCAAAGCCCAGGCCTCCCCAGTGGCGCAGCAGGTTGAGCCCAGTGCTGTGAAGCTGTCCACAGCCTCTGCAGTGCGGGTTCGATTCCAGGTTGGCCAGGGAGAATCCCACATGGCACAGCAGACCTCTCCTGCCTCGCCCACTGCTCCCCTCAGCAGTGCTTTCGTCAATCTGCCTGTTCTGCTCCCCACTCTGTCTCTGGTGAATCCTCTTACCCTCCCATGCCTCTGGCTTGTGCCCCAGCTATTGTATAAATAAAAAATAAATCTAAAAAAAAAAAAAAGTTCAAAGCCCAAAAGGATTAACTCTACAGCCATAATAGATAAGAAGGTAGCCGGTTTTATAGCAACTTAATATGTAAAATGTATATAGGAAAACAGATCAATCATTTTTTAATTTTAGTCATGAATTTTTTTTTTAATTTTAATTTTAATTTTTTATTTTATAGAGGCATATTTTATTTATTTATTTTATTTGTTTGTTTGTTTTGTTTATACAAGCACTGGGTACAGTCAGAAGCGCGGGAGGGTGAGAGGATTCACCAGAGCCAGAGCGGGGAGCAGAGCAGGCAGAAGGACCGAAGTACACTGCTGAGGGGAGCAGCGGGCGGCAGGAGAGGTCTGCGCGCCATGTGGGACCCTCCTTCGGTGGCCGGGGAGCAGCCGGGGATCGAACCTGCGCTGCAGAGGCCGCGGGCAGCTTCGCAACCCAGCGCTCAACCGCTGCGCCACAGGGGAGGCCCTTCAGTCATGAATTTTCACTTGAAGAAAATATGCCATTTAGAATTGCAACCAAATCCACAATTGACTCCCTAATAAGGAATATAGAATTGGGGTATCTGTATGAAGCGGAGTATAAAACTTTTGAGATACAAATCTTCAAGAAATGGCAAGTCTTGCTTTTGGATCGGAAGGCTCAATATTTTTCAAAATTGTTGATATTTTCGTATATGAGTGAACAAGGTGGTGCCCCCAGAGGGGGTGCTGGTGAGGGTAGACAGCCCCAAGGAAAATACAAAGTATTGCATTTGGGGTGGAGACACTGATAAGAAATATACGGGACTGCAGATGCAGCCCCTGGAATTCAGTGTTTGAGGATTCAGTGTTCTATATTCAGCATTGAGCCTGAAGTGTTCGGGATTTTAGCATTTTTTGATTTTCAGTGATTCCGGAGACAGTAATTTCTGATCCCACCATGCCGATCGTGGAGAGGCTTAGGCCCATGGCCATGGGCATTTCTAACTTAGATCCCCTCAGTCAGTCAGAGGAACTGCTTGTGTCTGAACAATTCCCTAGGCTCAGGGTCTTTCCAGACGTTCCTCCTGCCCCACACCCAGAGCAGGGCAGAGCACCGTCATTCAACTGTGTCTCCTGAACAATCCCCTGTAGGCTTCTTCCCCTGAGGCCCCAGCGAATGCCGGGGAGGGACTATTAGATGATTCTCATGTGGGTATATTTATTTTCAGGTCCCTGCAGGTCTTTATGTTGTTGGGTCCCACTACCTTGCTGGACAACAGGACTCTCCCCAGGGCCACAGGACAGCGGTCACATCTATAAAGACCCTGCTGGGCACTGCAAAAGAGGGTGAGTTACTGCTGGAGGTGGAGCTGTGAGGGCCGGGAGGACCAGGTTAAAGACCCTCTGGTCCAAGAAGGAGAACTTGAGATAAGAACTTCCTTCTAAAGGTTCACCCGGCATTTGGTTGGGGTGTGCTGTGATATAACATGTAGTCGCTGAGCTGAGAAACTGTACACCTGAATTGATGTTACCTGGTGAAAATTGCACTTTTAAAAGACTCACTCAGGGCCCCAGACCCCTTGCCAGAGCAGAGCACCCAGTAAGAGGAAACAGCATCATCCCTGAGCCAGAAGCTAAGCAGGACCCACTTGCTGTGACCCCTTCCAGGTACCCTCCACGGGATGCAGGGTGGGAATAGCACTGGCTGAAAGATCCAGGAAGACCCTAGAGGTGAAGGGCGAGGCAGGGAAGGGCAGGTGTGATGCGCGTGTTCTCTCAGGGAGGGGGGTACAGATCTGAGCCAGCGCATTCCACCATTTTGTAGCGTGGGGTGTGGCCAGTCCACTCCCTTACTCTCGCTGGCCTCTTCTGTACTCTTAGCTGCTTCCCTGCTATTTTTGCCACTTCACCTAAGTCTAGGGATATGGGCAGTTCACTCTATCTTGTCCCAGGGACAGAACCTCCCAGGATTCGCAGGGTGGTGGTTACAGAAGCATCTAGAGATCTCCTGTGTCTATAGATTTGTTATTTTTCACATTGGTCCTAGCTAGAATATTGTCTCCAACTGTAATGATATACTAAGATTTGACTTCTCTCTCTTATATCTCTTTTCCACCCCTACTCCCTCTAATCTCAGCTGAGATAGAAGGATCCCTCCCAGCCTGGGAAGGAACTGTCCCCACCAACCCACAGAGAGTGGGCCAGTATCCTGGCCCCCCATCCAGACCCCTAACCCTGCTGGGGCCTGCCCAGCAGGTAAGCCAGAAAGAAGCACCTCCCCTCACCTCAGACAGTACCAAACTCTGAACCTCGGAGAAAAAAGAAAGAAAAAGGAAGGAAAGATAGAAAAGAGAAGTTTTAGGACTAAATAAACACCTGCCTGATGGGTTTGTACAAAATGACTGAAATTTAAGAGAGGCGGTTGTGCAGGGACTGGCTGGCAGCAAGAACCCACCTTTAAGTAAGGAACAGGATGTGTGCAGAGAGCAGAGGCTTCAGCAGGGGCTGGGGCAGTGCAGGCCCAGACTGCTCCCCACTGGGAAAATACTCCTTAAAGGACCCCACCTCTCCCTTGCCCAGAAGAGGGGAGATGCTTTGGGGAAGGGAGAGGCTGAGGCTTTTCTGGCCAGGAAGCCAGCTCTGGGCTGCTCTCAGTCCATTTGCCTCTCCAGCACTGGCCCTCGTCCCTGGGCCGCTGATGCTGCAGGGGGAGGGAAGGGGCTCTGCTTGCTAGCCAGGCCAGCCCGGCCTTCCCCTCCAGGGCTTGGGCGCTGCCTCCTGTCTTCTTTATCTTTATTCTGTTGCTTTCTATCCCATGCAGCTGATGTACCCCATGAGCGTAGCTAGGATGCCCCCTCGTGCTGCTCAGTTACCTTCTGGGTTGGGGGTCCTCTCAGGGCTTATTCTTGCTCTGGCAATTGTGGTATGTCGTCTCCTCATTTTTAATTTTTCATGTGTTGTAACAGGGATAGGTTTTCAGACTGCTGTCTGCATCTGCTGAAGTAATCTGAGGACTTGTGCTGGCGAGGGGAGCAGGCATAAAGGGGGTCATGGCAGCAGGGCACCAAAGGGCCACCTCACCCTGCTGCCACCCTGCAGACTCTCCTCTAGATTTGTTTTGAAATGAAATCATCTGGACTTGAACATTTGCCAACCTACCACTCAGCTAGGCCCCCTCAGCCATGGAGTCCAGGCCAAGGCTGGGTAACCGAGTCTAGGAAGATGAGGGAGTAGTGAGCCCAAGGTGGATGAATGGCAGTAGCTTGTCAGGCCCCAGTTCTTTCTTCCAGCTTAACTCTTCGTGGGGAGCTCAGGTCTCTTAGTGTCTAACCCCTTTATAAACCCCTTATAAAGCGTGACAGGCTACTAACCATGCTTTATGATCTGGATGATATTTCAGAACACTTTGAAACTGTTAAGAGGTAATAGCTATTTACTGCCCATTGAAAATAGAAGTAAAACACTATTTCACGTAGCACCATTGTGTTATGAGTTTTTCCATATGTGGACCCTCCATATCCACCATCCAGATCATGATAGTTTCTCCAGCAGTTTAGAATGATTCCCTTTGAATGATGAATTGCCAGTGATGAGTGAGAAAGGACTTCTGTAAAACAAAGATACGTATTCATTCTAAAACTATTTCCCCCCTTAAAACTAGTTTCCTCTAGGGCCTCCCTGGTGGCGCAGGCGGTTGAGCACCGCACTGTGAAGCTGTCTGCAGCCTCTGTGGCGCAGGTTTGATCCCGGCCTGCCAGCAAGAATCCCACATGGCGAAGCAGACTTCTCCTGTCTCGCCCGCTGCTCCCCTCAGCAGTGTATTTCGTCAGTCTGCCTGTTCTGTTCCCCGCTCTGTCTCTGGTGAATCCTCTCACCCTCCCGCACATCTGACCTGTACCTCAGTACTTGTATAAAAATAAATAAATCTTTTAAAAAAAAAAAAAAAACTAGTTTCCTCTACTAATCACTATACTAACTTTCCTTAAAAGGAGAAATGTACATTCTTTCAGAGAATCAGAAGGGCTTCTTCTATCACTTCTTATTCTGTTACTGCAGCTATGGCCAATGATTCCTCAGTCTCTTCTGGTCTATCTTCTTTGATTCCAGAATTTACTGACTGTGAGAATAGAACAGTTGTGCTCTCTTCAATAGCACATATGCTAAAATTGGAATGATACAGCGATTAGCTTGGCTTCTGCCCTAGGATGACATAAAGTTCGTGAAGTATAGCATATATTTTTTAAAGATTTATTTATTTAGGGCCTCCCTGGTGGCGCAAGGGGTTAAGCACCGCACTATGAAGCAATCTGCAGCCTCTGCAGCACGAGTTCGATCACCAGCCGGCCAGGGAGCAACCCACATGGCACAGCAGACCTCTCCTGTCTTGCCTCCTGCTCCCCTCAGCAGTGTATCTCAGTAGATCTTCCTGTTCTGCTCCCCACTCTCTCTGGTGAATCCTCTCACCCCCCACCGGTACTTCTGGCCTACACCCCAGTTATTGTATACATAGATAAATAAAAATAAATCTTTCAAAAAAGTAAAAAGAATTGGGCAGTCATTGATAGCTGTTGGAGAGATTATTCATGATCACGTAAAGAAACCTCAGGGGAGTAATTTGTCAGGCCTGCTTTTACAGAAAATGTATGGACAGTCAATGGTATGGATGTGACTAGACTCCGGAAAATACTCTTCTCTGTCCCACAGGAAAGTGACACTTTCTTCTTTCTGCAAGGTAGATAGAACTAGTTGTGTTTTAAAGGCTGTGTTCCTAGACTGTGTCCACGGGCCAAGCCTGGAATCAGCTGCAGGCTTGACAAAGTTTGAGCTGCCCTCAGGGCCTCAGTTGCCAATCAGGAGACAAGCACTTGTCACCCCTCAGTGGTGAGATGGTTTCCTGCCGGGGAGAGATTGGTTGGTTCTGGTCCTTAGGACGTGTCATTTCTTGCCATTTGCCTTTCTTTTCTTTTTCTCTTTTGCTGAAATATAAAATACTTAGAATATACAAATAAAAGTGCACAACTTGTTGAATTTGCAAATATCCAGACACTCGTGTAATCTCCAGTAGATCGGCATTTCCACCACCTGAGAATCGAGTTAGGCAACTCTGGTCCATGTGCTACACGTGGCTGACATCGGTTTCTGTACTTAAGTTTTCCTGGAACACAGCCACACTCCTCTGTGTCCACAGGACTGTCTATAGGTGATTTTGTGCTACAACAGCAGAAATGAGTAGTTATGAGAAACATCACTTGAGTCACAAAGCTTAAAACAGGGTCCCTTGCTGACCCTGTAAAGATAGTTTGCCGACCCCGACTTTAGAAGCTTCCTTCCTGCCCATCTCAGCGTGTCGATCCTCTCCCCCATTCTGACTCTCTCTGTGCGTCAGCAGCCGCCTCACACATCATTCACGTCACCTCTTTATGCACCATCCCCCTGGGCTTGATTTACTCGTGTTTTGTTCACCAAGAGCGCCAGTCCACGGCTAACGGTGCCTTCTCAGAAGGACCCCGCCGTTAAGTGTCATATGACCGCAAGTCCTCGGAGCATAAGTTATTTAAGTTTTAGGAATGTGCTGTTTAATGACTTTCAGTTCTTTTTTGGTGGCAGCTTTTACTCCCTGGAAGGTCTGTTTTTGCATCCACAGTCTTAGTTGAATGACACCATTACAGTGACTATTACACCATTACAGTCCTATTACAGTGACTTAGAGCATCGGTTTTTGTATAAGATTTACACCGGGAATTTGCAAATCCTGAGAAAGGCCTGGTCCCTCACAGCTCTGTTCTCTCTTCTCTGTCCTCTTCCCCTCATCTCTGTCTTCACAGGTCTCATCTTTTTTCAAGACCAGCCAGGAATGATGGAGTATGAGGTAAGCAAGACATCAAGTAACTTTCTCTTCTTGGGGAAACTGTCCGAGAAAAAAATATATGCATTTCAAGTTCAGGGACTCTGTCATAGGTGGGTTCTCAGGAGAACAGATTCCGATGGAGACCTGCACCCGGCAGGTTTCCCGGGGGGACTCTGAGGACAGCTGCCAGGCGCAGAAGGAAGCAGGACTGGCAGGGGGCATTGACAAACAGCTGAACATGCTCGGGAGCTGGGACAGCCCTTAGTGTTGTCCTGAGTGGCGCCTCGGAGGCCCTTGAGTCAGACATCAACCAGCCACTGGTTGCCACCTGCCCTGGGGAAGGGACATGTCTTGGGAAAGTCTCAAAAAGGTCTCAAGCCTGCAGCAGCCCACCTTCTGCTTGCAACTGGGAGGAGCACCCTGGTCCTGCTGAGATTTGTTTGCAACACCACTGCCTTGCTCTATACGTAGATACAGCGACAAGACATGTAAACATACTGCTCTACCTTTTTTGGGGGGAGGGGTAATGAGGGGAGTTGTTTCAATTAAAATATCCTGGAGATTGTACCATGCTAGTGCTCCAATCACACTATTTTTTTTTTTTAAAGTCTGTACACATGCCTCATATGTCAGAATGCGACTGAGCTACACCCCCATTTTCTGGACGTTCAGTTTTCAGCTTTGATATCACAAGCAGAGGTGCAGGGAACATTCTGTGTCAGAATACAGAGGTAGAGAGTCTAAAGAGCCACTAACTGTGATCTTCGGTGGCCCAGCAAGAAGGCAAACAGTTAGCCGTGGGCTGCACTGTCCCTCAGGAAGCCACATATTGTTATCTTGAAGAAAACACGAGCTTTTCAAGGCACCTCCTCTAAAGACACTTCCCCAAGGAAACGTCTACTTACGGCTGCAGCAGAGCAGCACTGCTGCTGTGGGGCCCGGGCGTGGGCATCTCCTGGATTCTTGTTAAAATATGGGATGGCAGCCAAACCCAGACCTGCGGGCCAGGTTACCTGCAGGGGGAGCCTGGGAATCCGTCTTACACGTTCCTCCTCATCCTTGTTCACATGAAGGCGAACCACAATGATCACGTGGGCAGCGTGCTCGCCCTCAGCTAACGTGGGTCTTGCAGCCTTCTCCACGGCTGCCCTGGGCTGCCGTCGAGCTGAGTGTTCACCCCTGGCCAATGCCCAGTTCCCAAGGACCCAGACCAGCATGTCTGGCTCCCCAGGGAGTGGTAGTGCTTTCCTTCAGGGTCACAGCGATGGGGTTCTAACGCCTGTGTGCTTTGTGGCCCACTGATGTCATGGAAGGAAATGCTAAATTTCAGTTAGCAGAAAATGAAATACAAATATTTCTTTCCTGGGGGGATGGGAGGATTCCTCCAAATTTGTGGAACTCCCAAATTTGATCCAAGGTGTCCTTGCTGTAGACTGAGGAACAGATGAACTGCCCAGCATTTACGTTACAGCCATTCCCCTTACGCTTCTGTTTGCGTACCAAACAACTGAACATATTCTTCCCAGCAAGGCAAGTCTCGGTGCGAACTGGTCCCAGACTCCCCGACATCTTTGGATGCTGAAGGGCCCTGTGTCCTGGCAAGACAGCCCCTTCTTTCCGGGGTTCCAGCATTCCCACCTCCTCGTGGGCCCTTCTCTGCAGTAGGGGCACCTCTTTCCAAAGACCTGTCGTCTCCTCTGCCCCGAGTCTTTTGTTCCTACAACCACTGCCAGTGCTTCCAGCCCAGACACGTGCACGTCCCAGCCCCGGAGCCCTTCCCTGGACACCTGGCTGGCTCCGTCTCCTGAACCAGTGTTGCTGCTTGAATGTTTCTACGTCCTGTTTTTCCATCCTTTGATTCCCACACCCTCTCTTTTCCACTTAACTCAGACTTCCAGGCCGAGGCCCCGGTCACCTTGCTGCTCGAGTCGGAGAACGCTTTCTGACTGTCCGGCTGGTTAGAGCTGCTTGCGCGCCCTTGTGTGGAACAGCAGCACAGTGTCCTGGTCTCGAGCACAGACGCCGGAACCAGGCTGCTGAGTCCTCATCTGTGTGGACTTGGCAAGTCCCTGAACATTTCTGCACCCCAGTTTTCTCTTTGTCATACGGCCTAAGAGCTGGATGTAAAGACTGGAACACACTGCCCGTGTCGTGTGTGTTAATCACCACTGAGCTCTGGGCTCCCCCCAGGGACAGTGCTCTCGGCTTATTTCTCATCCCAGCTTCTCAGCCTTCTCTGTGGTTTCTGTTCGCATCTTCACGCCTCTTAGTACTGCTAGTCCTAAGGGTTTGAACCTCTCTGGGGTGGCTTTATCCACTCCTGGGTGGATGCAGGCTCGTCTGCAGTTGCCCTCCCCTTCCTGGACCCACAACGTGACGCCGTCTGCATCTGGCTGCCCTGTGGCCCTTCAGATGCAACGCGGACAAAACCAGACTTGTGCTGTACGTCTCTCCTAGGTTCCCCGTCTCAGGAGGCGATGCCATCCGCCGGGCAGACTGGGACGCAGACATTTACCCTTTTCTCCCCTTTTCCCTTTCTCTCCCCTCTTGCACCCCGTCACGAGCTGGCCTCGATTTCCCACCTCAGGACCCCTTGCATCTCCAGGCCATCAAGCCTCCTTTCCAGACTGGACTGTACCTCCTCTGGGTCCTCAAATAAGACCTGCTCCTGGCTCCTTAAAAATTAGTGCCCCCGTGGCTCTGGCCTGGGCCCTTTGCTCACCCTGTCCTCTGCAGAGACATCCCAGCTTGGCCACTTCAGCTGCCACTCTGTGCTGCTGGCTCACATGGCTTTAAATCCGCTCCCCAGTCAAACTCAGACCACCATCCCAGGTGTCTCCATCCGTGAGCCCCAGATGGTTCAACACACCCAATCCTCCTTGCCTCTGCTCTCTTCCTCCTCTCTGGTCTAGCACTGCGATCGCTGCTCTGAGGTACCTGGGTGTCATCCTTACCCTTCCTCACCCGCCCCCATCACCCGTCAGTGTACAGGTTTCTGCTGATTTACAGTGGCCCTTCTCCCACTGTCCCTGTCCTACTTCCATCTCGGTTATTCCAGAATCTTCCTTTCACTTCCCTCCATCACCAACCACAATTTCTTTCTATCCGCTCATGTCTACACTCTCTGCGAGTCCTGTATCTCTTGCAGGCAGCGTTGTTTTTTTTTTCCAGCCTGACAACCTCTGCCCTTTTGGGGAGTATTGCGTTATACATTAAATTACATTATAAGAGTTTAATATAAAGTTAATACAATGATTGGGATGGTTGGATTGATATCCTCAGCTCAGTATCCATTTTCTACTTGTCTCCTCTGCTTTTGTTGTTTCTTCTTTTCTCGTGTGTGTTAACTGAATATTTTTCAGAATTTTGTTTCTTCATTTCTAGCTCTTTGCACTATGGTTTTAGTGACTACTCTAGGGACACAATATACAACCTTCACTTCTCAGTCAGCCTGGAGTGACCGCTGTGCCACTTGACACAGAAGCAAGAAACTATCATATGCCTTCTAGAATGTGTCTTCTACACACATCGCTCCCTCAGCAAATGTTCCTGTGTCACAAAGTCTGTCATCTCATTGCTCACAGCCTCTGTACACCCTGCTGTTCCTCAGTAATGTGAAATCAGTCTGCCCCTCGGCCTTTCTTCACACTGCCCCATACTCAGAGACCTCAGTGGACTCTGGCAAACATCATGGCCCATTCCCAAACACCACAGCCCCGATGTTCTGTCACTTCAGACACTCCCAGGTCGACAGCTTTGTATGTTGCTGTGTCAGCTGTGAGCTCCTTGAAGTCAAGAACCATCCATGACTGTCCCCAGCAGTCATGCAGGCTTCCAGGGTGACTGTCCATTTTCCCCACCACATCTAGCCCAAAGCCAGGGGTATAAAAGGCACCTGGAGAGAAAATGATCGTGATAAACTCTGACCTAAGGATGTAACAAACCATCCGCTCTGCCTACATTTTCCCACATGACTCAAAAGTCGTTTGTCTTCAGCAGAGAGCCGTGTCGTTCAAGGATGTAGTCGTAGACTTCACTCAGGAGGAGTGGCACAGGCTGAACCCTGCGCAGAGGGCCCTGTACCGAGATGTGATGCTAGAGACCTACAGCAACCTCGTCGCCGTGGGTAAGAATGCCCCGCCACGCAGGCAGGTCGCGATCAGAGGACCGCTTTGCCTTTTCAGTTGCTGAAAATAACCGATGTCCCTAGAGCCTCTGAAGTACGGAGCTCTTTCTATGCAATAGACACCGCTTTTGCCCCTCTGAATATATCAACTCACTTAATCCCCAAGAGCCTGAGCAGGCAGGTACCATCAGTACCCCTATTTTACAGATTTGGAAGCTGAGGCAGGGAGGTGCAGTAGCTCAGCCAGAGTCACCCATCTAGTGTGCAGAGCCAGATAGGACTTGAGCCCCAGCAGTTTCTGACGCGATCTGCGAGTCTCAGGGCTCCTGGGCCGCTCATCCCATTCAAGTTCTGGACAAGGTGTAGGCACAGCCTGCACCCCAGTACAGTGTCTGATGTGCAGCCTTAGCTGCGCGAGTGGCCCCGCAGACCCCGGAGCTCAGCCTGGGCTGGATCGTTTACCCACAACAGGTTATGAAGGCACCAAACCATATGTAATCCTCAGACTGGAGCAGGAGGAAGCGCCGTGGATTTGCGAAGCGGCATGCTCAGGCTGCCACTGCCGGGGTAAGTGATCAGTCAGCGAAAGGCATGTTGGGTGCTTGCACTGTGGGTGGCTGGCACTTTTGAAAAAAAATTTTTTTTTCCACTTTTGAAATTTTGGTCAGTATCCTACCCTTAAAGTCCTCAGGGCTCTGTGAGCAGCTGGAGACATTTATCTGCAAGCTTTAGCTTTCTTCATCACCCTTCAGCCTCCATGTACCCCACCTTCCTCATGTGGGGTTCTTCTATTCCCTCTATTTTAAATCTCATCTCTCCATGTTATTAACTTCATCTTCCTCTCCAGAATCTTTCATCTCTCTCTCAAGGTTAACAGCATACCTTTCTCTTCTTCACCTTCAGCATTCTTATAGACAAGCTTCCAGGATTCTCCAGCCTCTGCTCATCTTTATTCTAACATTTCCCAGGTGACTGCCCCAGACCCGCCTGCCATACCCCCAGTCTTACTTCCCATCCTCCCCTTAATCCCGTAAATCATCCTGTAGCCCCTTAATTTCCTTTTCACAGAGGAGGAAGTGGTGAATTCCATGGGTGATAGAACTGAGTTGGGTGGTGAAGGAGGTGGCTGAACCTGGCTGGCCTTAATCACTTCTGTTTAACATTTACAATAACTGACCCTCCCCCACTAGCTCTGTAAAGTATCTGTGGTGCCCTGGGCGTCAGCAGCCCACTCTTAGGCATACCTCTGAACTTCTGCTTCTCCCCAAGAGCCATGGGCTTATCAAGAGGAGTCAGCATTGTCTGTCCCCAGGTCTCTTAATTCCATTCATACTTGGTATTGTCATCACACAGTTGAGTTTCTGCAACCCCCCTAAACATTCAAGTAATTTAAGTGCTTCTCCCCAGAATGATGTCTTTGAAATCACCACCATCCAGCTTGTAGTTTTAGTAGCAGCAGTACAGCATTACAATGCTGGCTAACAATATCCTGAGACGGTGCAGGTCGGTCTCAGACATATACCTAGTCATACACCTAGGCCCTCAACTCAGATCACCAGTCTACTGCCCAGTTTACCAGTGAGGGAACAATTACAAAAAGGTTAAGAAACCTGTCTCAGAATATATGGCAAAGTAAGGGGTTGAACAGGGATTTGACCCCAGGTTCTCAGGCTCCAGAACCAGTATTTTTAACTCTCACACTCTGGTGTTCTCTGGGAGGTATTTTGCTTCATTAAACTGTGCTCATCAGCCTAATGAAAGCATTATAACCAGCCTGTCAGCTGCTTTTCTTTTTCCTCTTTCAAGAAACAGCTCTGTCACCTCTATTTCCCTGACACCAGCCCTGCCTTGCCTGCGAAGGGGCCATGGCATTTTCTGCATCCCAAATCTGTTTGTCTTCTCATGTTTACTTCTCTCAGAGAAATAACCCATTCTCAGACCACATAGTGCTCACAATTGACCCCTCTGCCACTTGGGGCCCTTTCTTGCCTCTCAGACCATTAGCCCCTATATTTCACCAGTCTATGGATTTCTCCACGGTGGGGTCCACTTAGCCTTGTGTCCTGCATGACAAAAACTGAAGTAACCCTCATCTCTACTTGCTGCATCCCCACACACACACCCCTAGGCTCATATGCACTGCACACGCACCTCTTCTCACTCCACAGCTTGCTACCATGTGGCTTTCTGTATCATCTGTCTCTGCCACTCTCTTTCTGTCCTATCCATGTGTGATGGTTTCAATGTTGGTTTTTCCTTTAAAAAATAACTTTAAACCTTCTGCCCTAATTTTTCATTTCTCATTGACATCTCTCATTGACATTCATTTCTCATTTCTCATTGACATCTCATTGACATCTCTTAAATTACCTCATGCCTGAATGTATTTAAATAAGGCATGCTCTTAATCATGCCTGGCCTTGGACCTCCGTAGGTATCCTAGAGAAGCCCACTAGATCCTTTTTTACATATAAAAATAAGATAACATTACAAAAGAAATCAATGATTGATAGCATTAGAAAAGAAATCATCACAAAACAAATTACATTTAGTAATTTGTAAAATAGTCAGAAAATGCAGTAACAACATATTTTCAACAAGTTTGATAATAAATGAACTTCTTTGTACATTAAATAATGACATCTAACATTAGGGCTAATAACTATCAAGATCCCAAAGTAGAGATGATTATGAACATTTGAGAAATCTTCTATAATCGTAATATGTGAAAATACCATAACAAAGTCAGAAGAACTGTTAATACTGTTTTGTTGCTCAAATTAGAAGGAAATGTTCAATTGTAGTTAGAGCTTAGTGAAAATATACCATTTTTCCATACAAATTCACAATTCCCCTGATTTCTATCCACCAAGAGCTCCTACTTAAACTCTTAGTTTTGATCTTTCTTCAATCTAATTCCCTTAAGAGCCCTTGTCATTTATATTGTAACTAGCTCAACATGATAAGCTCTGTAACATTTGCTTATCAGTGCTTGTTAGATTCCTTTGTATTGTTAGATGATATATTTTAGTAATGTTTAAAAATCATCTCAATCTGACAGATATTTGTTAAAAGCATCCACCTCTTAATATGGTAAGCACAGCAGGAGCAACTTGTTAAAATGCAGATTCTGACTTGGTAGGTCTGGTGTGGGGCCGATTCTGACTTGGTGGGTCTGCCTGACAACCCACCTATCAGCTCCCAGACAAAGCTGAAGTTGCCCATTAAGGAACCCCACACTGAATAGCAAGGTGTTGCCTCTGTCACAGGGTCACCAAACTTCAGCCTATAGGTTGGCCACTTGTCTTTGTAAATAAAGTTTTACTGGGACACAGACACACGCTTGCATCCATATACTGTGATCTCATGGGTACAAATGGGAAAACTGAGTAATTGTGCCTGACACTGTATGGGCCAAAAAGCCTAAAATATTTATTCCCTGGCTGTTCAAAACATGTCTGCAAACTCCTGCTCTGTATCACCCCATCTCCTCAAATACTGTTTCTCTTCGTACTCTGTAATGTCCTGCTCCATCTGTGTTTGTTCTGACTCGCCCCTTCCTGGGCAACACCCTCTGCTGCTTTGCTGCCTTAGTTATGGCTCATGCTGTCCAGTCATATACTGTTTATCCTTCAACTTTTGAGGGCATTTCTCAAGTGATTTTATTCCAGTTCATAGTAGTAAAAAAGATTCATAAGGAAAGGTTCACTGTATTTTCTCCAGAAAACACTTGGCAAGTGAACCCCCAGAAGAAAAGACAGCAAGACATGCTTTTGAGGCAGAGCATCAGCAAGAAAACGGTGCCCAAGGAAAGAAGCCACGAATATAGTAAGTTCGGGAAAATACCACTTCTGAGCACTGACCTTTTTCCTTCAATTCAAAACCCCAGTAACTGGGATCCTTGTGGAAAAAGTATGGACCATCATTTAGACTTGATTTGTTTTAAGAGAAATCACTCAAAAAAACAAACTGAATGCTATGGATATGGCAAACTGTTACAGCACACAAACCATGACAGAAGACCTAGCGGAGAAAAACTCTGGGAATGCAGACACTGTGAGAAAAATTTCAGCAATAACCCAGCACTTATATATAAACCAGCAGTAGCCAGTTCTCTTGTATACAAACGTAAGAGGGTTCCCCCTACAGAGAAACCCCATGTCTGCAGCGAGTGTGGGAAAGCCTTCTGTTACAAGTCTGAGTTCATCAGGCACCAACGAAGTCACACTGGGGAGAAGCCATATGGATGCACTGACTGTGGGAAAGCTTTTTCCCATAAATCAACCCTCACTAAGCACCAGAGAATTCACACCGGGGTTAGGCCCTTTGAGTGTTTTTTTTGTGGGAAAGCCTTCACCCAGAAGTCACACCGTAGAGAACACCAGAGAACACACACAGGAGAGAGACCCTTTGTGTGCAATGAATGTGGGAAGTCATTTGGTGAGAAGACATACCTCAATTTGCATAGAAAAATACACACAGGAGAAAGACCCTATCGCTGCAGAGAATGTGGAAAGTCCTTCAGCCAGAAATCATGCCTCAATAAACACTGGAGAACTCACACAGGAGAAAAGCCCTATGGGTGCAATGAATGTGGCAAAGCTTTCTATCAGAAGCCAAACCTCAGCAGACATCAGAAAATTCATGCTAGGCAGAATGCTTATAGGAATGAAAACCGACTAATTGTGGGGAAACCTTGAACCCAACATCCAGTTTCAGGGTGTATGGAGGAAGTCATTTCTTTGTATGGGAGAAATCTCACTGATTTAATGATTTTAGGAATAACAAATTTGTTTTATAAGGGAAATCATGCTCCAATCGTGATACAAAACTTTATAGAAAATACTTTGTAAAATATAAAAATGGTTACTCTGGCTTATAAACATTTGAAAATGTATGAAAGGGAATGGTAACAGTGCAAAATATATGTGAAAAGAATCAGAGGTATATTGTGGTATGTCCCATAGAGAGTCACATAATAATCATTATTTATATTTTGGAATTGTAAATGTGAATTTAATATAAATTGTATCAGCTGCGTATGTCACACAGTATGCAGAATGTCATTTCCCAAACATTTCCAATCTAAATTTCACCACTATATTTTGGTGTCTGAACATAAAAAAACAATAATAATAGTAATATGGTGAACTATTAAAAAGCTCAACATACACCAGCTACATTTTCTCCACCTTTTGTAATACTTGTAAAATACCTATAACGATTGTTATTGGACCTGAATCTGAATAAAGCAATTTTTTTAATGTCTTTTATTAAGTCAGCCAAAACTTTAAATATTTTCAATGTTAAAAAAGGCACTTACTTCACTTTTATATAAGATAATGTACAAATAAATTATTCAATAAAATAATAAATTAGTTTAAGTAATTAAATAAAATTATTTAATAAGTATTTATTAAATAAATAAAATGATAAATTATTTCTTTGGCCTTTACTTATGTTGAAAGGCAACACTAAGGAATAGTTTAACAACCTGGTGTGGACAAATACAGGACTTTTACTGTAACCTTTATTACTTAGCACACGTTAGTTGATAGAAAACTAGTGTAGGCCTAACATACTGTCCACTGTTCCTATTTTCTTAGTCTGGACTAAAATATTTTGCAGCAAATTGGTAGAAAAGATTTTTTTTTCAGGGTGAGAAAATGCAACATATATTTTAATTTTTCCAATAGAACTTCAGATCAGATAGTCTTTGAGTAATTCTTTGTAATTCAAAAATGTTCCATAAAGAAACAAATGTTTTCTTTTTTCAAATTAATTTTGCAACATTCACTTTTCTTCCCTATAAATTTCCCCATGAATGAGCTAGACACTAAATACCAAGTTTTTTCATCATTATAGCCTTTCAAAAAAGTCTGCTTCCTTGAGCTGCTGTGTCTTCCACATAAGAAAACAAATGGCCACATTGTTCAAGGTTTGCCTCTGTAAAAATGTGTGATGCAGAATGGAGAGGAGACAGGTGTGATAGTCACAGATAAAGATATGATTAAAAGTATAATAAAAGATACTCAACTCTAGATCTACTTATTTTTAAATGAAGAAACTGATTATTTTTTAAAGCAACATTGGGTTATAAAAATTACAATTGTAGAGTCAAACAAGACGGCTGAAGAATGAACGTATCAGGCTCCCCATATTCACTACAAAATTACATGTAAATAAAGACAGTGGCCCCTGGAGGCTGACTGGATGATCTTTACATGCATAAAAAGGAACAACAGAGCGAGTAGGAAAAACTGAAATTTAATCGCGTATGGAGAATTAATAACCAGGACAGCCAACTAAAGAGAAGGTAAGGGTAGCTGTGTTAAGGTCCCTCTCTGTTGTTGTCAACTGAAAGGCTCCCTCCCTCCCTGAGGACTTTAGAACCTGGGGACTGCTCTGGAGCGGGAGGTACTCATAGAGCAGAACAAGGGGGTTTACCTCCAGAAAACTACAGGAATAGGGGAGCAGAGACCTGTGACAGAATGATGGAGCAGATCAGTGACTGCAAAGGCAGAATGGATAAAGGCACCCAGATCCAGGAGTGAAACAGTCCACACTTCTAAACAGGGGAACCTGAGGGCAATGGACAGTCTTGGCGACTGCTGGCATGAGATCTGTGTAAGGTGGTGACTGTCACCTTGAACTTGTTCCTGAATGTGAGTGACTGGAGCCCAAACCAGTGGAATAAGCTAGATTGACTCACCTGTGCCTCCATACAGAACAGGCTCTTCAGCAGAGCTGGCAGAGGTGTTGGGCACCTGTGCCAAAGCCAAGATAACAACTACATATGATGCACACTGTTAGTGACCAGAGTTCAAAGCACCCGGGCCCTAGCAACAGGAGCAGATACCTCAGGGCAATGCTCTGCATCTGAAAAGTTAAGGGAACAAACCTTGGGCATAATTCTGTCCCAAACACAGCCCTCTCCTGGTGCTACACTGTTGAGAGAGGACTGAGAAAGGTCTGCAGGGGAAACAGTCTTGTGGGAGGCACATGCAAACCTTGAGAAACGCACACCCACCATCTGCCTATAGTTACAGCTGGGACAGTAACCTGCCCTCTGCGTGAATCAGCAGCTCACAAATCATTCTGCTCCCTAGGGTTGCAGGTATTCTGTCTGTACCCCTTAGGGGAAAAAAAAAAGACTACTGGTCACAAAGCCCATACTCCACAGCTGAACCACAGTGCTGATACTAGTCTAAAGTTATTGGGGTGCTTAAACTGAAGAAGTGGTCTGGGGGAGGGGTGCCCTGCTGCCCAGCTCCTATTTTCTACCTCTGCTGGCACTAGAGTTCCAGCCATCCAGCCAGGTGCAAAGCCGTCAGCCTATGAAGCAGCAGCCAGCTATGAACCTTGGGGGTAAGCAACCTAAGAGGCCAATTCACCAAGACACAAAAGCAGTTTATATCAACCATGAAAACTAAAAATGAGAAAACAGTAAGAGACCAGAAATGATGGAACAAAAAACCCAAGTCAGGTCCAGAATTGCCAAATTTGCCTGATGAGAAATTTAAGGTTTACAGTTTACTATTACACTTGTGAATGTAAGAAAAACAATGGAGGAACAAAAATAGGAATATAGCAAGGTAGAGAAAACATGAGAATGCTTCAAACAGAATTAGTAGCCTAAAAACTCCCATAACTGAACTAAAAATACAGTAGAGGGCCTCCCTAGTAGGCAGACACAAGTAGCTGAGAGAGGCAGTGCACTTCAGTGAACAGTGGTGAAAAATATACAAACAGACCAGCAAAGAGAAATATGCATCAAAAAGAATGAAATCAGTGTAAGAACTCTTTGGAATAGTTTAAATATCTGTATCATTGGGGTCCTAGAAGGAGATAAGAAAGAGTAAGACATAGAAATTTTATTTATAGAAGTAATAGCTGAGAATCTCCCTAGTCTGAAACTGGAACCAGGTATCTTGCCCTAAGAGGCATAAAGAATCCCAAACAAATTAATACAGGTAGACACACAAACATATTATAATCAAACCAGTAAAAACAAGAGACAAGGAAGCACACTAAAACTACCCAGAGAAAAGTGTTACATAGAAAGAAAATGCCTATTAGACTGTCACAGATTCCTCAGACACCTTGCAGGCCAGAATGGGATAGCAGAAAATATTTAAAATAACTAAGAAAAGGATTTCCAGACTAGACTACTGTATCTGGTCAGCCTATCATTCAAAACTGAGGGAGGGATAAGGTGTTATAGAAAAAAAAATAAAACAACAAAAACAGAGAATACCTTACAAAAAGCTGACCTTGAAAGAAATACTAAATAAAGGGAGTAATTATAAATAGCAAATTTCATCTCTAAGTAATGGACACCAAAATTATACAGTGTGAATACGGTGCAGAGTAAAATTGTGGACCATTAGAATAAGTATGAGTCAAACTGTTAAATAGGTCATAAGAGTAGGCAATCCCAGATAAACCTCATCTGGCCTCTAATTAAAAATCTACAGAAGTGGGACTCCCTGGTGGCGCAGCTGTTGAGCACTGGGTTGTGAAGCTGCCCGCAGCCTCTGCAGCGCTGGTTCGATCCCCGGCTGCTCCCCGGCCACTGGAGGAGGGTCCCACATGGCGCGCAGACCTCTCCTGCCGCCTGCTGCTCCCCTCAGCAGTGTACTTCGGTCCTTCGGCCTGCTCTGCTCCCCGCTCTGGCTCTGGTGAATTCTCTCACCCTCCCGCGCTTCTGACTGTGCCCAGTGCTTATATAAACAAACAAACAAACAAACAAACAAACAAATAAATAAATAAACATGCCTCTTTACAAAAAAAAAAAAAAATCTACAGAAGTAATACATAAGACACTGGAAAAGAAACCTAAAGAAAACCTAAAAGGAAGTTGTCAGAAAACAAAAGACAAAAGAATAGATAACAAAATGGCAATACAGTATTTCAAAAATCACCTTAAATGTAAACAATTAAAAGGCACAGAGTGGCTTGGAGCACAAAACAAAGCCTAACCTTTTGCTGTTTACAGGACTCATTTTACTACTAAAGCACCAGGTTGAAGTAAAAGGCTGAAAGGCAACCCTACAAGCAAATGGTATTAATTAAAAAAAAAAAGACAGGAACAGCTATACTTATATCAGATAAAACAGATTTTCAGCTTTAAAAAGGTTGGTAATAAGAGATGAACATTATATGATGATGAAGGGCCCGATACAACAAGATATAACACTGATGAATATATATGTACCAAACAATGGAGCATCGAGACATATAAAGCAATTACTAATAGAATTAAAGAGAGATACTGACAACACCACAGTAACAGTAAGGGACTTTACTTGCTCTGCTTACAACTATGTACAAAACAATAGGACAGAATAAAAAGGAAATCGCGGTAAGCGGTAGATCAGATAGGCTTAATAAACATTATAGAATATTCCACTCTGAAACTGCAGCATTTACTTTTTTGTCAAGTGCCCATGGAACATTCTCAAGACTGTTATGTTAAAAGAGACATCAACTGTCAGTCTTATAATGACTGAAATCAGACCAAGTGTCCTTCCTGGGTCATAACACCAGAGAGCCGGAAATCAACTAGGAAAAATCCTCAGACACATGGAGAGTAAACACGCTGCTTAATAACCAGCATGTTCAAGAAGAAACTAAAGCAGAAATTAAAAAAAAAAAGAAAAAGAAAAAAAGAAAATCCTGGCAACTGATGAACATGAGGACACAAGCTATAGAATTTATGGGTTAAAACAAAAATGGTTTTAAGAGGGAAGTTAATTGCACTGCAGACCTGTATTAAGAAGAAAAACCACAAATAAAAAATTTAACATTATACCTAAAGCAACTTGAAAAAGAACAAACAGAATAGTAAAAACAAGGAAATAAACTTAGAGCAGAAACAAATGAAATAAAAATTAAAAAAAAAAAACATACAAAAGATCAATGAAACCAAGAATTGGTTCTGTGAGGAGAAAACAAAATAAACCATGAGCTAGGTTAACAAGGGAGAAAACTTCAGTAACTAGAAAGTTAAAGACTATATAAATACAGATATCATAGATACACAAAGAATCCTAAGAGGTTACGATGAAAATCTATTAGCCTAACAAATTCAATAATTTCAAAGCAAAATAACAGTTTTCAGAAAAATAACAGTTTGCCAAGTTTACCAGAAAGGGACAAATTTCAACAGACCCATCAAACAGAAATAAAAACAATCACTCTCGGGGCCTCCCTGGTGGCGCAAGTGGTTAAGCACCACGCTATGAGGCAATCCACAGCCTCTGCAGCAAGAGTTTGATCCCCGGCTGGCCAGGGAGCAACCCACATGGCAGAGCAGACCTCTCCTGTCTCGCCCGCTGCTC